TTGGGGTTTTTGTCATCTTTCTTAGTGGCAGTTGACCCTTGAAGGTTTCTTGAATCGTGTGTATTTAAACTCCAGGGCAGGTCTATGCAAGAGCACTCAGGAATGTGAATGGGAGCTGATCAAAGGTGTAAATCCTCAGGGAGATTGAGTGGCATGAGGTCTTGTATAGACATTAACATACAGAATTAAAGTTGTTTAATATTAATTGATTCATTTTGGAAGCGAGGTCAAGTAAATGAGCAAGAAAACCACTTTAAATCTGATAAAAGCTTCTGCCACAGGTGTTTAACTCCACTACTCACTCCAACTTCAAACTGATTTGAACTGACTTCTGTCTGACTGAGGGCAGCCCCAGGAGTTAATGGGAGGGTAATCATATCCCGTTTTAATAACTGTGTTTGGAAAGCATGTTGTACAAATAGTCCTGTTTGATAATGTTACCTTGGGCTTTGAGGAGGGATTTATGGCAGGTCTCTTAGGGGTTTTTATAGCCACTGCTGTACTTGAAAGAAATGGAGTTCTTTGTATTAGATAGGCTCTTTGGCCTTAATGGAGGAAGCTGTTGGCTGAGGTGCGAGTTGGAATGGTATTCAGAGGCATTGCTGGTTAAAAAAGAGGGGAAAAAGACTCAGAGAAAGCAATAGTTGTTGGTTTGAGGAGTCTTGCTTCCATTGTACATCATCACAAACGAGTGCTCTACAGTTCAAAGGAGGCCTCTCACATTTGGAAGCAGGATTGTGACCAACCTTGCTACGTTGTCTTGTGTGCACTGTGAGCAAGGCCCCTGGTACTGGAACCTCAGAGTTCTTCAGGACATGTACTTCTGTCGTGAGGCCCCCCGTGCTCTGATGAGCAGCAGGGGAGCCCTTTGGGCAGCCCACTTGCCTTATTCCTTGGCTGGGCAGTGAGGGAGGGCTCCCACAACAGCCAGCAGTTGCACAAGTGGGGCTGGGGAGTTCAGCTATGGCCTTGTCTGAGGCTGTCATGCTAGGATGTCTCTCTGTATTTCTCCCTGAGATTTCTCTGTGTTGATGGAAATTGATTTTGCCTTTGGGAACCTGAGGGTATAAATTGTACTCGTAATTGGCCTGAGCTGAACTAGGAGAAACTGCTGATGTGTTCATTCTCTTCAGTGAGCGATTTGTTGTATAAGCCACTTCATGGACTGCTTTTTAGTGAGCGTGAGGAAAGGGAAAAGGCGAAGCAAGGAGGTGCCGTTATTGGGCATCACTACCCGTATGTAAGTGCTGCATTGGAGCGTTCTGCCATCTGCAGTCAGTACCTTAATTCCTCTTCCATTCAGGGAAAAATATAATCCTAGCCGTCTAAATCTGTGGATTATCATTTTCTCCAGTATTTACGTCTGTTATGATCAGGTTGTTTCTTGAATGAGACTGCAATAAAAACAATGCTGAAAGGATGTTTGGGCAGCTATCGGTGCTGATCTGAGCAGCTCCCAGGCTGGCTGGGTTAGTGGATGGAAGTGAAGGTGATGGTCAAGGCCTGGGGAGGCCGGTGCTCAAAGGTCGGGCAGGGGGAGGTCTGCAGGGTTCACTCCCCACGGTAATTGCTCTCCTGCTTTAAGCCTGATACTCAGCTGTCTACACGGTGCTTAGCACAGAATGTTCACTGGGGAGATTAGGATGAAAATATGTTCTCCTTGCTAAAGAGCACATAAACAACCCATAAACGGCCCATTAACCTACAAAATCGCAATAAAGACCATGTGGTAAAGCAAAGCCATAGGAGACCTGTGACCCAGCAAGTTCATTAATTGGATTTTGAACCTTATCTTTTGTGCTAAAAGCAGCTAATCTGAAATTAGGAAAAACAAAGGAAAGAAGGAGAGAAAGGAGTGACTTGAGATGCATGTCCAGAGTGAGAGTGTTTCTGTAATTCATTTTAGGACACAGCCCAGTGAGCAAAATTTTGAAGCCCATTGTGGAATTACCATGTTACAGGATCAGACATCAGTAACATTTCCAAGTAATAACAATCACTTGAAAACGAGTGAAACAACATAATTTTCTTGTTGGCCACAACCAGTACCTGTAGCAGTTCTAGAAACTCCTCTTACTGGCTGCTGAATGCACCAGCCGCTTGCTGTGCTCCAAGTTGCTTTTTGAAGCTATAAGATGTATATCCATTTTATGGCTTTTCTGGCTGTGATATTTAAACTCTGTGAAGAATTTTAGAATGTGTATTGAGAAGAAAGCTGATTAAACTTCTGAGTGCTTTGCCAGCAGGTCTTGCTCTTCATCTGGAGGATGACAGCAGAGTTCAGACACCCATAAATGGCTTCATTTGCCTAGACCCTTCTGTCACTGTGAAACCATCAAATGACAGGAGAATAGCAGCTGCTTCCTAGGATTGCTCTGTAGATAAATTGAAAGCATATCATAGAAGCATGCAAGTTCATGCTATCAGCTGTTTGGTGTTCTTTCGGACAGGTATCGTCTTTATTAACTGTGTAGTTTGTTGTGGAAGGTGTGCATCTCTGTGTACATGCTCATGTCTGAAGCATTTCAGAAATGGGGGGAAAAAAGGGTTGTTAGATTATAAGCAATCCACTAGTACAGTTGTATTTAAATAGCTTAGCTGAAACTTTGGACTGTTTTAGTAGGTGTTTTCCATATGTACACATGGTGAGAGATCTCTGCCCTGAAGCACGTGTGGTTTGAACAGAACAGGAGGAGGGAGGCTGCGATTTGGCCATGGGAAGCCAAGGCACTGAGTGATGAAGTGGTTTTGCACAAGCCAAAGCGGTGTGGCAAACCCAGAACTTGAGATCTGTCTTCTGGTGCTCAGATACATTGATTTCAGCACAAAATCCTGGCGCCACTGGTTGATTTGAGCTGGCTGTATGAAGACAAGCTTGAGTGTGATGCCTAATTGAGTTTTTAGAATAGGAAAATCTTAATTATTTATATAAATGTTGATTTTAAATGTGTTTTAGATGCAGTTTTTCAATCCAAATTGCCTTTATAATTACAAGCAAAATTTTCATGCATAAGGTTATGTGTCTGCAGATATTTTGGAGCTGTTACGCAAAGAGCATCTGTTACACTCAAACTGAATAATTAAATACTCGTTATGCATGTCATAGATCCTGAGAAACATATCTGGGAAAAAAAAAAAAAAAAAAAAAAAAAGGTTTCTAGGAACTAGTGCTTGTATAAGAGTGCTAATTACCAAAGCATTAATGTGTATTTTCCAAGAATCCATCCTCAGGCTGTGCTGCCTCTTCTATACCTGTCCCATGAGGCCAGAGGCTGGATGGAGATGGAGGGTGGTAAATGTGCGTAACTTACAACCAGGCCTCTCATGCCTTAGGTGTTTTAGAGCAAACCTTAGATTGTGAAACTTCTTGTTTCTAGAAGTGTATTGCTTTCAGAAGTAAGCCTGGTCTTCTGTCTCACTGCAGGAGAGTTCTGAATAGTTTGAGCAAAACCATTTGGCTCCCAAGCTTTTGGGGGAAAAGTATTCCCTTTGGTGAGGTTTATTCCTACTGCTATATTACTGTGAATGGCAGCATTAAAACCAGTGTAATGGGAAAAAAAAGAAACGAAAGCATTGCCAACTACAAAAATAATATCGGTTTATTATATTGACTGTTAATATACTTTCAATTAAAAAAAGACTTTTGTATTGTTAAGGCATCATCACCCTAACTGGTGAAGGAATGCTTCAACTCAAGCATCAACTCTTGCATAATAATTTAAGAAGAAAGCTATGGAAGCTTTTTTATGATTATTATTGTTATTATTATTATTTGTGTGTGTGTATTTTATATATATACACACACATATAGGTACGTGACAAAACAGGAAACGGTATGTTTCTTCCTGGTTCATTTTTCACATTACACACTGAGACTTTGTTTACCCTTGAAGAATCAGTGTTGATTGGACAACCGGTGTAATTAATTATATTGCAACAGACAGACAGCTGATCTTTTGAAAAGAAAGGAGTTTTTAGCAGGACTGTTCAAAGTTCATGGTCTGCTGTTAAACTCTAATGCTAATAAACATTTCTTCAGAAAGATGTCTGTCTTTAAATTTCACAGTATCGCACCTTCATTTTAAAGTGATATGATAAGAAAAAAGCTGTAGACCCCAGGAAGTCCTCCAGCGATGCTGCTTTTGGGGCATGGGCTTCAGGTGCCTTTGGGAGATGCATTTTGGTCTTGGCATGCATACGGCCATGTTTTCAATTGTTCGAGTTGCATCTGTTTCTTAACTAGGAAGGGGCTTCTGCTGATTTTTCTTTACCGTAAGCACAGATGACTTTCACTTGCACTACCAGAAGAGCATGTGTTGGCTATAGTTCCTTTTGTCTAAATGGCCAACTCTGTTCCCAGTGGTACAGTTGTTTTTTTTCAGTTCATTGGTGCTTGACTAAATGCATTCAGTCACATTCTTCATGTATAGATGAGACAAACTTTCTGTTAAATATTCCCGTGTTTTCTAGCAATAGGGCTGGGAAGGTTATGGCTTGTCTTGCGGGCCAATGAGAGCATGAGCTGGGCTGGCAGGGAGGGGAAAGCCAGCTATGGGATGCTGCCACAATAAGCCCCAAAACAGTTTGGCTGAAACTGGTTTTACGTCATATAAAAAAGGGGGCTAAGGATCTCAGCTGATCAGAGTACTAAAGGTCCTTGGGCACGCACCATAGAGCATATTGGTTTTGAGCTTGATAGCTCTTTCTTTTTACAAGGGCTGCAAATTGCTGTGACATAGTTAAGGACTGTAGAAAGAGGCAAGTTTTCCTGAACTTTACTCCCAGCTTGAAGTTTTAAGAAGTAAGTGAGAGGCGAGGAAGGGAAGAGAGGGTGACACACAGACCCTCGCTCACGCCCCTCTGTCCCACGAGTAGGATGTCAAACGGAAAAGACGGCTTGGAGAAACAACTGAATGGCTTTGGGGAGAAGGGGAAGGAGAGAAGCCGCACATCCCTGGTCATCTCTCAGGCTGTTAACCGCAGTATTTTCACCTCTGCAGTCTCCCCTGCTGCTGAACGTGTCCGCTTCATTCTGGGAGAGGAAGATGACAGCCCAGCACCCCCGCAGCTTTTCACGGAGCTGGATGAGCTTCTGGCTGTTGATGGACAAGAAATGGAATGGAAGGAGACTGCAAGGTGGGTTGGTTTTCCTTTACCTCAGAAATCTCATGGGAAATTCCTCTTTATGTGGTAATGTCCATATTACTGGATGGCTTGGAAAATCCACAGTAAAGAGCCTTTATGGGTGACATTATCTTTCCTGGATAAATCAGAGAATTCAAGGATTTGATTCAATATGAATTTAAAACCAAATCTAGAAAAATTTGAGTGCCAGATTTATTTGAATGGGTTGTATATGGAGAAAATCCATATGGACTTACCTAGTGCTTTGCAAACAGTGACGAGATTAGGGCAAGAATAAAACATCTGTAGAATAAATACATCTGTAGATGTATTAAAACTTTTAATTCAGTTACTCAAAAGTACGTTTTAGCCTGGCTCCACCACACAGCACAAGTTGGAACGTTTTTTACTCCGTTAGTGAGGAAAATTTATTTTAAATAGGCAAAAGATCCTGAAGATTTTTTCTTCTGAGGAAATCATTCAGGATGTGTGTTAAGTGCTGGTTTGAATTGCCCACTTTGAGGTTTTTGACCAAATTCTCTTCTTGTTTCTTTAGCGGTGCTGGTTTAGGACTGGAATGGAGTTTTTTGTGCTGTATTTGACACAAGTTATCTATAGCTTATTCCTGAGTATTGCAAAAGGAGCTGTTGAATAGGATACAGGATCTAAAGGCTGCTGTTTATCTCCTCTAGCCTTGTGATTTTAATTTTTTTTTCTACAGTGAAAATATTTTTCCTGGTCTTGCCTTGAAAGGTAAGCTTTTAACTGCAGATGCTGTCAAGGGCTGAAACCTTTCCCTAGAAAGGGGTTCTTAACTAGCTGGTGAGCAGCCAAGGGCTTTGCCTTTCCTATTTCCAATCCCCCTCTTAGCTCTGGGCTTTTTATTTCCCTTTTTGTGGCTCTGCTAAGCCCTTTTACCACCTTCCAGTCTTTAGGGCCCCTGCTGTGTTCAGAGGTAGTCAGTCCATCTTGTTTGGCTACCTTAATCTTTACCTGATGAACCATTCCACCACCTACTCCTTTACCCCCTTATCTTTATTTTTACTTCTATATCGCTTGCAGAACCTATTTAAAGACTTTTCACCTTTTACCCTTCAACTCCTTTCTTATTGGTCATCCTTTTCTCCCTTTATTGCTTTTTGTGCCTCTTATCGTTAGTTCAGCACTTGCATTTTGTCATATGTACCACCCATCCCTGTACAGATCTTTAAGAAGGGCTTTTAGTGACAATTTGTTGAGGCTTTGTTGTTAAGATCAACAAAGATTGTTTTTGTTGTTAAGATCATTTTGTTGTTAAGATCACTTCAGATCTTAATGGTATTCTTCATACTGAGCACTATATGTTTTCTTGTTTTCCATATTAATACTGGGAGCTCGGCTTTCCTGGAATCCACAAACACTAGCCATCAAGAGAGAGAGTGATATGTCCTGCATGACATATGACAAAATACATGTCTTCAGAGACATCTGCTTCTAGATTCCAAGGAACTTGTTGATGCTCTTTTACTATCAGATATCAGGAGAGAAAAAGAGGTGGTTTTTTTTTCTTCTCTGGTAATGCTTTCAGGTTTTGTGTTTTCACACATCTTCAGTAGAAGAGCTAATTGGAGCTGTATATACAATTCTTCCTAACAGTATGTGTATATTACATACTGAAAGAAGAGATGCCATGTTCAAGCACAGTGTAGTTCCTAACCTTGGCTAACTTCCTGATGTGTGTGTGTTAGTTTGTTGATGGTGATCTTTCATGTTGCACTCTTGTTCAGGATTTTTCCGTATCTTCCTGAAATGACTTAATCTTGAAAAACCAAACCTGCTGAAAGCTACTGTGTGGCTCTGCTGCAGGACATACCAGCTTGAGCTGGCTAACTCTACTTCAGCAGGTACAGGAGCTGCCTGCTCTGCTGCTCACTGGAGCTTTGGGTCTGACTTGAACGATGGTAGAAGCTGTCAGGAGAGAAGTGTTTGAATCATCAGAGTTTAGCAAGTGGTCCCTTCTAGAGGCATTTCAGTCAGCAGAAAAACAACCAGTATGTCGTGGAAAATTTCTGTCAGGAACCTGCAAGATACTGATTAAAAGATGCTTCCAGAAGAGGTCCTTTTGTTGTTTTGATTCTTTATTCACATGAGTTCAGTGGTCTGTGCTCCAGCCCTGGTGTAAATAGGCTACCATTCCTCCCTGTGCACGTTTCTGGTAATAGGTAAGGTCAGCCTGTGGCCAGGGCTTGAAGATGTCCTACTCCTTTTCATGATCCTCTTGCCTGTTAGCGTGGTATCTAGCCGTGGTTAACAATAAAGAAACATTTTGGAAGAACATTCTCAGTGTAGACAGTGCTTCATAACAGCCCTGTGTTAAATGCATTAAAAATAGAGCAGTAAAAGGGAAGGTTTATTGCTGTTAAAGGTAACCTGAAGATTTGGGTTGCTAGGTATTCCCAGTTGGGCTTTTTCTGGAGCTTGTCCATCCACGCCAAGTAAATTGATTACAAATTCTTGCACCGATATGCATATGTTGCATTTCACTGATAGCTAAAGGATACAGTGCAAACTATTAAAAGGGAAAGGCTTGAAATATCTGGAGGCCACCATCTATTTTGAGGCTCAGTTCAGTACATTTTGGAACCAAGGTATGTGCACCATAGTGGGGACTGTCATTCTACAAGGCAGGGAGATGGGAGGAAGATCATGAGATAACAGTGAGAAGGAATGAAAGATATGTGAGCTGGTGGGTAGGCATTTCAAATCTTTAATTATGGTCTGTTTCTTTACATAAGCTCTCTCAAGCAGTACATTTACATCTTTCACCTCTTTTCCCATTCTAATATTATCATACCTTTTATGCAATCCTTTTTAGAGCCTTAAAAATAAGAAAGATGGGTCCTGCGTATTGGTTAGCAGATATAATTGCCTTTACAATATGTGCACACTGAACATACTGAAGATTCCCAGAGATACATTTGAAGAGTAAGAGGTTACTCTGGAGGCAGCCAAGTGCACCGATGGCAAATTTTTCTCTCAAATCTTTGCCCTTTGGAGCTGGTGGTGGTCAATACGTTCCAGATTTCAGAAGTCCACAGTGCCAACTTTGCTGGAGTCAGCAGTTTAGTTTCTAAGGTCCAAGAGTCATAACACAACATGGATGTTATTTGTTACACTGTAGTTTTTTCTAATGTGGTCACTAGAATTTTTCTAGCTTTGCCCTGAAACAGCACGTTACCATTGGGATGCAGGCACCTTTGCCTTTAACGCTCAGGAGACTCTGTTCTGAGATGTATAATCCTAAATACATCCAATTGGAAAACTTAACTCTACAACTGTCTCTTTTGTCCTTTCCGCTCTCCTCCACCCTAAAAGTCCAGTGCTTTCTTCCAGTGCTCACCTACTTCCCATGCAACTTTCTGGGTGTGAGTGAGCTTTTCTGCAGCGTGACGTGTTAAAAAAAAAAATAATAATTTTAGCCTGATGTATGGTCTTCTGGTTGTTTATTTCTGATAGCACATAGTGTCCTACTTTGTCCTAGTTTTTAATGGTGCTTCTGTGGCCTGGCGCAAGGGAATGATTTTTGCCATAACGTAGATGTACACTATGCAAAGTGCCGAATGTATGTCTCAGTATGTTTAGGCTCATTTTCTAAACATTAACAGGTATTCTTGGTGTATCCTCAAATCTCTATCAAAGAGAGGGGATGTGGATAGCTGATGATAACTGTACAGTAGCAGTGTATCTTCTGGTAGGTTAGTTGAGAAATATTGCAGCAGGAGTGAATCTTCCATGGATTTCTCTTGGTGTAATGAGGAATGACCACATTGTTCAATGTCCTCAAAGCCACATTTGCCTTCAGAGTGGCACCTTTGGCTCCTGGGAAGTGGATTGGGCTGTCTTTGTTTCAGATTTGGCTCATATTTATCTCTTCAGTTGTAATCTGTGGATGAAATAGCACACCAGATTGATTCAGTTCAAACTGAAGGTGCCTGCTTGCTTGTAAGCTCGTGCTCTTTGGTAAACCGGAGTATTTAGGTAGGTGAAGTGTGCAGTGGGGAATAATAATACAAAACAAACTAAAGATAAAATTTGTTACTTGTGTGGAGGGCCATGTGGAAAGCATTGCCTGAGTACTTGCATATATGCGTGCATTAGGACTTCAGAGGGGACTTCAGAATGTGGTATTCAAAGCTATTTCAGACCATTTGGAGAGCATCTCAGTCGGTTTTCAATGAAGTGGATGGGCACAGATTCTCCCTAGGAAAATGGTTATTCCATGCTCTATAATGTTTTGGAAGAGCTGAGTGACTGTCAGTGAAGCTGAGAGACTCTGCTAAATCTGTCTGGTGGCAGGTCCAACAGATTTGAAGTTTTGTGTTATAATTAGGAAAGTACACAGAAAGCAAATATTGACAGTGGTGAATTACACAAACTTCCACCAAAGGTACAAACCCTTTATAATTTGCAGCCTTTGTTGTTGCAGGGTAAAGAGCGTCTCATTGCACTTGACTCAATCTACCCACACAACTATACAAACAAATACCGAACATGTCCTCTGAACTCCACAGATCTGCAGATGCCCAAATCACTTTGCTTTCCTAGCAAACACTCAAGTGTTGTGGACAGAATAGAACCTTATTTCTCAGATATTAAGTTCAGCCTCATTGCTTGGGTTAAAATGCGGCTTTTTAAAAACAAAGTCTCAAAAGAGATTATTGCAGTTGAAAAGCATAATTAATTAATCCTCAAATAACACATTTTTCAGGTTTGCATATAATTTCACTTGGTGTTAATAATATTCTTTGAACCAGTTTGCAATCTTCCATACCCTTAAGTGTATGTTTTTTTTCTTAATAATCCCCTTGTATTAGTCACTGGAATTTTCATTTAGCCAAATACATTAAAATAGTATCTCAGGACAGGATTCTGCTTTGCAATTGAGTTGCATTGAAACACTTTTTTTTTTTTTTTTTTTTTTTTTTTTTTCTTTCCTTTTTCTTTCCTCCTGCTCTCTGTGCTCACAGTGAAGCTGTAACCAGGTGCTGCAATAAAGGAAGAGGCCACTGGCATTTCTCTCACCTTTATTAATAGGCTAGAGTGTAATGTCCCTCTCTGTGTCCCACAGGGCTGTGTATGCATTCTTCAGCTGTGTCCCCCTCTGTGCCAGCACCTTCCTGGCAGTGGCAGGAGCCTGGAGCAGCAGCGGGACGTGCTCTGCCTGACTGCCCCCGCCATGGGTCTTGGGGCACAATCCCTGGGCTAGAGCTCCTGCTTGCCCGAAGCCATGACATGGGTTTAGGGGTGTAAAGAGTGTTTTGTACAGAGCAGTATTAAACCTATTTAACCTTTGCTTGAACCTTCAGCTAGAGAGATGAGCTTTCTGTTTTTTCAGCCTCACTTTGTTAAATGATTAAACAGTGGAGAGTAAATGGAGGGAAACAACAAAACCCTTAATTTCTGTCTTTTCCATTGGTGGTTCGCTTGTCCTCTCCAGAGCATCTTCAGATCCACTTAGGATGTGCTTCTCCCCCCTGCTCTTTGCCTTGTGCCAGCCTGCTCCTGTTGGTACTGTTCAATGTTCCCGATTGGTGGCTGGTCTGCTGAGTCTTGGCAAAGCCCTGATGCTTTTCCTCTGCTTGTATGCTTGAAGATGACTTGAGTCTTATCCAGTGGAGCTGTGGCAAGGATTGTGGGCAGTTGAAAGAAGAGGGATGTAAAAGCTGAGATCTATTTCCTTATTTTTCTGCCTTAGCATTCTCTGTGGTTTCCTCACACTTTTCCTGCTCTGACCTTACTCAATTTCCTAAACAGGAGAGGAAGTTTTCAGATTGTATCGTGTAGATTTGAATACTCAAATGCAAGTCAACCTATTTCCAGAAATGCTGATTTTTTTTTTTTTTTCTATCTTCTCCAGCACGCCTGGCTGCTTCAAAGTGGTTATTAAGCATCAATTTAATTACCTGGAGCTGCTGAAGCAGTGCTAGAGCTTTACTTGACATGATGCAACGTATTGGGTTAGGTCATGGGTGTCTGCAGGTTAGACATGCTTGGGTTAGGTGCTGGGTGTGCAGCCCGGAGAGGGAAGGAGATGCCAGCAGAGTTGTTGAAACTGCCTCTGTATTCTTGACCTGGAGCAAACATGAGGTAAACGGTGTTAGCTTAAGTCTTGGTGAAAGCTATTAAAGATAACATGCTTTACCTCTCATTTGCAGTAGTTTACAAGCATTATCACTGCTCAACGAACACATACCAATTCATTAAGCCTTTGCAACTTGATTGTGGATTTGTGGGCTTAGAGATGCATGGGAAAATGTGTATGCTTGAACTCGTTGGTATGTTGTGATGTTTCAGCTGTCTTGCTTCTTTCAGATCCATGCACAGGGTGCAACAGCTTTAACACAGTCTCATTGCTTTGCCCTTTTGTAGGTGGATAAAGTTCGAGGAGAAGGTAGAACAAGGTGGGGAACGATGGAGTAAACCTCATGTGGCCACATTATCCCTGCACAGCTTGTTTGAGTTAAGGACATGCATAGAGAAAGGCTCAATAATGCTGGATATGGAGGCCTCTTCTCTTCCTCAGGTAGTGGGTAAGTAAGCTTCCTTGGTTCTTGCTCTAAACAATTCAGTTCAGCTTACAATTGACCTCTGTGGTGGTTTCCTTTGAAAGCAAGAAACTGAGCATCGCTGTTTTTGCTCCTTTGTTTTCACTGAAATACTCAAGAATTTATTATTGCCAAAGACTTCCTGGAACAAAGTGTGAAATAAGTGTTAGAAGATCCCAGGCTTTTTCCCCTCTTATTAGGGGTAGGAGTTTGAAGGCAGCCCATCCATTTTCACTGTATAATAAAACCACTACTTTTTCATTAAAGGAGGAAAACAAAGAAATAGTCCTCCTAGGAATAACAGAAACCTAGAAGAACCTCCAAGTAGGAGAAGGATAGCCAATGTATGAAAAGCATTCTTCTCATTTCAGGAAGAAGAGCGAAAGAATCTGCTTCAGTGATAATTATGCTTGCTTTGAATTATCTTTTGGTTTTAAATAGAATCATTTGGATCCTGAGGTAGATATCCTAAATTTACCACGTGTTTGAAAGGAAAGGCATACACTGACTGAATTTGTTTACAACCAGAACTGAGACATTTAAGAGGCTACCTCACTCAGAACAGGAATGCCCATCAAGTATTGCTTTGAGCAGAACAGTTGCAATCTAAGGCTCATGTGGTCAGATTGTAGACTGTTTTCAGATGAATTTGCAGGCTGGGCTGCTAGAAGCAGGTTTAAAATAAAAGTGCTCCTCTGTGACAAAGGTGGATGAAGAGCAGTCACAGGGATAGCAGGGTTTTTTTGCAGTCAAAATAGCTGTGGCCCAGGATGATGCTCAGTGACATTGCTGAGAGCTATACCATGTTCCCAGTGACGTGTGGAAAGTCATATGAAAATAAATCTAAGAAGTGAGCCATCCAGTGGAGATACATTTAAACAGTATCCTGAATTTAGAAGGCATTGTGTGAAGAGGTGTAGAAGTGTAAAATGAAATAAAAATGCCATAGAACTTAATGCTTTGAATCCTAATCTCAGGCTTAGTATTTTCTTGGCATAAAATAAAATTATCACGTGACAAGTATTGGATTAGTTTGTAAGAGTTGAAGTTAGAAGCTACCTACGGAGTTTTGAGCTGCTTATTTTTGTAGGTGTTTGACATGGCATTGTCTTCCTGTATTTTTTGTGTCTGTATACCCCAGTACATGACATTACAAAGTTTTTTGTTTGCTTTTTTTAAATAAATTATTCTGGTTGAAGTCACTTTGAGATGTCACCTTGAATAACCTTTTTCATCTCCCAAATGAAATGTAATTTCTGGGACATTAACTCACAAATTAGTGGCTGCTGTTGCTGTACTACTGTTCTGTGTGGGATACTTGTGCTGCTGTAAGTCCAAATCCTTACTCAGATGCAGAGGGATTTCTAAGAAGCCTGCTGGCTTGGTTTCCAGAATTATTTAATCATGATAACTTTATTGATTTCTAGTAGTGACAGGCAGGAAAGTAAAATGCACGGAGCTCTGTTGACTTGTGTTACATCAGAAGCACAAAAAGGAATAAATACTTGCCAGATGGAGAAGGATAAACTTGATAAAGAAAGGCATGTTGTTCTAAGGAAACATTCCAAAAATCACTAACAAGAAACATGAACAAAAGCTTGCAGAAAAACAGCACTTAAAAAAATAAAGCTTTTGTGTACATGTATATAATTGTTCTTTTCTGAGTTGGAATGGAAGTCTGAGGCTCTTTTCTCTAGTGATTTGAAGAGGCATTAATTCTTTAGAAGAAGGTGACTTTCTGCCTCACTGAGTTAGCAAGTGTGGTGAGTGTTCTGCCTCCGCTTTCCCATAACTTTTATTATTAGCACAAATAAAAGTTACTAGTAGACAAATAAGAGCTGCCACTTTCCCCTGGGGGATGGCATGTTAACTGAAGTAATAAAGGGAACAACTTAATGTGAAATTTATTGCACAATAGAGATTTTTGTAATAAGTCAGGCTACCTTTACTCCTCCCCTGTGGGACAAAGGAACAGAGGAGAGAATTGATGGAAAGCAAGCAGTGAGTTGCAGATTGATGATGGTTAAAGGCTGAAGACGAAGTCCTATAACATGTTGTCTGAAAACAGGAGCAGGTTCTGCCATCTGTAGTTGCTGTCATTTTACTTCAGTTACAAGAATGAAAGATTTAATTAGTGACTCATCTCCAGGACTTTTTCCTGTAGATAGATTAGGTTTTAGCAGGGGCCTATTGAGGTGACTCAGGGCTTGCTGAAGCTGATAGAATTTTTGCCATGCTATTTTTGAAGTCATACTGGAACTCACGATGTAGTTATAGCTTCTTCTTAACATAGGGTTGGAGCAGCCCTCTCTCTGAGCTAAGAGCAATCTTGTCCTGTGAAAGGTTGTTTGGCAACCTACTTAATGGCATGAAAAAAAAAAGAACAGGATTTTGATGGAAAAGGTGTGTGTTGGTGGCTGATGGGTTTTCCTCGGTGGAGATGATTCTTACATTTCAAGAAATGTTTATAAGAGATTCCCATTAGAAATAAAGTGGTATATCTGGTGGTAACTTTGAGATGGGGAGGAAGGAATTCAAAATGGGATGGTGAACATCTTCTCCTCTCCTTTCATGTAGACAAGTTCTGGGCTTTGGGATTCATTTTCCTTTCCCTTCTCTCATCTCTTCCTGTGCAACAGAAATGATTGTCGACAATCAGATTGAGACAGGGCTCTTGAAGGCAGACATGAAGGACAAAGTCACCTACACGCTGCTCAGGAAGCACCGGCACCAGACCAAGAAGTCCAACCTGCGTTCTCTGGCAGACATTGGAAAGACCGTCTCCAGTGCAAGTAGGATGTTTACCAACCCCGATAATGGTAATGCAGAGGCTAACTGGCTATAGCCTTCCGTTTTAAAGCAACCCACCAACCTTGCCTGCTAAAAACTAACCTTGTTGCCATGACAATGCTTTTCTAACGCATAATTAGCGTAGCAAGACCCGCACTGATGACACATCAGTGTTGGGCTCTGAAGGCTGCTTTTGCCGTGGCACATTGCTCTAACCCTATCTTCACTGGACGGAAAGGGAGAGGAAGGGAGGTGGCAGGCAGCAGGATGCAACAGGTATGTAGGTGGTGGTATTGGAACAACATTAGGAAAGAGAGACAACAAACTCTATGTGTGCCTGAACCCAAAAGTCTGATCATCTGACATGCTTGGGCAGAGATGAAGCTTTTGCGTGTGTTCGATTTTTTATTTTTTTTTAATAGATTGTGTCAATGGCACTCTTAATCAAAAATTATGTGAGAGTAAAATCTAGCTTGCATTTTATTGCCATACAATCATTGTCCAGTGTGGGTAAAGCTCATTTCCATTTTGCTTTGTTCAACCTAAAATTGTTTTGTGGTGTATGTCATGTATGCATCTCTGTTTCTCTTTTAAAAACTACTGTATGTGTAGTGCTTATTGTATGTAGTGTTGTCTGTATAAGTTTGTGTGTGTTTGTGTGTGTGTGGATACAGACAGCTATAGAGGCCTTGGCAGTGGCTCTGTACTTACTCAAACACTGAGATTTGCAGTCACGTTAGTAGTAACGTTAAAAAATTTTCGCATCTTCAAGTTCTGCAAACTGTCTCATGTTGCAGTATGAAAACTTGTCTGAAAGTTGCTATTTTAAAACACCCAGAAAAAGGAGCAAGCTGATACTCATCATGCTGTCTCTAAGGCCTCTAAGCTTTCTGTGTTCTGCTTCTAAAGCTTGCTCTAACATTTCTCCCTCACTAATTACCTTACTTAATTAATATTTCCTACTTTTCATTGTCCTTGGCTTTTGCTACAGGTGTGTATGTGCATGTGAAGAATATTTATTGCTCTTGATAATGCATCTTATCACATACCAGTGTCTTGATAATTGAATGAATGAAAAAAAATGAACAGAAACTTGAATTGAAGAAATGTCCTAAGTGTGCAGCTTTTTGGTGAATATCCCTGCAGGAGTCCAATGTAGCAAAGACCAGGACTGTGCGTTGGACTGTTGCTCCTTCTGCTTATTTTTCAGACCAGGCATTTCAGATTGTATCATAGAATGGCCTGGGTTGAAAAGGACCACAATGATCATCTATTTTCAACCCCCCTGTTATGTGCAGGGTCACCAACCACTAGATCAGGCTGCCCAGAGCCACCCATCCAGCCTGGCCTTGAATGCCTCCAGGATTGGGGCATCCACAACCTCCTTGGGCAACCTGTTCCAGTGACTAACTCACGTTTGTTTTCAGTTCGCCTGAAAAACTGTGTTCTTCCACCACATGTTCTGGGGCTTTCTGCTGTCTCCCCTCTGGCCTTCCAACAATTTCCCCACTGTTTGCTCCTGACTTCTGTTTAAAAAATACACTCTGAGATGCACTCACTTGATTCTTGGCTCCAACTGCAAATCACCTGCTTAAGCATAGGCACTTTGGCACTCATGGTCATGGTGGCATAGAGACCTGTTTTTGTGCCTGCTCATGGTATGTTTACAGTGCCACAGTCAGGCCTAATGGCTCTCAAATTGCAAGGGAAGCTGAAAGACAAACTCCTGGATATAAGGAGTGCCTGTGTTTGGGCAGTGATAGACTCTTTTCCTATCTTATGGTTAAACTAGTAACCAAGCCTACTGTTTTATTCTGAGTACTTAAGGAATTCCTAAGGTGTAGAAATGTAAAGAAACCTTTAGGATTGACTATATGGTATTGCTGAGATTAGTGTCTCCTTCAGACTTGCCAACAATTTAACTGAAAGGGTTAAGACTTGCTCTATTTACAACGTGCATCCACCTTCTACCTCTGTCTTGCTTCTATCTTTGCTGAACTATATGTTTGTAACAGCCTCCTTGTTTTGCAGCAGCCGGTGAGTGTTGGCAACCTTTCCTTTCTGCAGCTAAAGTCACTCACTGAAGAGCCATCAAAAGCTCAGAGTGTAAAGAGGAATTAAAACTTATTTACAAGGTTTGAGGGTAAATCATAGACAATGTCTTATCACTTGGATGATAAATCCTGACTCTTTACCATAAGGAGTTAGACATTCAGTACTGATTTAAAAGTAAATAATATCCTACTTCTTCAGGGAGGTTGACTTTGGTAAAGGGCACTCATCTAAGTTCTCACTCTAGCCACTGCTTATTTTTCATGGCTGTGAGCATCCTTTACTCAGACAGTAGGTGTTTTAGGTTTCCATTCATTTCTCTTTTGTATTTAAAGAGACCGATTCTTAAGAAATTATTTTCTGGCTTTGCTTGGCCCACTGGTTGACCTTCGGCAACTTCTTTCATTTTGTTTTGCCTCTGTTTCCTACCTGGAGTATTCATGTGTAGTGAGAATATAATAAAGCATTGTTTTTCATGACAATTCAAGTACTTTTAAGGAGGGAGAGACTCAAATACAAAGGGAAATACTTCATGAATAGTTGTTGCTGTTATTTATTATTTACACTTTAATGAAAAAGTAACTCAGTGAAACACATTCTAGAGTTATACTATGCTCCCTGGAGTTCAATGAGTGTCTTCCATGTAATTCTGAAGGCAGAATTTGTCCTTTACACAGATAAAATTTTAATGAATCCGACAGGAGTGCATCTGCCTTTTAGCATAGCTAATAACAATAATAAAAGGGCCATCAGCCCCAAGCACTCATAAATTTAACTGGAGTTTCATTCCAGGTAGATATTTCCTTTCAGTTTCTGCTTTTTTGTTCCAGTGTCAGTGAAACTTCCATACAATATTCATGCTGCATCCAGGTTAATGAGAATGACAGTCATTCTGGACACAGGACTTGTGCAGTGCTTAAGTCTCACCTTCATATAGTAGGTTTACAGGCTGGTATATTTAAAAAACAACTTGGTGTTCTGCTCAGCTGATGTTTACTGATGTTATTAAAAAGGCTAACTTGTCATCTTTAGACCTACCATAAAACACCTTGATGTAAATTACAAAGTGCTCTGCTAATTCAGTTTGTGTTTGTTAAAGGTTGTTAATGAAATAGCCACTGAAGCTTAACTAGACCCTGTGGTATGTTATGTATAAAAATGTTATGCACTGTATTGCTTTTAGTGGACAATCACGATTCTTTTGGAACTTACGATTCTGACAGGTATCTAATTACATTGAATTACTTTGAAAAGCATGCATTTAGGGAGCACTTTCAGATGATGCCATTAGCAGGGATTCTCACATGATTTTCCCTAATATTTTTTCAAGTTAAACTTAAAGCCTAAATTAAACAGTGACAGACTTTTTTTCAAGGGCTTTTGTTAGAAATCTGAAAATACACCCTGGGTCCCTGGTCTTCAAAAACTCTTAAGTGCATGTATCTCATTTCTTTCAGAATGATAAGGTGACAAAATCTTAAAGGCTTGAAAATTTTCTTTGTGGTAAACTTGTTAGAAGCTACTATTCTGGTAATTATATAGGTCATTCACAGTTAAAAGTTTTGAATTTGAATACATATATATATATGTATACATATTTGAATACATATATCTTAGAACAATATCTTAGAACAATAGTCAGGAGAAAAGTAAATAAGCAATAGGTTGCTAAGATGTAGCTTATTACATATTGGAGGTGCTGACACAGCTGCCCGGAGAAGCTGTGGGTGCTCTATCCCTGGAGGCTCTCAAGACCAGGAGGGATGGGGCCCTGGGCAGCCTGAGCTGGTAGAGGGCAGCCATGCTCATGGCTGATCTTTAAGGTCCCTTCCAACCCAATACATTCTATGCTCCTTTGATATTGTAGTGAGCATTGTGAATTTCTTAAAGTATTGTGGTGCTCTCACTTCTGTCTCTGGGTGTCAGGCCTAGGTGCTGGGATCTGACAGCACAATTTTGTGAGCCTGTGGCAGCTCTGTGAGCTGCTTGTAGACCCTGAGCAGCCCACAGAGTGGCCATTTGCCTTCCCTCATTGCAGTGCCTGATGCTGACTGGTCCGGCTGCTCCTGTGCGTTGGAGAGCCGCAGCCAGGCTGACCGTGGCTCTGCAGCAGGCAGTCATCCTGCTCCCGCTGCTTTTGCTTCACTGCTCTTTTTGATGACAGCCTACAGAGCAATCAGATTGGCAGAAGCGTTGAGCTTCAGAGTGGCAAAGGTGTGCAGTGAGTGCTTTTTAATCATAACTGTGTCATGAAGATGGCTCCTTACCCTTTCCTAGTGCTTGTGTTTGTGGGAGGATGTTTTCTCAGTGAGCCTTTTGCTCTTGAGAAAGAAACTGCAAAAGATGATAATTTCTTGTTTGACGCTTAGTGGAGGAGGATAAATCAAAGCACTTCTTTGCTGTCCACTCAACAGGAAAAAGATGATTATCAAAAAGCTGAGCAGACAAAGCTGTACTAAGCAATTACTAAAAGTTACCTTACAAAGACAGCGCCCTTTTCATTTCTATTGGCAGAGAGCTGAGATGTCTGATACGTTCGTTGAGGGCCTTTAGATACGTTCCAATTGAACTCTTGCAGAGTTTTTGTATGTCATGTTTTGTTAACTGTCTTTCTGAGAGTTCTCTGTGTTAATCCAGTTGTGTCCTTTCCTGGCACAGGATGCAGCATTTGAAGTGAGCCCCTCCAGTAGATAGTGCATACACTAGACACTATCCAGCAGCCTTTGCCCAACTGGCACCCCTTTGAGTCATAATGCAGATCTGCCATTGGTTTGCCACTGTATAAAATGAGAGTAGTGCTCACTGTTCCTTATGCAGGTGCCTGAGGACTGTCTCCTAATCATTTGCCAGTACTGTGATGAGGATATTTGCTATGCAGTGCATATTTTCCTCGGTTTTGCATAAAAGTTTCATGCCTGCCAGCATTTTGTATAACAACACCTGTGAGAGCCTTTGGCAAAAGTGCTGAAGAGCAGTGATCGAATTATACTGAGGGCAAGCTGGTGGAGGCTGTAGAAAACTGTGATGTGTTTATGTGTGAGTATCTAACCCTCCTAAACAATGGCATGCTCCCCATCACCATATGAATGTTCAAACACCTAACAAATGTTTTTATTTTTGCTGTGCTGACAGAATTTTGGTACCAGCTAAAATAGCAATTCTACCTTTTAAGTGCATTGGCTACTGTACTGAGAGAATGACTGCTAGCAAAAGCTGAAAACTTCCCCTGTGATTTTTTAAATACTATATTGGAGTTCAGCCTTATTCAGTTGAGTATTTATCGCAGAAACTGCGTCCACAATCCTTCCAGTGAGCTGAAAGATATAATGTCAACTGAATAAGGAGGAGCACAGGAGAAGAGAGATATTCTCCAGGGACGCTTGGAAAAAAAAAAAAACCAACAACCCATGATGCATTTATCCATTTGCTTTATTTGAAGCAGTATGGAATGTAGTGTGCCTTTCCAAACCCTAAGTGATGTACATCAGGGTATGTATACAGTCAGGATGCTCAAAGTTGGCTCCTACAGGGAAGCAACTTTTTTTTTCCCCCCCCAAAAAGCACTGTGTTTGCCACTTTTACTAACTGCTTTGCTTCCTGGGACTGCTCAGCACAGCTCAAATATCAGCTGCCTTCATCACTTGTTTGAAGTCTACTTCTGAGATGCCTGAGTTTTAGACATGAAGGATGAAAGATTGGCTGCAGACTTTGCCAGCAGGGGACATTCTGTGTTCCAAATAAGTAGGCTTGCTTCTTTTGTTACCAAACTATACAGGAAGGTGCACTTCTGTGTAACTGCAAATGTTCAAACACTGTCTCCTAACTCGCTTCTTTGTGCAACTGCATGAGCATTTTTATTTTTTTTTCTTTGACTTTTCAACTTTGCTCTCTTCCTCCCCTCTGCTGCTGCCTCTGTCTCCTGCTTGCACCACAAAAGCACGCAGCCCACTCCAGAGCTCTGTGCCCTGCCTAGCGACACGCACGCTGGATGATGAAATCCAAGTGCAGCACAGCCCCAGCGTGGGATGGCTCAGTAAGTCAGAGACTGGGATGTGGGGAGTGGGCTGGGGGGCTTCCAGAAGGAAGGATGGGTGACTGGCATCAGCTGGTGCCTTAATGCTCACTGCTGCATGAACGGGGAATAGACTGGAAATCCATTCTTGAGGGAATGGAATAGCTGCTATACTGACTGCCCATTTACCCCCACCACACCCTGCTCTTTTTTCACTCTTTTGCTTTATATGTTTGTTTTTCCCTCCATCTGTAGTGGAACAGGTAGGTCAGTCTGCACTCCCTTTCAGGAAGTAGGCTATCTTGTAACCCATCTAGCAAAATTTCATTCATGTGTTGAAACATCCTTTGGCTGTTGAGAGCGTCTCATGAATTTTGCCATCAATGTAATAAAATAAATGCAAGAAAGTTAAATATTTTAATTTCCATATAAATTAAATACAGAAATAGGTTTCCTTTGTCACATAGCTCTCAGACGCCTCCAGCTTTGTCTCTCTGTGATGAGCTGGGCTTTTCTCAGGCTGTGTGTCATTTTATCCTTGTAAAATATTACTCATTGGGATCCTTGCTGATCACAGAGGAGTGAGCTGTTCCCACAGGAAAGCACAGTCTGCTGCTCTGATGACACAAAGATGTTCTTTATAAGCCATGGCAATATGTAAAAATCTGAATTTCAGGATATTGATTGTGAAGGATGACTACCAAGCTTGTCAGTAGAATGAGGCAGTAAAATAGAGGAGTTTGGATTGATTGCCTTTCTTTTTGCACCAGTACTTTACTGAGCACAGCCAAGGAGAGATTCATGTTGCCTTTGCCAAAGAGATGGCAATATAATTGAGGCCTGAATCACGTAAATACCCTTAGCAAACAGTGCTAGGGTGATCATCGTGTGCTGAAGTCTTTGGCTGAAATTTCAGCAGCAGAAACCTTTTACATTACTGATTTGTTTATGGCACTGAGAGTCTGTAGACTGATAGGCTTGTTGCTTTCTTCTGCCCCTGTATTTTTTTTCCACTCAGAGAAGCTGTACACCTGAGGACTCAGTCCCCTCTTTCCTGTCTTTCTCACAAGTGATGTTGCTGGGCTTGCTACATGTTTCCCTGTCACGGTCATCTTCAATGTTTGAGTTTGCTCTTATGAGCAGCTCATTACACACAACCAAAAAAATGCCACATCCTTCCTGACTTCAAGTCTTCAGTGGTGCAGCCGTTAGAAACATGAGTTTGGAGATCTGGGCTGTACAGATTTGAATGATGATGTCCACAAAGCCAAATGGCTTTTGGTACAGGTTTGCACATAACACATCCTGCATTTGTAGCAGCATTTCAGTGGCTTTACTTCACAGTCAGTATAAATGCAGGGATTTGGGGCAAACTTCTAAATGCAAGCTGTGGCGCAGTCAAGTTTCTTAGGTCAGCAAAGATGGTTAAAGGTGATGCTTATGGTTTCCAATCTGTCACTGACTGAAGTAAGAAGTAAAACAAGAAGTTTCTTTAAAGAAAACAGAAGAGCAGTGTTGAATTGCCAGCTAGAGATTTACGGGTGAGAGAGCGGGATGCTTTTCAGCCTGAGGATTGTGACAAAGAAGTTTCATGAGACCCTTCAGCCCCACAGGTTCATGCTTTTTGTACAGAGCTTTGTCTGGTGCCCTCACTTCTGGGCTCCATTCCCTTGTCCTTGTTTGGCCTTGCAGAGGTAATGCTAGCAGTGATGATTTAAGAGCATTTACAAGGCCATGTTTGTAGGGAAATGCGGTATCTTTATTAAATAGAAGCGGAAAGGGTGCAAGTTTTTTGGCACATTGGTCTGTCTGTATCTGGAATAAAAATGAGAAACCTCAAAAAAAAGGATTCTCTGAGAAGAGCTACTGTAGTTTGGTGTGTTTATGTTGATTGTGCTGGGAAATTGAGAGAAAAGGTAATTGCTGCTTGAGAAGCAGAGAGAGGTGATAGTTATTAGCCACTTCCTTTAGCAAGAAAGGGTAGTAATCTTCTAACAAATCTTCAGTCCCATACTTCTAGTAATAGGGGAAATACATGCTGTAGTCCAGAAAGTTATCAGCTATGAAAGCTGGGGACTCTAATTTTCAGGACTGGACCCAGAAATCTGTAAAACTGCCCAAGTGGTGCTCAGGAAATGAAGAGAGCTTTAGCACATGCCTTACTCTACAATTATGCAGTGCAGCACTTCTGAATAAATTGTATTAAAGCCATGTTTAACAACCCTATAAAATAAAATCATCTGCATTTTCTGCACTTCTTCAGAGCGTTTTGGAAGCCATATTTAGTTCCTTCTCAGCTAGAGGCATTAGCCATTCCGAGACTCAAAGGTATCATGATAAGACTGGAAGAAGAGGAAATGGGTCTCTGTGCTGCACTCTCCCTGGCTACAACAGTGGAAAAGCTCTCACGAACCGGTTTTGTGCAGGCAGGCTGTGTGGGATCTGCCCATCTCCAGGGGACTCTGAACTTCTCCAGATCTGTTTAACTCCGCTGAATACTTTTTTCTTTATTTTCTATCACTTGCCAGCACTTAAATGAACTGATAGGGACTTTGCTTTGAGTCACTGACCTGCATGGAACCAATTACCAGTGTGAACAATCTTCACGTTTTAAAGAAAGTGCTTCCCTGCCTTTTCAATTGATTGTATTGGCTCAGATTTGCAAAACAGCCATGTGCATTTCTATATAGAGCTTCAATCTTTCATTTTAATTTAACACTATATTTATAGATTTGTCAAAGATTTCCCAGAGTTTTGGCAATATCTGTGCAACCTTTCAAAGATAATTAGTCACACCATGTAAGAAAAAGGAGCCTTGGATTTCAGTAATGGGATTCAATTTTCCAGGAACCTGCTTTTTAGAAAAAAAAAAATAAATATATATAATAAATCCATCTAATCTTTTATTATTTATTAAATATCTACATCTCAAAGTGTTACGTACACCTTTTTAGAAACACAAAGTAACGTCTTTTCCACGTAAGAGATGCAATGTACATAAACAAGTTTAATTGCTTTTTTCCTGTTTTGCATACATGCTTATCTCCTCTGTACAGATTCATATCAAACAGTCAATCAAGTGCTGTAAATATTTCTAAGTTTGGCTTGCTAATAATTAGGAGAATGGTTACTTATAAATGTAACTTAAACCAGTCCTTCAAGTGGCGTTTCTCATGCTATGAATAAACACATTTGTAAGAACTTAGTAGATATAGGTGGGGTCTTAAGCCTGGCAAGCAGTAACAACATGAAGAAGAAAAATCTGAGGATCTTCCTTTTATAAGATACACTTGTGCTTCGTTTTTGCTGTGTCATCATTCCTGGATGTGGCAATAATGCACAGCATATACTGTGATTCAGAGTGGCTCATGAGAAAGAATATCATAAATCCGTCTCTGTATATATGAAACATATTGTAAGGAAAACAATATCTCCTTTCTGGGGGGAACAGAGAGGGGGGGGGTTGTCCAGATCTTATGACTCCTTGTATTTATTAGTTGTTATTTTATATAATTATTACCTATTTCTTGATATTCAGATATATTACCAAGTTCATTTCTCTGTGGGAGTTGCTGAAAATTTGAACTTTCATTTTGTTATGAATATCAAACCATAAGTTTAATCAATGTTTTCTCAAAACATACACTAGCCTAGAGATATCTCAGAATTTGGGAAGTGCCTCAGTGCAATTTCTTTCTGAGTGTTTTCTCTCTTTCCAATTATGCTCATGATCAGAAACACTGGTAAGAGCTCCTGTTGCTATGCTTCTGGTTTCTGGGAGAAGGGTGAAAAATTTCAGAACAATTATTAAAGAGCATGCTGATTGCTGAGTGTTGGGATTTTGTATCCATCCCAGAAGTTTCTTTGCTATTCTATGATTTTTCTTCTTTCGTGATTATGGCTATTTCTAGATTTTCTTGCAAGTCCTTTAGAACTATTTTCATATAGTCAGCTACTCTTTGAGAACATAAGAGTAAATAGCAAAAGTAATCCAAAAGAGAGTAAGCAGTGATTGAATGCCATCATGTCAAGCTTAGAGGAGCAGCTGGCCTTTGAGAGAGAAGTGGAGTTTAAAGGCTTTAGCTCTTGTTCTCCAGTACTTTTCTTTCTCTCTGAAGTATCTGGTGTTAGGAACTGGAGACTTTTTTGCCTATTGATTTGACACATGTGTTGTTTCAAACAGTAAAACCCCTAAGGTTCATGAGTTTATTTAATATGGCTAGTGGTAGAAAAGTAGAATTTTGTTATCTGCTGTTTCAAAAGACCAAGAGCTGCCAACCTTCCTCCTGTGAGCTGAAGTATTGGGTGCAGAAGAATGCAGGCAGATAGCATCTCTGTAGGATAGCTGTGGCAAAAGGTTGGCAGCAAGAAGGGAGTGTCCCCCTGTTCTGTAAAGAATGGGTGACCCAGTTGCCTCTTTCAGCAGCCAGTTGCTACTTTGCTTCCCCGCCAACCCAGACAGGAATTAGGAGATGTCCTTAGATATTTTTTTGCAGTCCTATGAGCTGTGAGAATGCTTTGGGTCAGAGGTGAACAAGGTTTAGAATTTTTCTATCCCATGTGCCACGTGAAGTTACAGAAAGCAGCCTGTCATGGTCTTAAATTGCCCACATCAACTTCCCACATGCAAGGAAAGGTGTTGCTGTAGCCTGAGCCTCTGTGTTCTTCTGACTGGATTTAAATAGGTGCTTTAATTGGTATTGGCATTGTTCTTACAGGCAGTCCAGCCATGACTCACAGAAATCTGACTTCCACCAGTCTGAATGACATCTCTGACAAGCCTGAGAAAGATCAGGTAAGCTTCAGATTCGGACTTCGCTTAGTGATGTGTTTGGTTAGGAGATGGGTATTGAGGAAGGAATAGTTGTACCAGAGATCTGAAGAAAAAGAAGAAAGTGAGCAAGGTGAGTCAGTTATTTCCGAGTCCTGTGACAGGTCTTACACTTCATCAGCCCTTGTTAAACTCTTGCAAGATGTGAAGCAAGTACTGCCATATATGGAAGCTGCCTGGCATCCTGCTGATATCTGTGAGAAGGGAACGGATGGCATCCTGATCTTGATGTATCTAATCTGCTTCCTGCTGAAAAGAGGCTCTTCAGGGTTTCAGCAGAGGTCTCACAGCACAGTAGCTCAGGTCAAGCAGCACGCCAGGGTTTATATTCATAGGTGGGATGGAGTAGAGCCAGAGCATTGAGGGGGATGTGTCCCCACTACAGCAGCTGCTGTAATAGAACGTGTTGCCTCACCCTTTGTGGTGCTTCTGAAATACAGCTATGCTAAAAGGTAAGTGTGGAAGAACAGCTTCAAAACATAGATGAATAAAAAGGTTAAAATTGGTCTTTAGTGCCTGCAGAACTGAACTCTTTTTTACCAGTCTCCAAAAAGTTTGTCTGATTTTTCAGAGTGATGTTTATGGTATTATCATATGGACTTTGTGTGTGTTGTCCTTACTTAAAGCTTAAGAGTGTGAGGGGTGTAGTGATTCTTTGTGAACTCTCTGAAACCTGGTGTTTAAATGAGATCTCTACAAATTTCAAAAAATGTTCTTGGTTTATGAAGTGGGTTATTTTCAAAGCATGACCATTTGTTTTGGTAAACCTTTTTTTCCCTGCATCTCTCAAGACTCTCTAGTCTTGTGATTATTCTGAATACAAATGAGAGTTACCCTAGGAAATTATTTGGGTTAGATAGTATATGCTCACCAGCTGAGGAAAAAACTCCAGTCCTTCGAATAAAGCCAGGTTGTATTCTTCTGGAAGTGGAGCTCTTCCATAAAGCGACAGAGCAACATAACTGTAGAAAAAATGAGTTCCGCTTAATTGAATGTGGCATACCTGTTTTTCTCTAGTCCTCCTGTCCTTTATTCCTCACCTGGCATGCAGTTTGTGCTACTGTTATTTTCAGATACTAAAAAGTATGTTATCTTCCTCTTCAGTATTTGAAAAATCCACACAAAGGAAAGAAATGGCTGGTAAGGCAAACAGCCCCATAATGTTGAACGTGCAGAGTTTATGTAATAGAGCAATGAAAAAAATTCCCTCTGGTACCTCCTTTAACATACAGAAAATACTTCAATGGAAAAAAAAAGTGCAGTGTGTTTTGCAGTATTTTTCAGTTGGATCATACGGCTGCATTTATTTTTTTCTCCAAAATACTTTTATGTACTTAGCCATACTCAAGGTAAGCGTAATTGTAAAATCGCTTTTTCACTGGAAAGACTGCTGGTTTACATTTTTAATTAGACTATAATTGGGGTCTTAGAGCGACAGAAAACTAGGTCTGAATGTTGCAGCAGGCTTCTTAGATTTCATTAGTACAAGTGGTCTCAATTGTTCCTCCTACTGAAATGTCTGTGGACACGTACAGATAATAGAGTTTTTGTCTAGAATTGTATACTAAAATGTTTTGGTGGGGCTGATACTCAGTTCTGCTAATAAATCCAATTTGGAAATGTGCTCCAAAGTTTTTAGCTTTCAGTATAGATAATACTTTACTGTTTATAGTGAAAACTGTTACTTTTAAACTAACAAGTTCCAAAAAGCCGCTTAGTTAATTAGCTCATGTCCTTCTGATGAACTTTGCACAATGGAACCCTTGTACTGTATGCTTGTTGAAGCTGGTCTGAGAAATCACCTTAGCTCTCAATTTTCATTACTGATTTACTGAAACTCCTGTCCTGATAAAATCTGTGAGACTGTGATGATGCCTGGCAAATTTCTTGAGCAGAAGTTAGCATGCTGTACAGGCACGAGGGAATAATTCATGGTGTTATGACAACAGGAGCTGGAAAGAGAACAGATTCTTGCCTTGACATCAGAGTGACTGGCTTTCATTATCTTCGTATCCCATCTGGAAGCCTGACAGTTAATGAGGCCATACAGTGAGATATCAGTCTACTGAAGAAAGAGGCTGTGCTGTTTTCTATTTATTTGTGTGCGTGTGTGTGTATCAGAGGTCAGTTTGTCTTTAAACTGTGACAGTCTGAAATTTGTTGGTAACAATTTCTTGGAGTTATACTGGGACCAGATCTTTTCCATCAAACATTATTTTTGCATGTATAAAGGAGAGTATCGTGTGTGTGTGTTTTAAAGGAAAAGAAAGGCTTTGAACAAAGTTTAATATAGCATCAATAATTTTCCTGCCTACCTACACCCTTACTTTCAATTTTGCAATCTTTAATACTAATTGGAATGATGCCATTTACAGTAGTGACAATAAAACCAGAATCTCCTTTTTATCTGTTTCTATAGGTTTTTACTGAGCAGAAAGACACCTTGGTAGAATTAAAGTAGAGGGTTCTGGATGCTCTTTCTTCAAACTGTGAAGTGTACAGCTCAGATGATGTTTCCCGTCTTTGTCCCTTCTCCAGTACTTTGCCACTTGGAGAAGTGGTGGTGATGAATGCTTTGGAATTACAGTATGCCCACAAGCCCTCTCTTAATGAGGTTTGAGAGAGCAGGTTTTGTGACTGTCACACAGTACTACGTGGAAAAGGATGTGGATCATCCTTTGGAGCAGCTCTTGCCAGCGGGTCCTGGACTCCCCTTGCTAAAAGCAGCTTAGCACCTGAAAGTGGCTGTACTTTTCAGTACTTTCAGCTTACCTAGGAGTATCTTTTTACCCAATTTCAGTCTTCAACTCCAGGGATCTTTAACTTTGTGCATCTTGAGAAGCTGTGTCTCCACTCAGCAGCAGTTCCATCACATGCTGTTGGAAAAGCAGGCTGATCCTGGGTACCCACCTGCTGTATTTCCCAGGATGTTGTAAAGTCTGAGTGGAAAACTGGTGTCTTCTGTTGTATGATCCTGATATTTCTTTGCAATGTGTTTGCAAAGAAAATCTTCTCTCTGGAGCCAAACCTGGTGCAGATCTCTCTTGGCAGTCTGCAGTTGCCATGCCACCAACAGGTCATTTGTCTTCAGCAGGGACCTTCCAGATTGAGAGAAGATGGTGGGTGAGTCCTCTGCGAGCTCTGTGAATAGTGAGGGGAGTGGTGGGGTGAGTTTTGCCATAGATGTTAAGATTATGAAGTGGGGATGTGACTGCTTTCAATACTGAATTGTCAATTTCAACTCCTTGTTCCTAATAACAGGGGATTTCCAGTGGTAGGCTTTGAGGTTGGAGTGAACAAAAGGTCAGAAGAGGACACTGGAGGGAGGGAATTTTCTGCAGGAGTGGAATGTGTTGGCATGTTATCTAATATATTTGATCGCATCTTTTCTCTTGGAGCTGGCCTATTATTGACAGTGGTGCTTCGATGTGGGCGCCAGGGCAATGCTGTTTTCTGGTGCTTTCTCATTGTTTTTGTTTAAGATAATTGAGCTAAGGAGCAGTAGGCAGGTGAGACCTCAGCTACAAAAGCAAAAGCCCAGATTGACCCCTCCTAACAAAGGCAGTGTCTGCTGTTAATCCTGGTCTCCTGAGCTTATTTTTCAGTCCCTGTGGAGAGCTGGGATTGCAGAGTCAATTGAGGTTTGAGGTGGGCTGGTTACCTCTTGTGTAATTGCCTTGCTACCTGCAGAAGCAGCTCTGCTATCACAGACAACAGCTAAGCAGCTTGAGCTAGGACAGATGTATTCATGCCTTCATGGATCTGTGCCATGACAGCAACTAGGTGATGTACAGTCATAAAACAGAGAGGTGTTACAGCTGCTTGGATTCTAGCTGAGGGAACATCAGAGAGATGTGCTAGGAAGCACTGGACAGTTTTTAGGTTTTCTCTGAGATCTGTTAGAGGATGCCTTCCTTGAGGTTTGTCTTGCCCTGCAGAATCATTGCAGGAAGCTGAGAAAAGATACCAATGTTCAAAGGCAAATACGTGGTGGAGGTTGTAGCAGCTGCTCTCTTCTGCAGCTGCTTCCAAGAGCAGAGGAGAACAGTGTCTGAGGCAAGTGAGTGAAGACAATAATTCTCTGCTTTTTTGTCACTGAAACCTCTATATGATGAGGAGCCAGGCTCTACTGCACTGATCCTGAACCTGGCTGGATGTTCTGCTCAGCACTCTGGGTTTCTCACAGAGTGCAAAGATGGATTTTGAAGACTGACAGCACCGAGGATAGGAGCACAGCAAGAAAATATTTACAGTGGTCCTAGGACACACTGACGTGAGTACAGCAACTAGAAATAACAAGAGATAAGATTTAATTAAAATCCTACATAGCACTCAGACTTACCTGCAGTAAGCTTTGTGAGGTTGGTTCTTCTGCCCTTAGGGAAGGGATGGTTGTATGCTTACTTTGGATTTACTTTGATCTTGCTTTTGTTTTGCTTCTCTCATAGTCTTCACTGTCTTAATACACTTTCAAGAGTTAATCTTCTTACGGGGTAACCATTAAGTTGTTATCTGAGGCAAAGAAAATGAACTTAGAATCTGCCTCGGAAAAGGATGCAGTCAGGAAAGGATGCTTGGGCTCTTCCCAGAAGATCAGCAAGTGCTGCCTATTCCCTAAGTGCCAGGGTAAAGAGCCATTAGCTAGAGAGGAGAGGAAAGGAGCTCCTTGCCTGAAAGGCACTGAAGGAGCAGACACAGGCTTTACTTACAGCCGTTTTTTCCCCTCAAAGAATTCATCAGTAGCCTTGCTGTTAGCTTTGGAATCAGCAGCATCAGCTCAGTTGTGCTACTGCTGAACTTTTCTTAAGGCTTCTATCCTATGTATTCTATCTAATGCAGCTTTCTGCAGGCCTCCTGGTCCGAAAGGAGAGTTTAATACATGGTGTAGGTGAAAGACAACATTTTAAATATCATGGCACATTTTTTCCCCATTTGATTTGCAAAAAGCAAACAATATCAAAGCTGAAACAAGAAAAGAAAGGACTAGTTAGCAAAATGTAGAGTTTACAGAAATCTTTAACTACTGGATGATTTGTTGCAGAAGTTACATTGATCATATTGATTCAGCTTGCACATGTCTGTGACAGACAGAACATGGCGTGCACTGAACTCCACTGCATAATACTGGCAGTTACAGCTTGTGGCCTAGGGAAAGGAGTATTAATAGAACCTGTGTTTCTGTAGTGCAGAGTCAGGAATGGTCTGGCAGTGTTGTGTGCGGACATCAGAACTGTGCTGTCCCTGCTGTGTTGTTAGTATGTGGGCTGGTGTCAAATGAAGCTGCTTTGCACCATGCCTGAAAACCCTTGCTCACTGTGTCCTGATGTCTTTGGATTTTTCTGCTTCTCTGTCTTGGGTTCTTTGTTTTTTTGTACAGGTAAAACCTGGGAAAATGGTGAGATGCCATACAATGGGAAAGTAACTCTTCTGATAAAGCACAGTGTTGTCCACTTTAATTCATTTTAAACTTAAGCAGACCACTCAGCTCCCTTCTTATGGCCGCCTGCATTGAACATCTTGTATGATGGCATTCACAGACAGTTATCCCTTCTGGTAGGGCAGAAGTGTAGACACTTTTTCTGAGGCACATTGTAATAACCAGAAAGATCAACACAATAGGATGGTGATGCAGAAGGAGTAATGACAAAGAGACTAGCATGATGGAAAGGTGTTACAAAGTAAAAGTGCTCACCTGTCTGTGAAGATCTAGGCTTGCAGAGGAAACTCCACAAGGGAGGGATCTCTGACCAGAGATCATTCCACAGTGACAGTCAGTCCTTAAATGAAGTCTAAGAGAGTTGCAGCCAGGCTCCACCCCTTCTGGTCACACAGGTGAACTGGTGAACTGCCTTCACCTGTGCTCCCAGGGCTGACTTGGTCCTTTCCCCAGCTGCTCAATCAGTAGTTCAGACTGTGACTCAGCAGTTACCATACACACATTCAATCTTGAATTCATCTTAGACTGTTATTTCAAGGCATCTACTGATGATCACCAAGGTACAATAAACCTTTTGCCAATCAGGTCTCCAGCTGAACTTGTAGGATAAAAGCTACAACAACAGGATATTTAATGATCACTACTGGGAGGCTTTTGGGGGCAGAAGAGAAGAGAAAGTAGGCTTTTATTCCCTTTTTTGTTCCACTTGGTAAGCATGCTGTGTTGCAGATCTAATAACTGGAAAAAAGAAGGGAACTCCAAAAGAAGTCTTCCCTTTCCTCCTCCAGCATGTATGGAAAGCTTGTCCTGTAGCTAAACAAAAGTCTAAACTAAATCTGTCGGTAGTACTAAGCACTTAGACAGCTCTGTGTGATTAGCAGTGTATTATTAATGAAAACTGAAGTTAGATAATTTGCATGAACTGTCTCCTCTCTGCTATGAGAGTGATGGTTCATTCGTTGCATTCATTTAGATTGCAAAAGAGACTGGTTCAGCACCCTGAGTGTCTTTCAGCAGTTGCCGTGTCCCTGACTCAGACTGCTCTGACGATAAATAGCTTCAATAGAGGACAATGAATTTTGATTTTGCTACTTTATCATGGTGCTTTTTTCAGGATTGCTTGATATTTTGGCCATTTATAAGGATAAATAAGAAAGATGAGGTGTATTCCATTTCATTGTATTTGTATTGGCAAAACACTTCTTGAAGTAGCAGTGTGGAGAAGTGATTTGCCTTCACTTGTCTTATTTTATGAGGTGTTGGCTGCAGTTGGTCATTTTCAGCTAGATAGGTGGGCAGAGGCAGCAGGACTTACAGACAATTTCTTTTCTGTATTCCAATTGCTTTGATCTGGTCTGCAACAGAGTCTAGTTAAAGCAGGTGCTTCTGGTGGATCACCCAACTGGGGGAAGGCAAGGGGGGATGTACACGTGTATATTCTAACTGCTTGTGCTAGTCTGATTGGATACTGGCATCTTGCTGCAGCTGTGAGCCTGACTGTTCCAGATCCAGGAGGTGGAGGAGTTTGTACACCTTGTGCAGAAAAAGGACAGGAGTGCTGAGAGTACACCTTGAAAATTAGGGTTAGATAATAAATAATAAATTTAAAATGATTGTCTTTGTGCCTTAGATTATTAAAGCAACTGTGGTTTGAAAGCATCATGTTTATATTGATGCTTCTGCTGTCTTACATGCATGCTAGCCAAGTTACACATCTTATGTACTCAATGCAAATAAGCCTTTCCAATATGTTTATGTCTCTCAGCCATTTCCTAGTTTTAATTGGTGTTGTCTGAACTCCTGCCAGCCTGCAAAGCAGCCTTTTGTCAAAGAAAGGAGCTGTGTGGCTATGACAGCTGAATCCTGCCAGCAGCATCAGGTGAGGGCCTGCACAGAGGCATCCCAAACTGACTGCCTCCTCTTTGCAGCTGGTGGCATTCCACACTCCTGTCTGAGTTTATTAGAGCTCTGCCTGCACTTACAAGGGTTGCCAGTGTAATTATGCCATACTGGCAATTCTTCATTGCAGATTAAAGCCTACCCAGCCTGCAGCCATCTGGATGACCCACCCTGGTGAGAAGCAGTCCTGCTGCTGCTGCATGCTGTGCACACAAAGAGATCCATACAGCTTTGGGGAAGCTCCTTGCTCAGATCTGTGTTATCCTTTGCTGTGTCAGTCACACTTGTGCAGCAGTGAGAGCAGGTATCCATATCAGCCTAGTGGCACCTTTGGCAGCCACTACAAGAATGTTAAATCCGTTCTGTTCTGGCCCTGGTTTTAGTGCCCATATGTTCAGTTGCACTGTTTCTCTCCTGGCACAGCTAACAATGTCTGCTTGCCCTGTGAGATTTTACTGGTACTCCTTTTCCCTCTCTCGGGTTTTCAGTGCGCTTACAGACAAAATTTTCAGTGCAGTTTTCAGCTTTCTAGCCAGATTCCAACTATGTTCCCACACGTGGTCCCGGAGCTGCAGTGTCTGAGCTTCAGGAGAATGTTTATAAAGGCGTCCCCACATGATTAATGCATGGAAATAGTGGCTTTGCTTATGTTTAGTATTTCTTAAACTGTGCTTGGGATGAGTTCTCACTTGGCAGCCTACCTTCAATTTTCACTTGGTTTATCCCTTTTGAGACTTTTCAAACTACGTGGTGCCTGCATCCGGGTCAAGGGCTCACAATCTTGTTGCGAGGAGGAAGAGGCAAGGCACTTAGCTTGCTGCTGTGTGGGAAGCAGGGCACAACTCTCTTATCTCCTCAGTCCCCACTTACTCACTCATGGAGTATCGTATCTCCACTAAAGCAGGCTGTTGAGGAGAACAAGGTTTTCTTCATCTTTGCAACACTTTGCAATTTGTTTTCATGGTGCTGAGATATAGCTTTGTCAGTTATCTTTTGATTCCTCTAGTCTTAATCATTTGAAAATACTTATTTGTATTTCAACTGAGAGGGCAGTTACCTGTGAATGAAAGCTATTTAGAAAAGTCAGGGCAGAGCCATTCTGAGCCCCTTCATTGCTGTAGGAAGCTGGGGATGGTGTGCTGTTCCCAGAACTGGTACTACTTCTGTTCCTTGTCCTATGAGAAGTCCTCTGGTCATGCTTTGTTGAAATGTCCTTGGCAGCTCTGAATGGGTGAAGCACGAGGACATTTTTAATGCTCAAGATGAAAAATAAAGGGAACAGTTAAAGAAAATCTGTTTTTATCCAGGACCTTTTATTGCTGAGCTGATGCACAGCATAAACAAAATGAATAATATATGGGAGATGTTTACTGACCTAGTGTTATCTCCAGTTTCAAAGGCTTTGTATGTGGGGACAAAAAGGAACTCTGAATGAATATGGTCAGTTGGAATATTTAGTCAGAGAGAGGCACAAAACCCTTCTTATTTGTTGTGGTGTGTGCAGTGCTTATTCAAATGAGTGTTTCCATATCAACAGGAAACCTATGCCAAAGCCAGCTCTAAAGTTAAAAAAGAAATTGGCCTTGTTGAGAGAAATCTTCATGCCTTTCCTAGGAGGACTGATGGGATCCTACTGTTTGAAATGAAGTCCATTGATTAATGGTGAGAGCAATTCATTGCTTTTCCTGTTTGAACAACATCTCCTAATCTCCGCAGTCACAAGCAAAGATTGCTAATTTCTATGTCTGTCAGCCTGGATGACCTACTTTCACTCCATGGAGCTCAAATGAAAATAACTATCTTCCAGTATAGTTTGTTGCCACCTTTTTTAAAAGACAGGAAATGTTTCTAGGAAGTTTAGTTAACTGGAATTTCATTTACTTTGGCCTTTTGTCTTGATGCATAGAACAGTTTTGCTTGCGTAGTTTTTCCCTACAGTGTCAGCAGAGCACATTTCGTGCATTCCTTGGTGATGGAGTTCTGTACGTAGACAAAACACAGAGCATTAAAGGTATCCTTTTAGGTAAGCATTCATGGAAGACGCATATGTAGATGGATTCAGAAAAAAAGAGACATAAAAATTCCTGGGGGATTTACTTCGCATACATGCTCCTGCACAGAGTAAACAAAGTGGAGCCAATTTTTACACAGGCTCTGATAAATTATGTACCCCCTTCCCTCTTTTTCATTTATTTCCCCTATAACTGTGGAGTGGTTTGTTCCAGTGAGCCTTTGTTCACTTGACCTCATCTCTGCATGCTCTCAGGCAGTCTGTTGCTGCCTGGCAGACTGGAAGATTCCTCATGTTGCGCTTAGCTTTGATGTAACAGGAGTTTGAGGAACTGGATCCTTTTTCCCTGTGATCAGGGACCGTTAAGCCTTCATTTAGTTGTACAAAGCACTGTGCATGCAATTAGGCTTTCTGTGGTAATCTGTATCATCAGTGCAGATTTTGAATGCTCAGATTTTGCTGTGCACAGGGAAGAGCTCCTCTTAGTGGAGCTGAGTGAGAGCTCCTACCTTGCACAGAGGAGGCAAATTAACTTTCTTCTGAGATTATGGGGAGCAGCACACTGGGGAACCCCAACCTCTGCCTATACCAAGGCTGTGCCTTGCCTCTGACACCAGCTGCAGCACCTTGTTGGGCCTCCTGCTGCACCATGCGCCATGCAGGAGTGGGAGCCTGTGGAAAAATCATACCCTAACCTTCACATTGGTTCCTTCCCTTCTTTTTGGCCCTCAATTGAACACTGGCTATTTTTAATACCGTGCTGCTGGAGGGTATAGCGAATGCAGAAATGCTGCATGGTTGGGTGAAAAAGATCAGCTTGGAATGGATTCTCTGGTGGAGGTGCTAAATATGACCTGGGTGTCTTCTGCCTGATAAACTGCAACTCAAACAAGAGGAGAGAGACTTGTAAAATGATGAATGGCATAAAGAAGGAGGTCTGAGCATTTCCTTCCCTGTATGGGAAAGCCCTGGTAGCTCTGCTTTTTCCAGACTGTCACTTTGAAAATGTGCCACCTTGGGCTTTCAAGCAGACGCCCAGATATGGAAATTTTCGTTTTTGCCAGATACAGTGTTCCCAATTTTTCATGCCAGTGGAGTTTGCTTTGGTCATTCAGTTCCACTGATGACAGCAACTAAATTATGCTAATTGGGAAGGAGAATTTAAGCATGTGCTTCGGTCCCTTTATATTATGAAGTAAGTATCTGATTGTAACTTCCTTAAATGAAGTCAATGCATGGCCTTTTATTTTTGAGTTAGTTTTATTGTTATTATAAGGATGAGATGAGGTTTATTAGATTTCTGCTGTACCTGTGCAATGAAATTAGATATGAATAATGTTTTTTTTTAATTTTTCCTTTTTGCTGTTAGGATTTTTGAGGCTGCCCTGCTGCAAACTCAGAAGCTTCTATCAAGTGAACACAATGGTGGTGCCCCATAAAGGCAGCTGCTCTCCCACAGAGCAGAAAAGCTCAAGCAAATTGTGGCCTCTGCTTTACTAACTAAATTCTCCTTTGCTCCAGCCCTCTTTTCATTTAGAGCCAATTTTTCAAACAGGGCCTATCTGCAAAAGCTGTATGTGGTAGTGAAATAGCTATTAGGTGACACACGAATATATTCTTGTGAGTGTACTGTGTCCCACAGCAATTAATCAGCAATACTCCCTCCATGCAACTGGCATTTAAATCCAAGCAGTACTAACAGATAAGTCGCTAAAGTCAACAACAGGCATTGATCACCATGCCCAGTGCACCAAGGTGTCCTATGCAAATATGGTGTTAGTTATAGGCACCATATGGCATGCTGCAGAACACAGTCCCCAAAGAGCAATTTATTTTTAAGCTTTCACAATTTGGTAACCTCAGCTTGAAAAGGAACTGTTCCTGAGCAGGCGGTGTGCTTTACCTTAACTTTAGCTCACAGAGACGGAGAATTCTGTTCAGTAACTCTTCCTTAGGCTAGGGGTGATCAAGTACGAAACAGATTTGTGCAGACAGATTCTGCAAAGATTAGTACCTACACGTTTCAGGATGTTTTGTAAAGACTGAAACATCATTACAGTAATGTAACTACCTAAAAGGCTTCTGTAGTTGTAATTTCAATGCTGCTTCATGGTGGCTTTTTTTTTGTTGTTGTTGTTCGTTTTGTTTTTGTGATGCTTAAACTAATGATTCATTTAATGGAGTTTCCACTTGCCTTGGGTATTCTCTTTGCCATGGACATGCCTACAAACAACTTTACAGAGTGTGTCAGGGGTCATGGACAGGAGCCATGTGTTTGTTTGGCCAAGCACTGCTTTTCACCTTTTCTTTTTCACCTCGTTTCTAGGCAGCCTGGTTATGCTAGGAGCTCCCAAACAAAGCAAAGAGACTTTCCACACTTGACAAAGTATGTGATCCTACTGAGTGATCTAGAAAAATAAGTCTACTTGGCTTCTTAATTTGTTTCTGAAAATCTTGCAAAGAAGACCAGGGGTAGATAACTCACCTGGGCTCCCTTTTGCCCCTGCTGACTGCAGTTGCTTCTGACTGCCTCCCCTGCATGTGAGCTGTCCTCTTGCATGTCCTTTACACTTGCATTTCAGACTGGAAACGACAGCAGTTTGGAGCTGCTTCATAAGCTGTGCGGCAGTCTGTTCTGCAGGGAAAGCAACATTTGTGAGAAGACAAGGCAGATAGGTATACAGTACAATGAAATGACCGGGAGTAAATGAACAGATGCAATAAAGGCTGTGTGTACTTACTAATTGCTTTAATTTCCGATAAATCTCAAGTGATGCTGATAATAACAAATTGTTAAAACATATTTAGGGAAATGGTGATTTTTCAGGTTGCTCTGCCCTTTTGCAGCTACAGCACTGAAGGTTTTTTGTCTTTAACACAGCATTAGTGGTCATGTTAGAACAATGCTCAATTTAGAAGAGTGCTGGGAAAGTGAACATAGTGCTCCAAGCTGCCAGGCCTTGCTCCTGCTCCTCTCTGGCGCTACTGAGACTCAGATCTTCTCTGAAGCTTCTTCAGGGAATGGTTCAAAATGGATTTTAAGTGCTGACTGCACCATTCCCATCACCTACCTGATAAATCATTTAAGCAAGTGTTGAGTGGTACTGCAAAACTCTTTTGGAACAAAAACCTCTGTGATGATCTCTCCTCAAATTAGTCATCCTGTTGTGATGTGCTGGACAGAGAGGCTGAAGGCGCTGATACCTTGGGAGCTTGAGATCCTTCTTGTTAGTTCTGTCAGAAAGGCGCCTGGGTTTGAGTAAACTTTGTTTAGGAAAACATGCAGCAGTGCAACCAGTCTATTAGCAAAGCTGAATGTGTGCTTTATTGCACAATCACCACCTTCCCAGTATCTTTCATCCCCAAACCATTTTTCATAGGGAAGCTGGTAGCAAGTTCCTTAATATTTTCTCTGGTGGAATTCCGACTGGAGCATGTAGGAGTTAAGATTGTTCCAGCAGTCTTCCTGCTGAATCAGTAGATCATGCCTTTTCATGAGACTTCTTGTATTGTCCTACTTCCTTGTGTCACCTGGTAAAGCCCAGCGCAAGGCTTCTTAGGGATTCATTGCCTAGCCTAATGTTACCCCCCATCTGTGTTCCTGGCAGTGCATCTGCCCGTACCATTTACTGCTAGCCAGGCAAGCAGCATCTCCAGAGATCACCCTGGGTGAGGGGCTTTTGAAGGAACCAGCTAAAGGCAGGATTTTCAGAGGCCTTCAACAAATTCTGCTGTTGCTGAAGCAGACAGTTGCAAACAAAGCCATCTCGGAGCTGAGCACATTCAGAAATCCTGTTCTCCTGGCAAGTTCTGGCCAGGCTGTGGCCTCTGCTCAGATTTCAAGTGCCAGGGTGATACCAGAAAAGAGCCAGGAGAGGCTGATGTTTGAAATCCTGCTGGTGCAGTGTTTGCCCATTATCAAATAAGCAGCTGATGACATTTTTCCACAGCTGGACTTAGTTAATATTTTGTCAACTAGGGGATGCATGTTGCAGCACACTGTGTGCTTGCTCATGCCCACTATAGCACAAACACAATTATAGTAAATAGGTGCAGAGATGAGCATAACCTTCAGGCTATAAGCAACTATTTTTAGTGTAAAGTTATAGCTACATTTTGAGAAGAGACATGGTTGAGAGCAACTCTGGGATCTAGCTGATGAGAGCAATGCCAGTCAGTAGATTTCTTCTGGTGCTTAGACCTAATTCTGCAGAATTAGACCTCATATAATAATTTGGATGCTTTGAGAAGTTTTGCTGGAAATGAATGAATCTTTCTAGGTCTTTTTCCAAACTTTTAATTTTCTACAGTTTTGATCCTCACTGTTAAATAACACAGCAGGTGCTTTGATGCGTTTCGATAAGTGCTGCTTTCCTTACTGGTGGATTGACCTCATGTCAGCTCTTCTGGGGCTGCTCCCGGGCTTGAGGCTTTCCTGTTGCTTGTGCAGGAAGTAGATGACCATAGAAGCCTGCTTTAATACTCTCATAGGTTGTAAGGGAGCAGAAATTCTTTTTGGTCTCCCTTGTCAAGTCAGAAAACATATCTTTATTGTATTTTATTTGATTTTGTTTGCTGGTTGGAATATCCACACACAATAAGTCCCTAATGTAGGGGCTGGGAATGTCATCTGTTTTATGTTCAGCTTTATTTTGATACAGAAAGGAGAGGAAGATCTGTAGTGTCAGAAAGCTCTTTTCCCCGATTATGGCTGCACGTGTATCCTAGTGGATGGACTAGAGTAGGTGTCTCCAGATCAAACAGACTGAACTTATTTGCACTATGCATTGACAAGATGCTTTAGGTGACCGAGTGTTGATGTCATCTAGAGTAATCATGTTGGAAGAGGTGGGAATCACAGTTAACGTTCCTGGCTTGCCAGGAATGAGGAGTTAAACTCTAAATATGATGAAAAATGTATTTCCATGTGCTTTTCTTATTACTCAGGCAGCAAAATTAGACGGGAAGTTCTATTAAATACTTTTCTAATGTGATATACTGTAGTTAATATATAGATCACTCTGAAAGTAATGCCTCCTGTTTATTTCCATGGAAATGACAGCAACAACAAAGAGCACAATAAGACTGATAGAGCAAATTCTCAGCTACAAAACACTACTGTTCAATGTAATCAGCACCATCAGCTATGCATTTTTGCCAGTGATGAACAAGAGCCTATAAGCTGTGCACCAGTGGAGATGACCCACTGTTGCTGTCCTCACTGCTGAAACACGCCACCCGCTGCCTCACTGTGCTCGCATCCACAGGTTGATCTCCATCAATGTTCAGCAAGTGTCAATGAATGCTAATGGATGCCATTTTTTTCTAGGATTTTCTGGGAATGAGGAATTCAGTGACACATCTTTACTCCATACACACTTTCATGTAGATGCCTTTCTGTCAGACAGCCTCTCTGCTGCCATCTCTTACATGGCAACAGAAGTATAAGGGAGTATTGATGGGAAGGTGCAACCTCCAGTTGCCAACATCCACCTCTAATGTTGTGAGCCAACATAATAAAACAGGAGGCATTGCTTTTGGATTATTTGCTTTGATATACAACCTGTTGTCTTGATTTGGAAGAAATAAAAATATGATGCTTTTTTTTTTTTTTTTTTTTTTTTTTTTTAGGCTAGTATCTAGATGTTGAGTATGGCAAAGTTACAAAGCTTGAAGAAGAGCAGTGCAATTGCACTGGTTGTCTATTTATGGTGCTTTCACCAGCTCCTTTTGTCATGTTTCTGACGCTTCTGTTCTTGTTAATGGAGAATTTGGCAAAGATAATTTGATGGATAAATAGAATTTTCTGTTACTTTAATATGTGTGAGGAAGAGAGTGAAAGAAGACTAGAAAAAGTAACTCCTTCCCAAAACCTGGGCTAGGCAGGAAGAGAAGGGAAGGGGAGAAAAAAGAAGAGAAAAGAGAAAAGGCCAGGTTAACTTGAGCTTGCATTACTGAGGACAAAGGAACAGTCAAAGATTATTGAAAAATAAAAGAATAATGGTAGAAAGCATCATGGGAAGCACAAGTTGAAATAATCTGAGTAAAACAGATCAATAGGGCAATTGGAAAGTAATTTTGGTCTCATAGTTCAATTTATTCTGCAACAAAATAGTTACTGAAATGTGTGAGTTCATCATATACTATTCTTCTCTGATTACCAGCTTGTACTTCTTAAGAATCTGTGTTTTTCCTATGATGATTTTTGTCTTTTATTCTGCTTATTCCTTCCCATCCTTAAAAAAGGGTAATCTGAGCCTCTGGGGATAAACCATTAATCAGAGTAAGCCTGCTAGCTGGTTTTGTTCCTTTCTGTGCCTTGAACAATGCAGGTAGAGATCTTAAGTCTTTTATTCTTGTGCTGCATGCATCACACAGGGCCTTGCTCTGAGAAAAGCACCATGTTGCTCTCATATTTCATCCTAGCGCAGAAATGAAAGGGAAAAAAGTACCATGTTTTGACGAATCAGCAAGTCACTCTTTCTGTACTCTCAAACATTGCTCTCCCAGAAAAATGAGAAGACGTGTTAGTCATCAGGAAAAGTTTCTATTGAAGCTGGTGAAGGCTGTTTAGAAGCATCTTACTTTGATGGCCTGGGCAAGGGGCTGAATCTCTGCTGCTTTCCAACATGCTGCCTAGAAAAGGGGGGCCGAGGAACAGCATCCTTCCCAGCTGCTGGGTCTTGGAGCTTTCTCCTGGAAGCCTTTGTTCAGGTGTATGTCCAAGGTGGCAGATATTGTGGTCATTTAGAGAGGACACTTGCTTTTTCATGCCACAGACAATTCCTGGTACAGCAAGGTCTTGTCGAATTGTACAAAGAAGCTTTCGGTTGGTGACTACCAGGATTCCTTATCAGATTTTACTAAGTGCATCCCTGAGTGAAAACTGTCTGAGCATTTTGTCATTTGCCTGTTCTTCTATGGGATATGTTATCTAGTGGTGAATAATTGACAGCATCAATTTAAAATTACACAGATTCTGTTGGTGAATTACTATATGCCCTATTTTTTTCTTGCTTGTTTAAGGTTTTCTACTTTATAAATATTGAAACGATCACTCAGTATGTACTTTGGGGCTTATAAGAGTTGTGAAGCCAAACTCTGTTGTGAGAGCTGCTTGCTGTGAATCGTAGGTGGCTCTGCTGAAGTGGATTTCTCTACTTCACCAGTGGGTCACACTGATTTTCCAACAGTTTGTGCAGTGGTATGTGTGTACTGCAGATGTTAACTCTGCTTTTATTTCTGGGCAAGGCTTTTAAAAACTCACTCTGATATAAAGATATTATGAGACAGAGAAAACAGTGAGATCAAGTTAGGAGTTGCTGTGGCAGGATAAAATAACAGCTGCGGTAACTTGATCATGAAACAATGACTGTTCAGTTGATGGTGGAAGCATGACAGGTCTTTTAGTTGCATGGTGGCTCCCAATTTTTCATCATCCTTTCAGTGTTTGGAGTCTATGTACATTTGAGTTTTGTGTGTGCAATAATCACCTTCTCATTTCTCTCATGTCTAACCTGGCTCCTCCTTCCAGGCTTGATGCTTTTCTTTTTTTCTGAAACTCGCCGTGATTTCTCTCTCCTCTGTGGATGCCCTTTCTCACTTTATTTCTACCCAAGGCTTTTGCTTCCTTTGAGCTCTTCTGGAGATGTGGGATGTAGCATCTCTCCTGCATCTCACCTTACAAGGATAGAAAAAGGAGTTGCTCCTGGTGAGGGTTCTCTAACAACAGTACATTCTCCTCTGTACCCCTTCTGACCACAGAAACCTGTGGTGAGGGCTGTGGGCTCAGGTGATGATGTGGGAAATAGTAACAAGCCAGTTTCTCACCTAGACATTGGCTGAGGTTGTTAGTGTTGTTTCAAAACCAGCATACTTGCTCCTTTTGCCCAGTGACTCTTCGTGTGCTGGCCTGCACCAGCAACGGGAGCAGCGGCTTTGGGAAACCTATAGGGCAGAAGCCACAGACATAGGAAACTTGCTTCTAAAAGCCTGCAGTAAGTTAAGTCTTTCACTTGGAACTTGAAAAGACTTGTATGCAATAAAATGCATGTGCCTAGCTCCTGGCATGGTCAGCTGCAATGATGTCCACCCTTCAGGTTTTGTTCTTGTCAGGCCAGTCATTTCTGTAGCAGCAGCTGCAGAGCCTGAAATTGCACTTTCACTTGTGGAAAGTGCATGCCCTCTGCCCAGATGACCAGGCAACAAGTTGATGCAGTGCTTCTTCCTGAAACTGCCCACATCTACTCATCTTTCTCAGTGCTACATACCTTTTTCTGCCCAAACTAATACTATCCATAAACAACCTTCAAGAAGCCTGATATTCTCAGTGTTGGCTTGGCTACAAGCACCTGTAGCAGGATTGTTCTTCTGGTGATGATTTTCAGAGCAGAAATATTCAGCTTTTAAAAAGTAGCATGAATGCAAGTATTGCCATCTGCTTCTCTGGCCTGCCTTCTACTTTATATTTATGATGGGGAGAGGGCTACCATTAGTAGACCAAATGAGGATGACACACATAGATAGGTTTGGGTCCTATGACCCATGTGGAAACATGGCTGAATGTTCGATAAATTTCATTGCACGTTTCTATCTGCATGCCTAACGAGCCTTCATTTTATTTTCTTTTCTCTTCTACTAATGCAGTTGAAGAATAAATTCATGAAGAAATTACCCCGCGATGCTGAGGCCTCCAACGTGCTGGTTGGGGAGGTAGACTTCCTGGACAGTCCTTTCATTGCCTTCGTCCGGCTGCAGCAGGCAGTTATGTTGGGTGCTCTGACAGAAGTCCCCGTCCCTACCCGGTAAGAGAATCCTGCCCCTAAGCAGTGGAAACAAATTGGAAACTGCAGTTGCACCTTCTAAAATAATAGCTCCAGGCTAAATGAAGACTTTCTCTGTTGGTTTCTATTACATGACTTGCATATAGTATTATATTTTCTCAGGATTACTGTTTTTAAAAGCAACAAAAACTTGCTTTGGCTGCTAATCATTTCTGAGTTCAAAATTTAGTTGTATAATATAAGTTGTGTGCAAAAAACACTGAACAGTCACCTTAACAACTTGATGGTGAAGGTCTCTATCAATGTGACATGACGGTTGGATATTTTTCTGCCCCTCATGATTCCTACCACATGCACATATTGTGCATACCTAAAATTCCCTTTGCCTGCTTTTGCAGTGCATATTTTTCTTTGTAAAAATTCACATTAGATGAAGGATTCAATTTTGGCCCTGCTGGAGGGGGGCAGAAAAAACGTCAGATAAACTGGGAAGAAAACTATCACTGGATTGTCACAACAGATGTTCCTTTGTATTTCACAATGGCTCAGAAAAATGTCATGCAAATATTTTATTTATTATGACTCACATTGCAAATTAACCTGCAGTCTCACAAATATGAATATATCTTATCTCACGTTCTTATGTGTTTGAATTAAATGCATATGCTTATTACATAGGTGCATACCAGGTAAGAACTATAAAACTGATTAACATTAAAAGAGAATGAACTAAAAATGAACTGACGGGGTATTTCAAGGAGAAGGACAACAGGCTGAACTGGACAGACTGCAGGTGTTTTGCAGTGTCTATTTCAACCCTGCACTGGTCTCTGTGGTGCCTTGTTACTTGGAAGCATTGTGTGGACCCTGTTACTGCTGTGCACCTGGGCTCCACTGCACTTCTGGTATCAACTTACAAAGGACTTGGTTTGCGTTTTACTTGTAATTGTGAAGCTCACATTGCACCTTTCATATCACTAATGTGCAAATGTATATTTTATGTGAATGGTTTCAAGGGCTTTTAATACAGAGTGAAAGTTCTATTTTGAATAATGTCTAGAGGGCTAGAGGCTATATTGAGTAATGCTTCATGAGACGGGACATGTTAATGCTACAGAAGTACATCACTGGTGCCTCACTAATACTGACTTGAATCACAGCCATTTTAATGGAGTGAAAGTTACATGGTTGTAGAATCTGAACCTTGTCTTCATATACATAGGAGAGAATTGGTGTAGTTTTGGCCTTTGTTTAACTGCCTTGTCTTGGAGTCTGTTTCAGCAGCTCTGTAGAATAACCACATCAACATCTGTTTGCTCACAGTGGATGTTCTTTTGGGAGCATAGGGAAATGAAAATGGCTTAATTTTATGAAAGGTAATTACTTATTTCTCAGTATTACGGAGCTCTGTATGCATCAGTATTTCAACTTCTAAGTCTAACCTACTTGCTCCTTTTAAGTACTTCTCAAAATGCTTTTCAGCAGAAGTAAAATCAGGAATTGTTTGTTTTGGTAGTGGGAGCCAGGAAGCTAGATCTAGGATTGCTGAATGACCTCATTATTCAATAGCATTAATCAAGACAAGATGTCCTTCCACGCCAACATTTTTTTTCCAGGAAATAGTATTATCCATTAGCTGTCCTCCAAACCAAATGTTAGCGCTAATCAAAGTAGGGAAGCTCATTAGATTGCTTTTGTGAGTAATGAAGAGGCATTTGCAGTGGCTACATCCTGTGAAATTCAATCAAGGAAATCCCATAAGGGCCCAGACTAGTTATGATGGAGTGTCTCCTTGCTCAGCCCTTAGTTTCAGCCATCCTACACAGTGGACGTTTCTGTTGAAGATGTGTACTTAACCCACAGTGTCTGCTGGAGCCTTTAGTATTCCCCCTCCCTAAAAGTATTTAGTATTCCTCTCCCTAAAAGGCTTCTTTTTATTTTGCTAAATTATGAAGTTCCTGGTAAAACTATCAAAACCATGCTATCAAAATTAGCCATGTGGAGTGGGAGGGTGATTCTAAATAGTGAGTTAACCTTTCAGTGCTCTGGTTTGCTTCACAGGAGTGTTGTGACACAGATACAGGGAATAACTGCAGTGTGACCTGCATCTGTCTGTCTCTAGAATGCAGATTGCCTTATGTGGGGCTCTAGGGAGCAGGCAGGAGTTCAGCACCCAGGTTTCAGCACATAGCTTTAGGCATGCCAGTCTGCAGTGTGGAGGAGACATGATGTTAGCATGGCCATCTCTTCTTGTCACAGTGGGCCATGCAATGCACTGATATTCAGTTCATGTTTCTGGTGTGCTGTGTTGAGAAATGTCTTTTCAGGTACAGATATACTGAATATTTCACAGGAGCCTGCAAACTGCCCTGCCTTAAAGCCATGACAGTTGTAGGGCTTGTTGGATCAATGGCAGAAGGATCAGGAAGGCCATCCTGAGGAACTGGAAGAAGCTGGGAAGGGAGACAGCATTTCAAGTAGAAATGTCATGTCATCCAACTTTCAGAATGCATGAAGCCGTCTTAATGCTTTGCTTTTCATAGCACTAGCCTGACAGGGTTTGCAGGGAGGGGGCAGCAGTAGGTGACAATAAAGCCACAACTATTAGCTGGCTATGCAAGAAACTAAGACAGTCTCCTGATGTACAAGCAAATGAGACACCAAGCTCTGTGGAGCTAAAAGGCTCACTGTATCTACAGTCCCTGCTCTGATATGGTATATTCATATTAACTTAATACTTTAGAACAAGAAAGCATTGCTTTGTGTGCTTATGATAGGTATTATTCACCATGTAAATTTCCATTTAATTAGATTTCTTATTTCCAGTGTTTTTTTTTCTCAACATATTTCTCAATTTGGATTTTTCTTCAAAGTCATAGAGTTTTGCATGTTTTGTAGAATTAAGATTTCCTGTGTAGAAATGGCTCTTCCCTGGTTAAGTAATTTTTTGTTTTTGTGCACGATTCCCTTCACACTTCCTTGCTAAGTATTTTAACTATTTCCTTCACTAAAAATAAATTCTTACTTAAAAGTAACTGCCAAGACCTGATGAATTATCCAGGGAAGGTTTCTCTGCAGGGCATTTTATACAATCCTAGTAATAAAAATCATGGAATTTAATTTAGCGTAGAGAACTTCCTGCCTTTTTCTCTGTTGTATTTTCTTGTTACCAATCAGATCAAAAATCATTTATGGATTTTGATCTTCTTCTGTCAATTTTAATTCCACGGTGCCATGAACTTTTTATTTTGGTGAGTTCTTAGTTACTGTACTTTCCCCATTGCTTTGGTGTGGCTGCCTCACCTCCTGACGGTACACCAGATGTAGCTTTTTATTTTCATAAAAGGGATGTACAATTATGTGTACAGGTCTGTTCCATTAATGTAATGATGATGAGGGCAAAAGATAAAGAATGAGCAAGGGAAAGATTTTTTGGAGATAAGCTGCACAGACTTGCATAGTCTAATATGTAGTGCTGGGAAATTGCCTGTGTCTACAAGCCTAAAATGAAATGAATTAACTTGCCCGAGGTTGCTTAAAAAGATGTGACAGAACCAGGAGTCAGATTATCCTCCTTGCCTTCTAGCTTACGCTTTTAACTACCAGGGCATCTTTTCTTTTGGTAGACAAGGATGAAACGTCTGTCTCGTTCCTTAATTGCAGCATTGAAATGGTCTTCAGGGCTGTGTCCTTCAGCAGCTTTTCCAACAGAAGATCTTGCTTTGGGACATCTGAGCTCTGGCAACAAATAATACTTATGTCTGCATTCATGTCTTGAATACCATGTAAGATGCTTGCAACTTGAAGGAGCACTTGTATGAAAACTGAAGAAGGATGCTTGACCTCCTTTCCTTACTGTAATCTTAAGGTGTGCCCCCTTCATTACACAGAGGTCTAAATGTCAGGGTTTGGTGGAGAAGACGATCATGAGATTGTTCTGTCTGCCCTTGAGTCCATCAACGTGCATCTCTATTGGGAATGCTGGGTGACTTGCAGGCATCTCACAAGGCAAAAGGACATTAATAAAATCATTTTATATGGGATCTTACTGAGTTTCCTTTGTGCTTCCGAGGTGCTTTTAGCACTTCTGGAATTACAGTTATTTCTTTCTTCATCCAGATGTGAGAAATGGACGTGGGTGAGCAGTTGAATCTTGTTTTTCCTGTTCCTTTTTTGTGTGTGGCTGAGGGACTTTGTCTCCTGCACTATTGGTCAGCTTGCTAAGAGGCTACGGTGAAGCTTTCTTGGCCTTTGGCCAGCTTTCACCACAATCCTTTAACCCATATTGGAATCTGATTAAGTCATGGGCAGCTCAGATTTCTGACTATGTCTCAAATGGAAAATATTAGTGCTATGCTGACTTTAGAGTCTGTCTGTGTAGTATTTACTCCTTACCTCCTAAGTGATTTCTTCTTACCTTCGTGTGATTTCATGGAGATTTCTAGCCAAACTGCTCACAAGTGCAGCACATAAGACTTACTTGCCTCCTTCAGCAAACTGGATTGAGATTCTACTCTGTGGTCTCCAGAGTCATTTCCCACCTGGGTCCAGGAGGGTTCTTAGTGCTTGTACCAGGTTGTATGGCCCACAGTCTCATGTTAACAGGTCTGCAGTGTTGCTGCAATGCTTTGTTAAGATCTATCCAGTGTGCAGGTGAGCTGCGCAGTACGGTGGTCACTGCACATTTGTCTGCTTGGAAGAGAAATTCCTCATCTGTGAGAATAAATTTATTCTTGTTGGGTTTGGTGGCATGGACCATATGCTTAAAAGGTAAATCAAATGCAGTGAATGGTCATTATCTGCTAAGGGTGATGTGTCCAAAGTGACAGGAGGAACAGTGGCTTAGGTAGGACAGAATAATAAATTAGTGATTTTCGGACTCTATCAGCTTGGAAGCAGAAGAATGCTGTGAATGTGCTGTCATACAAAGTTCAATACAGGTATCCTGAATGAGGACCATCTGCCATTTCTGTGAGCTGTTGCTCTGAGAAATTGTGAAAGGAATTGAGTTTTCTTACAACTTCAGAGAGAGCTAAGTTATGCACAGTGAAATCTTTCTAGCCCTGAAATATCCTTGTAAATACTAGGTATCAGAAATGAACATGTGAAAACTCAGTATTTGTTGTGTGCAGCAGCCAGTAATTCTGTGTTGACTTTCAACCCAACAGATAAAGGAGTATGTCACAATTTGAAGTGAGGGCTTTTTTAGCTAGATGTATTCTGAACTAAATGATAGTAAATGTGTGTAAACACAGTCTAGTCCACACCACTAAAGCACATGAATGCTTTTTGTATTTGTATGTATACATGTGCTTAAAAGATCTTGTTCTACAAGCTGAAGGCAATTCTGAGCTGAATCAGACAGGATGAAGAATTTAGAAAGTCTCACAATCTGGCTTTTTATTTTTGAAAATGCAGGAACATTAAGGTGGTATGTTTCTGCGTTGGAAGAGAGCCAACTGATGTAATTAATTCAAGAGATGGTTATGAAATGAGAGAAAAGAACATGACCTAGGCATGTATGGGTTAGTCACCTCTGGGTGAACCTTAAGTTAATCACTTGAAAGCTTCATGCAAAACTTGATAGCAAGTATTACAGTTAGTAATGCCAATTAATACATATTTATGGATCCTGTCATACTAACTTGATGTCTTTTTGTAAAACAGTTGGTTTTTAATGGAAGATACTTGTTAGAATAATACACTTGATAAGACAATTGATTTAGCACCTCACAATGATTTAGAAAATTAAAATGATACTACAATGCTTTTAAGGGCAACAGTATTTCTTGTTAAGTGTCTCTCAACTTTGCTGTTTCATGCTTTGTTAGCATTTTTGTGAGAAAATGTATACATTGTCAATAAAGGTTGACCCATAATGGCGAGGATGCCTCTGTGGCCCAAAGTGAAGTGGTCTCTTCTGCTTTATCTTGGCCTCATATCAACTTCTATAGACAGAGCACAGGTGGAAAAGCTGTGCTCTCAGTGCCAGGTTTTTCTAGATGTTTCTGTGAGTGGAATGGCTGAGGCCACACCAGGGAACAGCTGATCACTGCTAGAACCACTGAAACCTGGTCTTGAATTTCTCTTACCATTTGGGTTTCCTTACCTTTGCAGCCACTGCTCTTCAAAAGCTTGTAGAAACTCAATTATATTTGGTATCTTTGGGTCTGTGTCATGTTTGAACTTGGTCCCTGGGTCAGAAAGGTGGGTAGATGATGTGAGCACAATTTCATTTTCTCAGGAAAGCACCAATATAGTGTTCCCGAATAGCAACAGGTTATTTCATTTGCATGTTCAGAATGACAGAACTGCCATCTCTTGAATTATTTCTCTGATGAAGTCATTGGTACTTCAGAGGAGGTTCACAGAAAAATTGCTATGTGACTAAAGAGAGGAAAAACCCTCAAGCTACTTCACCTAAATGACAGACAGCTACGGGTGAATGGATCAACTGGAGAGGATATTTAAAGGACTTTAATTATCAAAATATATTTAAAGGACTTTAATTATCAAAGGTTCTTCAATCTAGCTGTCTCCTTAAGAAGTGAGCTGTGACTGCAAAGCCACCGGATGGATTTATAGGTCTTTGGTATGTGTTGTATGCTCTGAGTGGAAATTCAAGGCATACAAGTTGAGCTTTAATTATTTACAGCTTACATGCTATTTAGATAGATCCTTCAAATTGAGTAGTACTTTAGGTGCTGAACCATACAGAGATCTCAGCCCCAGCAGAGCACTAGTAAGTAGACAGGTTGCTATCTGGTAGCCCTGGGAAAGAAGTGTTTGGAGAGAGATGTAGTTTATGGTAAGCGATGTGGACGGTTTGTTCTTTTTGCTGGCCTGAGTGCTTACCTCTATCTGGAACTGTGCTGCCCATCATCCCTTGTGCAGAGAGATCAGGGTGGAACTGGACAGAGTAAGCAGTCCTGAGATCTTCTGTCCCCTCCTTCCGATTCTTCAGCAGTTACATCACTAATGCTGTCACTTAAGTGACCCTGAAATAGCAATAGGGAAATATTTAATGCAGATGCCTTATACAAGGATTAAAGAGCTGTAATGTATGATTGAATAAATCCTAAGGTAGTGGATAGGCTTTCTGTGGTGCACCAGAGCATGCAGTCTGAACCATCCTGTACTGGAGCTGCATCTCTTGCACACAGTTCAATTCTGGGTACTGGGTCCTTCCTTCTTCCTGTACATTCATTGCTGGATGATATCTACTTCTGTGTAAGACTGCTGTAGTGCTCTCAAGGCTGATTTTAATATTTTTGGGGAGGAAAACTCTGGGTAGCATCTTGCTTGCCAGAGCAAGTGTGATTGGGATGCAGGGTACAACCTGTACTCCAGGTTAACTGAAGTACTTACATTGGTAGTCAGTGTAAAAATTGGAAATCCATACAAGTCCTGTCCACAGTGTCTCCTACGCATGCAATGCCTGATTATTGGAGTTGCTTAACTTCTACTGATCTAAGGGAAATGACAACTCTGCAAAACCACTATATGGCATAAATGACAACTGCTGGTGCTTTGTGTAATTCTTCCCTGGAGTTTGCTGAGGAATTAAATATTGAAGTGTCATGTGGTGTAGCTAAACATGATCTTATGGGTTCAGATAGAAGTTGTCTAGAGTGCTCTTCACTTGTTAACCTCTGGGGCTGCTAAAAGCAGTAGAGATTGTACCTTTCATGTCAGTGAACTGGTCACTGGCTGAGCTGTCACTGGCAGCTTCCAGATCTCTCTAACAAGGGGCAAAACCTTTGTTGTTCTGTTTTGTTTTGTTTTTTTTTTTTCAGTTGACTTTCTGTGTAGATACGGTATAAGGAATAAGCAGATGATTTTTCTATCCTAAATGGGAACAATTGGTGTGTTTTCACAGATTTCTCTTCATTCTACTGGGACCTAAGGGCAAAGCAAAGTCATATCATGAGATTGGCCGAGCCATTGCTACCCTCATGTCTGATGAGGTAGGTGCCTTTATGTCTAGATTTTTGAAGGTCCCTTCCAACAGAATGCCTATTCTATTGTATTCTATTAATATTCTCCATGAAATAGGTTCTCCTGGGTTTCACTTCACTAGTAATCATTTTCTCAAGTAGATTTGGAGTTAACCCACGAATTCATGCAGTGATGTGCATCTTGTGTCTCATTCCACAATCACAGTAACCCACAGATGCACTCCAGGTAAAATTACTGCAGAAGTCTGATTGGATGTGCCACCTACCCTCCAAGGAGTCCAAAGTACTTATGCAATATATATTCCACATCAGTGTTGGTTTTTTCTCTCTTCTCTCATCTCACTCCTAATATTAACACAAGGCCTTCCAGTAAAAATGGCTTGTACTTCTTGTTACTACTAAGTAATTATTATCCTCATTTCTATTTCACAGAATTAAAAAACAACCCCTTTTTAAAAGAGTTAAATTGATGAGAAGATATGGTTTTTTTGTTGCTTTGTTAAAGTATCTTTTCAAAGTATAATTGAACTCTTGGATTTTTTTTTTTTTTAACGAAAGAAATGGACAATTGTCTTGGTAGTATTTTTGAAAAATAAAAACGCAGTTTGCAAAAAATGAGAAATGCCTGCAAGAAAGTATCTTTGTAATTAAATAACCAAAGAAAAGGGCTTTCTCTTTCTTTCAGGTATACAAAATACAAAGTTTTGCTGTATGGAGTCTCTCCTTTCCTTGCAGGTGTTCCACGACATTGCCTATAAAGCCAAGGACAGGCAGGACCTGATCGCTGGCATTGATGAGTTTCTGGATGAAGTCATTGTGCTCCCCCCTGGGGAATGGGATCCAGCTATTAGGATAGAGCCCCCCAAGTCTCTTCCATCTTCAGATAAAAGGTAAGAGCAGGTCACAGGGCAGGGTTGCCTCTGTGTGTCAGTTCTGAAAAAGTGAGAGGAATTGCTGCTGCTTGGGTGCTCCAAGTTTATAAAGTAACTCCAGGGGGATCTGTGTCTGCATCTCCTTCTCTAGAAAGCACTGGAGTTATTTTCACGTCTATCTTAATAGACTGTGGAAGTGGATGTTTTTGCAATTCTGTACCCTCTAGGGCAGTGGTACAGGGATATGGTGATAAATAGTGGGTATCCAGACACTTCTGGTATTCTGCTTGCACTTTCTAACTCACTGTGTTTCACAGTGGCTCCAGTAGGTCAGCTTTCTAGCCTCCTTTATATAGCATGGCTTCAGGAAAGGCTAATACCTCTGTAGTGGAACATTATGTGGATTCTATTTTGTGGAGCCATTAGGTAATGCAGTGAGCCTCAGTTTGGCTTGTGTTCTTGCCTAGGAAAAACATGTACTCTGGTGGAGAAAATCTGCAGATGAATGGAGACACGCCTCATGATGGAGGACATGGAGGCGGGGGACACGGGGACTGTGAAGAGCTGCAGCGAACTGGCAGGTCAGTAATGCACTGCTTAGTGTGTTGTTGCTTGTGTGATCCATCCAGCATGACAGTGTTTTCCTTTCAGAAAATTCTCATCCTTTCAACTTTCCACCTTAGAATACTGTTTCAATCTATGCAGGTTGAGCTGTAACCCCAAATCATACGCTGTGGTTTTGAGCACCCATCTTGGGACTACCTGAAAGGCTCTGAATATCTAGTCTTGACAAATTATGAAGTGTCTTAAACAAGGCTTGCTGGCACACTGCATGCTTGTGAACTTAGACAAATTGTAAAGAGTGTAAACATGCCAGGTACATCTCCATTTTCCATTCAGATTGCTGGAAGCGCTTTAGCCATAAGCAGAAAAGCCCTGTTTTCAAGACATTCCTGTTACAGTGCAGTTGAACAGATGAAGGCTTTTATAGGATACAAATATGGAAGGTAACAGAGCCTCAGGGCTCTGTCTCTTTTTTATTACTTTGTATGCTACATAAAAGTCTGCTAGAGTGAGGATGCAGTTCAGGAGGCTGTCAAACAACGTGCTCAGTACTGTGGGATCAATATATAGGGTTTTGTGTTGCTTTTGTGTTTGTGTTGTAACCTCCATCTATTTTCTAGCTTTTAGAAGAATATTTAAATTGTGAGGGAAAAATCTGAAAGTCTGAATTTACGTGTTGGTGTGTACAGGGCAGTTAATAAATCGTTGTTCTGCATCCAAATGTAATGTGTGCCTACCTGCCCCATAGCTCTGCGTATAGTGTCTGAACAGTCTTGCAGAGATACCGTAGAGAGGCCTTCCAGTTGCTATTTAGCTCAGGTGGCAGCTGAATTGTTATGCATAAATAGATGTAAGTTGCTGCTGGTGGAAAACAGCATGCAAGAGAACAAGAGGCAAAACAAAAATTTTTTCATGTTGATAGAATCAGAGCTGTGTGGAGTTTCTGTGAGTTAAACATTGTTTTGTTTGGACTGTGCAAAAAGAATATGTCTGCAGGTGGAGCTCTCCAAGATGATTTCACTTGCTTCCATTTTTGTTTTCAGTTCTTCTTGTGGTTAATAGTTTGAAACATTTTTTCCGTTTAGTAGATTGTTGGCTCAACCAACCATTGTGTCTGCCACGTGAAGAAATTTAGGCAAGGATTTAGACTGGAATTAATAGATTTTATTAGCTCAACCAATACAACTGCGGGGAAAAAAAAAAGCCAGACGAGCTTCCTGAACTGCAAGCTTTTGTGGTCTGTTTCAGCAGAAGTAGGACTTGTGTTTCCGAAATCGATCTCTTTCCAGCAGCATCTCATCATGAAAGATATTATCTTTCTTACAACACTGTCAGTGATATCCCTGGACCACTGCAGCTGTGATAAGACTATTAAGTAATGTGATGACCTCATTACTTTCAGATCATCCTTCATTTCTGGCGGTGTTTCCAATTACTTATCTTAGTGACTCTCACTGTAAAACATTTTATGCAAGTCTCCTCTTGCTTGTCTTTTCAGATTCTGTGGTGGCTTAATCAAAGACATAAAGAGGAAAGCACCGTTCTTCGCCAGTGACTTCTATGATGCTTTAAATATTCAAGCCCTTTCAGCCATTCTTTTCATCTACCTGGCCACAGTGACCAATGCTATCACTTTTGGAGGACTGCTTGGTGATGCTACAGAAAACATGCAGGTTAGCAATAGCTTTCAGATGAAATGAATAAATCAGAGCTGATTTGCCTTTTGCTGTCTACAGTCAGAACTGAATTCTGAATACATTAATAGAGGTATGGTGTTGCTTCCACTGAAAACTGGCTTTCTTTCTCTGCTGTTGGACGGCTGTCCATTGAAAAATTGTACCATTACCTTAAATGGAGTTTGAAAGATGGCCAGGCAACAGAGAAAAACTTAGGAAGAATCCTTGCTCCTATATAGAGAAGTTCCTCGGATTACTCTCTGTGTTTTGTCTCGGTTGCACTGTTTCAGTCAAATTAAGTTTATGAAGTCTGATTCAAACTTTCCATGTCATCAGAGCATAGCGCTGTATTCTCTGCATGATTCGTACAACTCTTAGCAACCTCTGGACTTCTGCCTCTCTGCTAAAAAGAAAACACTAAGATTGATAGGAAAGCAGTGAAACAGGTGGTGTGGTAGAGGAGAAAAGTGAAAATTCTTTAGAAATGATAATGGAAGATTAGATTCTGGGAAGCGTATTTTATTTCCAGAGACTGACTGGATCAGTAGTAGACAAAAGTAGGGGCTTCAAGGCATGGCATAACTGTATACGAAGCATAAAAGAAAGGGATTCTGTTAGAGCACTGTTCTAGATTGTGTTTGATTGGGGCAGAATTATGCGTCTTAGGATTTCTTTTGTACTTTTAACGAGGAAGTAAATATAAGAACTTTTATTTAAATAGATTCAGTGCAGTCAAGTTGAATGTCCTAATAATAGTTAAGCTCATATTGACAGTGACTGAATTATTCAACTATGTAAATTTAATTTAAACAAACATAGAAAAGGGGGACGCCTTTCCAGAGCTACTGACTTCCCCATCATAAATTACAAGCTAGAGTAAGATTCAAAGATTCTAGCACTGATGGAGTGCTAGACATTCCTCGCCTTGGTTAAATATGGTTTTCCACTTCCAAAACTGAAATCTACAGCAGTTGTGCAAACAGATGCACAATGCCCAACCTTAAAAAGTAATAACAGCAAATGGAAGCAGAGAATGAAAAAGCCTCCAGGATCCACCAGGGATTATCACTCTTCTATCACTGAGCAGCAGCGAAAAGCCTGCCTGCTCTGAACCTGCACAAGGAACAATATTTAAAGTAGGGGGAGGAAGGGAAAATGTTACCGAATTCCAAATTTAGTGCAATAATTATGTCACCTGTGTGAAAAATCCTTCTTGATACCTTTGTATTCACTAAACATATTTATCAAGTTGGCAAAAATTGTTTTTGCACTGAAACATACAGTATAGTTTCTTAATGCTCACAAAGAAAAACCTCAAGCAATTTAATTATTAACAAAACAAACAAAACAAAAACACCTTGTATTTCAAGAACCTGGAGATGTCATTCATCTGAAAAATGGTAAAATGACTGCTGATTTAAGCAGAGACAATCCTGTTGCTTGCACTTGGTCATATTGCTCAGAAGGACACACGTATTTTGCTGTCCTTTGTTTTGGCTGCTAGATCAATGGAAAAGAGAAATGTACTCCTTTTTGTTCTGCAGCAGTAGAAAAATACTACCTTTGGCACCTGTTTTTCCAGCAGCAAAGTAAAAAGCAAAGATGTCCTCCATGGGGGTCTTAGAATCGTAGAGTGCCCTGGGTTGAAAGAAACTACAATGATCATCTGGTTTCAGCCCCGCTAATATGCAGGGTCGCCAACCACTGGACCAATCTGCCCAGAGCCACATCCAGCCTGGCCTTGAATGTCTCCTTGGACAGCCAGTTCCAGAGCATCACCACTCTCTGCGTGAAAAAATTCCTCCTAACAAGAGGGTCCTCTTGGTGGTGCTGCCAGATTTGCTTGATAGTGCAACTGCCTTACTTTCCTTGGGAGAATTTCTGCTGCTAGGCCCATAGCTTGCTTTGAAGTTGATAGAACCCAGTGTACATTTTCCCACTCTTCAGAAAAAGACAAAAGCTGCAGGAACAGCCTGTTTTGAGCCCACTGTTTTATTCTCCATGTTGAGGAGGGAAATCATTGATACTCTGTAGTTAAAAATACCACTTTAGTAGCAGGGAAGTTCTGGAGCAAATATTAATGCAGTGCAGCCTTTTAATGACAAAAATACAAAGAGAAGCAGAAAGCAAGCACTCAAGTCCTGCTGAATGCTTCACCCATTGATTCTCAGGTGTTTTGTCCTCAGGAGAGAAACAGCCTCTCAGATATTTCTCTCCAGACACAGCAATTTGCAGAGCTAAAATTGGCCTGTTCATATGTTTCTGGGGCCCAGTTTTAGTTCAGTCTTTTTAAAATTTCTCTCCTGAACCCAGTCCTCATAGGTGCAGAAATGTTGAGAACTCTCAGATTCACAGCAATCTTGAGAATCATTGTTCCTCTTGGGGTGCAGTGTCTGTATGAACAGCAAGGAGATTCACCAGAGAAAGAAAATATCTACTGAGGTTGCTGCTGTCTTTGGGCAAGTAAAAGCAGGTGGAGGTGGTACAGCTTACAAGTGCCTGTAACAACCAATTGAATTCACTGTTTTTTATTTATTTAATAATTCAAAATGGAAGCACTCTTAGTTCCTCTAAACAGTTCAGGTGGATCACAGGCTCAGCAAGCATGGGCACAAACTAGCTTTTCTTCATCATCTCCATTCAACAAACCTTCATTCACTGTCATTCTTTGAAAAGGCATTAGGTATAAAAGACTGCAGTGGGAGCCTGGAAGAGGTTTTGATTGCTGCTTTTCAACAGAAGAGAAAATGGTGTGATCCTTGTGCTCAAGTGCTCCTGTCCCATCAATCTGAGTGAAGCTTTCCAAGACAAGCAGTTCAAGTTATTCCTGTAGGGAACTGCTCAGAGGGATGAGAATCCAGGTTCAGTTCAAGTGTTGTCCAAACCACTCTGTATTTCTGTAGTGGAAAAGAGTTCAGAAGTGTGGTTTTCTGCAAGACATCTAACAGTGTGAGCTGCATGGGATCTTCATTCTCGAAAACACAGAGGAGGGAAATTAAGACCCGATCCTCACCACAGGCTCCAGTGTTGTGAAGAGAGAGTGAGAAGGCTCTTTGTCACAGGTCATCTTCCCAGGATGTTTTTGTATTGGCAGAGCCTCATTAACTTCTAGTTTACATCAGCTCTGAGGAGCAGCCTCCAAAGGTTTACCTCCCAGATGTATTATCCTCATATAAAGCAATGTTCTAGGGACTACAGTGTTTGTGCTTCTTGCTTTTTGTAAACAGCTATGTAACTAGCTCTGGATAAAACACTTCAATTGCCCAGGGCCAGCGTTTCTCTAAAAGCTCACTCCATAGTTCTCTGTTTCTGAGAAAAGACACTATTCTTAGCTGCAGACACATGGAAGAATGCAGGGGAAAAGAAATTCCAGATGCTCTGCAACCCGCACACCAGCCACGCGGGCCTTCTCTGTGAGTAGTGCAGGAGGAGCGAAGAGGGATCAGCTGTGCAGATGCCTTTCCTTTTGCTGAGAGTAATTGTTTCATCCTCACAAGCCCCCCAAAAGCAGTGAGCGAAGGCTTATAGGTTCCTGTCTGCATCGCCTGTAAGACAAACTGTAATTTTTATATCAAGACTGAAGGCTTCACATTGAGTAGGGCTTTTCAGTGAGTTTTCCCTTGCATGGATCAATTAGTGACTGTAGTGATGGGCATTCACAATAGCATTTAAAAATGGAAAACACAAAGGATGGCATCTTATGCAGCGGCAAGGTTGGCTGTTTCCAATCCTTTCACATCAGTAGTTTTCCTACATTGACACGTGACTAAAGTGTGGCAGGAACTAGACAACTTTCAAATCTTCCTTGCCTTTTGCTTCTCTGCACAGCTATTCTGCTGTTGGTTTAGTTCACCAGCTTGACACTGGTATTTTGAGATCATGTTTGTGTCTAGAAAAAAAGTTCCTCATTGCTCCTTTGAAGGTTTGTGAGTAATTCAGTAGATAATATTTTTTCTGCTTGTACTTGGTGACATACTGGTTTGACTTGTGAGAGCATAATACAGTGTCAACAGAAACTTGGGTCCTTCCAAGAAATGGAGGCACAAAACTTAAATTCTTTGTTACCACGGATAAGTCAGAAAAATGGCAGCGCTACCCTGAAGCTTGTCATGGGTGGAAGAAGGATCTGTGCGTGCCTTTGTGACTGCTCAGCACGTGCAGTGCTCAGGCTGCTGATTCAGAAACAGCCACAACAAGGCACATAAGTTTGCGCTTAAATCTTTACCTCATCATTGAGCAAGGGTTGTCAATTCAGGTGACAAACACAGCTTAAATAGAGAGTCCAGGTCCATGTAAAAACAGATTAGTCTGGATAAGAGCAAATGAGGTAAGGTCCACCTATTTCTGCCATTTTTATCTAATGACGGATGCACTGTCAATAATCATATTACTGGCAAGAAAAAAATGCTATTTATATTGCATCAACAGCTTGCCTTTTAAAAATAGGCATTGTCCAGCTATAATTTTGATGAAAATCCAAGAACACATCAAGCACACTCATTTATCATTCCCCAGTGAAGATATTTTGCCACACATGCCAAAGGTAATTGTAGAGTCTATTACATATGGAATTTACGACTTGCTGGTTACATCTGATGAACTCGGGTTTCAATAAAGGACTGCTGGATGAAGTAGCCTTGTTTGGTTCGTATCTCATTTACTAGGAGTTATGTAAAAGACTGGCATCTTGTTTATCTAGGAAAATCTGCTCTGTTGGAGGAAGGAGCAAAAAGAAAAAAAACAACAAAACTGTGATGTTCTAGAGGATGGCAGGACTATTGTGTAGCCATGCTCTGCCCTGTCAGTTTGGGGAGCTCTGCAGATGTGTGATGCAGATGATCTAGAAGATCATATCCCTCACGTGGTCTTTGAAAGCACTTTCCTCACTTTTTCGATGATAAAATATAATGTAGTGTTAGTAAACTCTGCCTCAGAAATAACTATAGGACTTGCTGGTTATCCCAAATAACTCTAAACTGTGCAAGGTGAATAAATCTTTCTTCGTGGCTGCAGGAGAGGGCAGAGGATATTCTTCCCTTCACCTTGGATGTGTCAACATACAGCACCCTGCTAGTCACCACTGTAGTGACTGATTTCCCTGTAATAGTGCTACCAGAAAGGGTTATTAACAGAACTAACATCTCTTCTGTCTCTACTGCAGGGGGTGTTGGAGAGTTTTCTGGGCACAGCAGTCACCGGAGCGATATTTTGCCTTTTTGCTGGCCAGCCACTCACTATTTTAAGCAGCACGGGACCTGTCCTTGTCTTTGAACGACTTCTCTTTAATTTCAGCAAGTAAGCGAAAGGGTGAAGAGAGGGAGGAAGGGAGGAATGTCTTGCATGAGTAAAATGCTAGCTAGGGAATGAGATGGCTTGTGGGGGGGAAGGAGGGGATTTAGTGTATGAAATGAAACATCCATTTGTTCCTTGTTGAGACTGCAGTGCAATCACATCAGGGATTTTCACAGGCACGTATGCCCAGAGCACTGCCTGGTGTACAAGGGTCTGTCTCCGCTGAGCCTTTTGGAAATGCTTTGCCAAGCCTGTGCTCAAGCCTGTGCCAAGCCTGCAATGCTTTCAGCATACTGTTCCCCACTGACTGCTGAGCGTGTTTTCCTTGATTGCTGTTTCCGAAAGGAGCAAAAAAAGCAACAAAATCACATAACAAAATGCAACAGGTCTCAAGATTACCAAAAATTTGTTCCTAAGTCAGTATTCATTTAAAGTATCTGTGAGGCTGGCAAAATATAATGAGTGCCCAAAGGAATCAGCATATTCACTGATAATTTTATGTGCAGGACTGTTGATATTTTGGATGACATTTAGGAAATTGATAACTTTAAGCTGTACAGAAAATTTGCCAGATTTCTTGTGGCCTTCCTTCCTTATATCAAGGAGATAAGGGGAGTTCACAGCATTGCCAAGACTTCTATGGCAGGACAAAAAATTGAGAACTTTTGGTTTTAAAGCGTTGCTGCGCTTTATTTCAAAAGCACTTGCCTGTGATATGGAACAGCTTTTCTACCATTTGCAGTTATTTTTAGAAAAGCTCTATTGAATTATTAAGGTAAACACGGCTGCAGGTTGTAATAAGGCAAGAGACATGGTATGTGTTTGTCTCTTTAACTGTATCTCCTTCATTACATTTAATCTGTGTAGGTACTTACTCAGAAATAATTGAGCAGATGAAATATGACTGTGCCTTTCCTGTGAGTACTCTAGGTGTAGGAAGAGTCTTCTGAGGCACAGGACCTCTGCTAGGCAGACAGTATATTTATATGTCACCCCACATACAGAGGACTGTTTTGGTAACATTTGCTCAGCAAATTTAATTGATAATACCTGTATCAGTGTGGTCCTTGTCTGCAAAGGTCCTGCAACACAGGATGAGATCAGGTCTGATTCTCATCCCATATAGTCCAAGTTAGCACTATTTTATAATCTATAGTAGGATTTTAAGCCAGGTTGGCATTGTACTGCTCTTCAATCCCTGTTCAGCAGAGCTTTATTCATGCCAACACAGGCAGAGACTCATCTTGGAGTTGCAGGTGCCGTGGAGAGACTTGCTGGACCTTTAAGTGGTATGCAGTCTCTTCCTGCCTTCCCTAGGGCTGCCACTCTCCATGGCACTGCTTCCATGATCCTCCCAGTCAGCTGCAGAGGAGATGGACTTTGCAGACCTTCTCTTCTCCTTGAGATGAGAAAATGGGAGGAAAATCAGACAAGCCTGGAGAGGGAAACTGGAAGCTACCCACTGGTGAGATCTGTAGCAGATCAGGAAGAGAGAGCACCTTTCTTTTCTTTCCTTGATGGCTATGAATGAATAAAATCAGGAAGAGAATGAATAAAATTAGAAGCTGTTTGAATCTAGCTTGCAGATCTAAGCCTGGATGCTGCATGTCAAAGTTAAAAAAAAACAAGATAGGAAAACATTTCCTATTATTTTGGGAAGAAGGGTGTTATTTTTAACTAGAGAAGGAGATTTTGATTATAAAAGCAATTGTCCTGACAACCTGGTTGGGCAGAAAGGCAAGATTTTTTGAGGGAGCCTTTCTCACAAGGAAATTGGAATCAAGTGCTGTGATTTTCTATAATGCATTTGTGGCTGTTCGTATTCACAGCACCCTCTTCCCTGCTGGGAGCAAAATTACAAAGCCTTGCCATCTACTGATTCATTTAAAGTGAGTGTGTCTGTGTCTGTGTAGATGCTTAAGAAAGCCTCTACTGAATGACATCTAGCACTCCTGAAAGAAATTCAAAATACATCGTGATTGGGTCTTCGTTAGCATCACAGTGCAGTTCTGTATCAGTCTCTTTTGCTGTGCTGATCCTTTTCCTTCTCATTCACCCTTTGTTTGCTGCAGCAAATCAAACATTACAACTTTGCTCTGAAGAATTTCGTTGACAGTATATAATAAAACACTTACATGTAAATTCATCCTAAATTTGCAACTAATTAAAGAATCACAAGGACTCACACACCCACAGCAATCACTGTATTGAGCTGGTGGATTGCCTGAGACTGCTGCTCCCATTTTACAGAGTGCTGAGGAGGAGAAGGCATTGCAGAGACTCGTTTTGAATGCAGATGCATGACAGTGCCTGAGCCTACAATACCCTGGCCCAGGAGACTCACAGGAATGCATGGCACTGCCCAGTAGCAAGCCTTTAACTAGGACCTTGCCAAGTCTTCAGCATTTTCTCCCACTTTACAATTGTAAGATTGTAGTTCCCTCCAGTTAGGTGTAATTCTTCCAATTCAAGATCTCTGTAGTTTTGTACTGTGCACTAAAAAACTGTCTTCAAGCCCTTGTGTCTGCCAACGTTCCCCTGGTGGCAGGTTAGGTGCTTGGGGAATCATGGAGCATGGCAATGAGCTGCTGCAGTTTGCTGCCTGTGGGGCAAATCCTGACAGGATTCTTTGTCACACCAAGTTGGAGGGAGCCCGCCTGCAGTGGAGATCTGAATACAGAGTGGGACCAACCTGCTGCCAGCTCTAAGGATGCCCTGTTTTACCACGTTACTCTGCCAGATGTTTGAACTAAAACCATCCCTCATACTAGGGCATACCAGCACTTCCCACTGCAAACAGGTTTGGGGGGATTTGTCTTCAGGACAGTTTGTTTCCCTCTCCCTCATGCCTTTGAGAGTGTCTTGTTCCTTCTGTGCTGTTAAGTTTCAGTGCTGTGGGTGGTTATCTAGTGCAGCTTGCATTCCTAAGGTGTCTTGAAGAGGACTTCTGCTCCTAAAATATTTTCTAAAGAAGATTCACAGGGAGCAGCATCATTTTTCTTAGCAGACTTAATGTAACTGGGGGAAACAAGGGATTCCTGGACTCTGCGGTTTCCTCACAGCTTTCTGATGCTGTCAGAGACCTTGCTCTGAGACTTTGCAGAGAAAATGCTCCTCCTCCTCTGTTATCACAGTCCAGCAGGGCAGGGCTGCCTGCTTCCATGGAGAAATAAATAGCTGGGGCTGGGACCCTGCTGCCCCCTACTCCCTCTCCCAGAATGGGCAGCAGTCTACCTTGGCAGAGTCTTATATTCTCTGCTTTTTGATTTTCATATTTTTTTTGGTCCTAAAAGCCTCCCTTTGAACTCAGTGCAGTTAGGGCACGGCAGCCTCCCCCAGCAAACAGACTTCCCAGGGAGGAGTGATATGATTCACCCCATCATCTCCACAACTGCCACATCCTGGCACCCGAGTTTGTCATCTTCGGCTTTGCATTTCTTTATTTGCTGCTGGTACTTTTCTGCAGATAATGCAAGTGTATGAGACATGAAAATGCAGGCTTCTGAGTAAGAAGCTTGGCAGGAAATTGCTTTTCTAAAGGAGATTTGTAAACTATAGTTAAATCTGCAGCTGGTGGAAAGCTGTCCAAGTTCATCTGCTCTTGGTCTGGGTGGCTAGATGCTTGGCCCTTTACAACTCTGAGTGTGTTTGCCAAGGCAGGATTTATACTGGGAAGCCTAGAAAGAGCTTGAATTCATTGGTAGCATTTATTAATGGAAGCAGAAGCAAGAACGATCACTTTTGCAAGCTTTTCTGCTACCTCAACTGTTGAACTGCACCATGTGCTTTTATGGAGTCGGCTGACTGAAAACAGCTTAGTATTTGGGCACAATTTTGCTTAATCCAAAATAAGCCTTGGTCCCAGAGGCTTTACATTCACCACTTCTCACTAGAAAGTGCTAATTCTGTATGGATTTCTCTAATCCCTCCTATCTTCCCTCCCTTCCACCTGTGTCTTGTTGCAGAGACAATGATTTTGACTACCTGGAGTTTCGTCTCTGGATCGGCCTCTGGTCAGCCTTCCAGTGTCTCATTCTTGTTGCTACTGATGCCAGCTTCCTGGTCAAGTACTTCACACGCTTCACCGAAGAAGGTTTCTCCTCACTTATTAGCTTCATCTTCATTTACGATGCTTTCAAGAAGATGATCAAGCTGGCAGATTATTACCCTATCAACTCCGAGTTCAAGGTGGACTATATCACACATTATTCTTGTGCCTGTGAACCACTGGGTCCAGGTAAGAGAATACTTTATTGACCCTCTGATTTGCAAACACAAGATATTGCTTGCTTTCATTTATTTATTCATTCATTTATTTATCAGTTGCACTGTGGCTCAGATAACAGAAAAGTAGATGAATCCTTCTTTATCAGTTTTCTTCCAATATTTTATCTTAGCCTTTCTATCCAACGTTTCTGACACTCCTCATGTGAGCGCTGTTATGAGCAGAGAAGCTGTCTGCGTACCTATGTCTCCTCACAAATATGTGGCCATTAATTCTGAACGGTGTTTCTCTGAGGCTAGGACACCACCAGAAGTGGTATCAAGGGCACTGCTGTGGTACTGAAGTCAGTCCTGGTATCCCCCGTGTGGTCCTGACAAAGGACAGGAGCTGGATTTATTCAGTGCGTTACCCAAACATGGGTGCTTTTGCACTTCCTGGCTGCGCGTATGAGCAGAAAAGCATGAAGAAGTTCTCATTAGAGTATAAGGGAAGAGTATCCATCAGTTCAGCCTATTACTGGAGTGTGCACTGCAAGGCAAGTGTAGCCAAAATATGTGTAGGTCTGGTAATACAACCATGAACAAAAGGTTACAAAACAGATACCAAACAGAAGTAATGCTGTTACCAGTAGGGAGGCTGTAATCTCTCCTAGGATTCTTCCAACAATGAGAACTGAGTAAGCAACTTTATCTGTACTCAAAGTAAACATCATATCATCTCAACGTACCTGTCAAACAGGAAAATAATCTAGCTGCTGCTAGGTGCCTCTTTGCAAAAGATGATGGAAAATGGACACTTACATTAGCTATTAAATGCAGGGTCACTGCAAGCACTTCAGTGTTGGTCTAATTCTGCCTCCATTTGAATGGCAGGGTGATTTCTCTCCTGGTGGTTGAGCAGTTAGTCTGATCATGTCTCTGTCTAACAATGCAATGCTGGAACAGTCTCAGCTTCCCAGATAAATGCCTAGGGCACAGACCTACTGCACAGGACAAAAGTGATGATAGAGCTGGAGGGTGTTGTTTCATTCTGTAAGAGATTTGTGCCCAGAAATACAGCGCCAATCTCTACCTTCATAAGCAAGTGGGGGAAGGATTAGCATGCATTGTTTGATAAGGTTCACAAACCATCGCTGCCATGATTCTCTAGCTAAATGGTTATTTCAGAAGGTAAAGATAATTTGAAATGAAATGATTCCTTCCTAAAGCCTTGCTTGATGTTTCCATCCCAGAGCAGAGCAGAGGAGTTTTCATACCATGGAAGTCCAACTTTGTGAGCACCTCTGCACGTGTGTACACATACCTTTACATCTTTGTGCCTAACTCACCTTAAGCAGTGCTGGGCCAATAGTTGAAGTGAGATGGAAGTGTCCTGAAATAGGAAGTAGAGAGGGATCAGTGAACCCTTTGATGGTCTTGAACCAGTAAATGGATCCTACTGGCTGCGTCGTTAGGGGTTTTATCAGGAGGGTGGAAGTTGTCATCATCTTTGTATGTTTCCTCCATAGTTTTTGAACTAACACTGAATAAGCTTTGAAAGGAGGAGTGAGCACAAAATACTGGATATACTGTCAGCAGACTGTTCAGGCAACCCTGTGGAACTTCATTTCAGACACACCAACCTCTCCTGCATAGACCTGTGTGGGTGTGTGGCACCTCAGACACAGAGACTTTGACAGTATGAGTAATGTCTGCATTTCAGAAGCTGCCATTTGAGGGTGATTGGAAACAGTAGACTACCTGGGAAGAGAACAGCAGAGTGATCCCATATTTAAACTCAGTCTGAAACATGCTGAAAAACAAGAGTCCTATGCATGTGCAAGTGTTAGGGTTAAGGTATTTTTTTAAGGTATTTATACTAGGCAGACCTTTTTGGTATTCTCATCTCATCTGTTGGTTGGTGGCAGTTTGGCACCCCTGCAAGTATGCATGTCTCTGCACAAACCCAGAGAGCATCCAGCATAGATTTGATTCTTATTTCTTTAAAAAAAACAAGTTTCCACATCAGCTGCTTGTCACAGCTGCAGAGGAATTTTTCTTCTGCCATGCAGCAAGTAGCAGCAGCAAAGTCCCCCATGCACCGATTTAGGCTTTTTACAGTTACTTTTCATATTTGTCATTGAGATTTGCCCTTAGAGTCTGCATTGGTACCCAGTCTAAGTTGCTCAGTTTCTGTTCTGTTCACCCGCACACAGAGGCCTCAGCCTAGAGAGCAGTATCTCCCCAGCCCCATCACATGCTCTGGCATGGACAGCTGTTTTACAGCCCACTCACAGAGAAGGCTCTCATAGATGTTCAACACAGATCTGTTCTGCTGACAGGATGAGAATCTGGCCAGGCTGCCAGCCTTAAGCCTCCAGTAAGTTGCAAGCAGGGATCAGGCTTGGGTAAGCACAGGATGCATCAGCACCAAAGATGCCATACCAGCAGTTCACTGCTGCTCCATCATACAGGTGGGAAGAAAACTTTCTTCATTTAGGATTGAATAGCCTTTAATTAGGGTGTGAAATCAGGCAAGACCCTACAATAATGCCTTTGAAATCACTGATGGGATTTCTGTGTAAATAATTACACAGTGTGTCATGCAGAGATTTCTCCGTGATCTCTATACCTCTAGTCTGTGTCTCTGAGTAACATGCACTGTTTTACAATGCAGGTGGAGAAACCCAAACACAAAACCACACTCCATTCACTTTTTCAGGAACATTATAATCCATATAGCAGCTATTGAGACTGGAGTCGAAAGAATCACAGCTGCATAGAAAGTTTCTCCGTGTGCCAGCAGAGAAGTCAGAAGCAGCAAAAGAAATCCTCTGCACTCTTGATGTATTCTGTGGAGGGAGAAGAAGAGGAGAGGAAAAGAGAGAGGAAGAGAAGAGGTAGTGGGGAGGACAAAAGAGGAGTGTTCCTGTGGAACCAGGAAGGAATGCAACAGACAGTGAGGCCCTCTGAGGCTGGAGCATCTGACAAAACATAAAGGCTGTGTGCTTGAACATAGAAAGATCTCAATAGCTCCTTCAGTGCAATGACTTACTGAATTTCTCTTCTTGAATGTGCTCAGAGTAGACGAGCTTCTCAATACGAAAAGCTTTCTACCTGATCTATGAAATGTATGGAGAGGGTTTTGATTCAGTTGGAGATGTCAGAAAAAGAGCACAATACACTGTAAAAAACACTTAACTACTACCTCTTCTCAGACTTCCTGTCTCCAGAACAGAGGTGCATCACTGTCCAGGCTCAGTTCCATCCTTGCAGCATGGCTTACAGTTTGGTTCAATTTTACACTCTCAGGTGCTGGTTTCAGGGGTAAAACTCCCTACGCACTTGGGGTATGCAGGCACTTCTGTACAGAAGGGGGTTGGTGCCAGTGCAAGGAAGATGCCAGCGGCAAAATCTGTGGTAATGCTTCCAAGCATGACAAAATTGATGGCCTGGCAAGAATCATGAGCTGTTACAGAGGCCTGGAAAGGCTGCCTGTGGTTAGTGGCATTCTAGTAGTTATCTAGGCCTACCTGTTATATTTCAGTATAAAAGTCACATGCACTTGTTCTTTCCCCAGTTAAACCAATGTGCTCTGTATGGTATTTTAGTAAAACTTCCATAGTGTTACCAGTCATAAAAGACTTAAAAACCTAAATAATAGAGGAGGACATAACTGACAAACCTATTTGTTTTTCTTTTTTGCTGTTCTGGCACCATGCTCTCAGTGTTCTTTCTTCTGTTCTCTTTTGCAGATAATAGCTCATTTTTTAACAGAACAACTGTGTCGTCAGCTGAGGGGCCATTCTATTCCTCTGCTGAGATGGTAAGTGAGGCTTCCAGGAAGGCAGGCTTGAAAACACTGGTGTGGGGTTTGGTGGCTGTGAAAGAGATGGGGGCTAGCATCCTTCCATGGCTCATACTTTCACTCTGCAGAGCAGCAGTATTGAAGCAGCAGACCAGCCACAAGAGCCAAAGAAGCAACTCCTGCTATTGTTGTTTGGTTTTTTTTTAATTAATCAACCACTAATCTCAAAATGGTGGAAATTAGAATAGGTATTCATTCTAGCAGTGCTGTTCCAACCTTCATTTTGGAACATGTCCTCCTATAACCTGGCCATTTGTGACTGTGACTTTCCAGTGCACTGACGTAAAAAAAAAAAAAAAAAAAAAAAAACTTGCATGGTTGAAACCGCTGGCGGCTCCTAGCTCTGCTCTCCTTCCTGTGGTATGACAGAGCCAGCAGTTTACACCTTGGTTTTATTTCAGTTATTCTTTCCAGTGACATTGCTTTCAAGTGCAGTTTGTGGGCTTCTCTGTAGTTTGCCTGGAAATTTGCTGCCTGTTTCCCTGATGTATTTCATTTCCCCACTTTGTATTGTACTTATCTGTCTCGGAATACACCTTTGCAAAGACAGGGACTATGTAGTTTTTAAAGGCTGTAAGGGCCATGTGTTTCTGCTGTGCCATACAAATAGAGCAGCAATTGATCTCACATCCTCACACCAAAGCTACCAATTTTCCATCAAACACCGTAAGAAATTTCTACTGCACTTCATCCTTCAGGGATTTATTGTAGTACTGCATACAGAATACCATGTGCACAACTGGATATCAGCAATTCCTTGTGCATGGCAGCCTCTTCATTGCTGTGGGAAGCTGTGTGTGCTGTCAGGAGGTGAATGGCCCTCCCTAGGGATCAGTAGGCTCCCTGTGTGCAGATTTCATTGTGGCCAGGGCAGCAATGATAGTAGAGTTGTAGCCAGCCATTCCTCTGGAAGGCCCGGTCTTCGATCCTGTTTTGTTTTTTGTTTTTCTGGCAAGCTGTGGATGATGATGAGAAAGGACCAGATCTTGATGGGTTCAGATATTTCTGTGTTTTATGCATAGGAGGTTAAGAGGCAGAGTAGTAACTTTGTGCTGAAGCACACAGATCCTCCCTGTCTGCATTTCTTGTAGGATGTTGCTCTCTCTGTGTGGCACCAGGTAGCCTTCTCCTCCTGCTGGGCCTTTTGACGTGGATGTGCTGTACATGACACTCCAAGCAACAGAAGTGAGGCACAAACCTGAAGGAAAGGGCATCCCCCAAGGTCTCTAAGGGGCTGGTAGCAGAGTGAGGAAACAGAAGCAAGGTCTTCTGATGGCCATGCTGCGCCACGTGTGCTCTTTCCTGCTCCTTGCCTTCCTCACTGCCCCACCTCTGTCAATTTGCTGTGCTTCCCTGAGCGTCTGAGTTCACTGCTTCTGGAAGGGCTGCAAGTCAGGGCCTAATTGTTCAGCTGCCCGTCACACAAAATAACACTTGGGGAAGTGATGAGCAGCCCCGAGCTCTGATACAATGCCAGCCATCAGGATGCTTAAATCCACCTGTCAAGAGGAGAGTGCCAGTTGCCACTTCTGTTTCATTAACAAGAAAAACTGTTCATGTTATTTATGTATTTAGCATTTGATTTTCAGTCTCAGGAGATGGGATGCACACATTAGAGGAAGGCAAAGAACTCAACTCAGACCTGGAGTCAAGAAAAGAACCCAACAAGTTGCGTTTCCAGACTGTCATTTGCTGGAACAGTAATCTCAGCCCTTCTCCCCCAGAGCCCTGTTTTGTGACATCATTCCTGCCACCCAGCAGGCCCAGAGGCAGCTCCCATCAGACTCAATTGTATCTCTTTGGCTGATGCTGCAAAGTGCTGGGGGTGGGGGGGAGTGTATGCTGTCCCCATATCTGAACTCTCCTGCTTTAGCCCTGATCCATGCTGGGGAAGTGAGCCCCAGCTAGTCCTGGAGTCCTCCACCTATTTTACATCTGCCAGTTAGCCCTTTGTTTCTGTTCTGCCTTTTGGTACAGCCAACAGTCTGAAATCCACTACCAGTCAAATGGTTGAGTGGCTGTGAACACTTCCAGGAGGGACCACTGATGCATACAGGTAGTAGATTTGAGGGAAAAGGGATACCCCATTCTTTCTGCTCTTTGGTATTCCAAACAGTAATTTTAACTATTGAAAACTCAGGAGTTTATTTCTGTAGCTTGAAAAGCAGAAGTCATAGTGGTTTAACTCCATAGCAATAGGACAGATCAATACGATGGGAAAGGCATTACAACAAAGGTATGAAGACAGAAGGACTGGTACAACAGAAAGATACTATAAAGGAAGGGAAGAAGATTGCTCACCTGTATCAGAAGATTCTAGGTTTTCAGGGGAAAGCTTCCTCAAAGAAGGATTTCCAGAAAGATCCTTCCCCTGTGGCAGTCAGCCCTTAAATGGGGTCTAAGAGAGGTTGCAGCCAGGCTCCACCCCTTCTTGTCTTCACCTGTGCTCCCAGGGCTGACCAAGTCTTTTCCCCAAGTGCTCAATGTGGCTGTGACTGAACAGTTCCCATACAAACTCTGGGGGGGTATGCATGCAAATGCATGGTGTACAAAATTTGCCCCCAAAATTTGGGTTTTCTCATCTCCACTCACCCTCTGCTGTGGTCCAGAAGCTAACAGTCAGGGCAGACCTACAGAAACCCCACTGATGTAGGACAAATTGCTGCTGCTTCGTGTCACAGAGAGACAGAATGCTGAGAGAGCAAATGTATCATTACTTTTTCAAACAAGAACACGCAGCTGTTTTTTCTGTTGTTGTTTTCTTCTCCCTCCCACCTCCTGCTGCTATCACCATCAGCACAGTCATGCCTCAGTTTAGCTAGAGCTCCTTGAGTTCACAAAATCTGCTGAAGAAATTGTAATTTATTACATGTATCTTCAGAACGCTTGAACATCATCCCATGTTTGGAGGCACACATGATGTATTTTTTCAGTACACCCATATGAACAAGATACTAATAGGTAGGACATGAGGCCATGAAGCTTTAGTCTTCAGCAAGAATCTTAAGTATTTTGAAGACTTGGAATGTAACTTTGCTCAACTCCCTAGATGAAAATTTTCTTTCTAAGCAACAGCGTATTTTGTATTGTACTGTTTTCTGTAAAGAACATCATTCTTCTGGTAAATTGCATGTCAGCCTGAATTGGTCTGTGTTCACCTTCATCATAATTTTTCTACAGCTAAAATATTTGGAGTAAAAGACTCTCTTCTCTCTATTTATTCACCGTGAGGTATTTTGTTGTAGTTGTTTTAATTTAAATATTAATTCTCTATGTTATGGTTCCTGGGACTATTATTTCCTTCCTCTGGGTTTTCATGCGGAAACAGAGCAGTAGAGACAATGTGATTCCAAAACTTGTCAGATATGCAGAATTTTTTAGGTACTTGGATTTATTTTAAACTTCCTGTGTGTTAAGCGTGTGTATTGTGCATTCCCAATCTCCCTTAAGACCATGTGCTCTGTGCACACCTAGAGTAGCCTCGTGAGCTCAGTGCTTTATGCATGTTTAAATTCTTGCTCTCTTGTGGATTTGTATTTGCTGTCCTCCTCCACTACACTGACACTATTATGAATTATACAGGTGCAGGGGTAGGTAAAGACCCTTTCTCTGGCTCTGCTTCACCATAAGCATTAGGAAACATGATCATCTAGCATGCCCTGCGCAGCTCTGGATTCCATGATGAAATATGAAATGCGAGTAGTGTCTTCCTGTCTGTGCAGTAGAAGTCATCATTAGTAATGAACTATTCAAATCAGGATGGGCTGGGGAGCCCCATAGTGGGAACTGAAATATATCCCTGAAGCTGGCAGTGGTTGGGTTTGGTGGTCAGCCTGTACAGTGAGCGCTCATGGTTGAAAGTATGATGGAAAGGAGCTTCGTCCATCCTTTGTATATAAAGTTGCTATATGAAGAGTTGCAACAGAGAGCTTAGTTTTTACCTTTGATTTACTACCTAAGCCAAAGGTCTTCCTTCCAAGGCCTTAGACTGTCTTAAGTTCAAAGGTAACACCATCCTCTCTCTGAATTAAAATCCATTTTGCTTGCCCACAAGCACAGAAATTTTTAGCTTCTGCACCATGCTTCCTTTTACTTTCCTACTTTTTTCCTGATGCTCTGTCTCTGTGCCTGCTCTGGCATGGGCAGTGCTTATGTGAGCATGGCTTCATGGAAATGTTCTTTTTTCTGCAGTACAACACCACCATCGACTGGTCGTCTCTGACAAAGAAGGAGTGCTTGAAATACGGAGGACACCTTGTGGGCAACAACTGTGGATATGTCCCTGACATCACCCTCATGTCTTTCATCCTCTTTTTTGGCACCTATACCTGCTCGATGGCCCTGAAGAAATTCAAGACTAGTCGCTATTTTCCAACCACTGTAAGTCTCTCCTTTCACACTAGCAGTTGGCTTCTTCACTCTTTCAGAGTGCAAGGATGAGCAATCCTTTTGGTATAGCTGTCACATGGGGACAGGCACTTTCCAGGGAAACCAGATTGTTTTTGTTGCAATAAAAACATGGTATTGGTTAACAAAGGTATATCATGGAACCAAAAGGGACAATTAATTAATATGTCAGAAAGTTTCCCTGCTTATAGCTAGAAGAGGGAGTGTTTGCTTTGTTACTGAATAAAAGTGGGTAAGCTAGTTGTCTGCACTGAAAAGGAGAACAGACACATCTTTTTTGTTACCAGGTAGCATCTGAAATAGAAATCTGCAAAAATATTGAACTCTGCTACACTCCACATCTAGTGTTACCTGTTATGCTAGGGACTCAAAACAGGAATTCCATATCTTCTCTTAGGATCAGGGATGTCCTGATAACCTTTGAATTGACTTAAACAAGGTTTTGCTCAGACTTCCAGCCAACTTATGTGCACCTCTCAGGTACATCTGCTTATTCTGTCTCTGCAACTGAGCTTGCCATGACAACTGTTAAACAAAGAATGGCAGTGGATAAAAAAACTAACAGGCCTTTTGGCTGTGAGGAGTTTACTTGAAATGTAGTGGACAAGCAGCTGTGCCCTCTCCAAGATATTCAGCCTTTGCCGGTTTCACCAGTTTTCTTCTGAAAGAAGACAGCAGGTTTCCACTTGTAGCCAAAAAGCCATGTTTATGTAAGGTTTGTCCCCCATTTTGGCATTCTAACACAATGAGATTTATCTTGCAAGGATTTTTACTGTTCTGTTATGTTATAACTGAACCTCTATTATTTTTAATAAAAAAAGAAATGAATTCCATCCAGCCTGAAACGCAGCTCAATTTATCTGTAACCATGTGAACCTAGGAGGCCTAGAAGGAACGCGCACAAAAAGCTCACAGTTACAGAGAAGCACAGTGGGGCCAGCCCAGTTTAGTTTCAGGGCCCAACCAGCGGCAGCTTTACATTGCTGTATTCCATTGTTTTCGTTAGAGTTGCATTCTTTAAAATACGCAGAGGATTAACTGAGATGCTCCATTTCTCTTGTTGTCTACTTGGGTTAATTTTGGGTTAATTTTGGGTTAATTTACTAATTGAACAAAAAGCAAAACCATTTCAAAGTCTGCAGTTCAGACAGAACATCACATCTGTCATGGAAGTTTGTTTCCCCATCTACTAAAGGGAAGTCCATGACTATTTCCATTGTCATTTCCGTTTAATTTTTTTCTTCTTTTTCTCATTTTTTTTCCTAATGTGCACTGCAAAATCAGACCCATTGAAAGAACAGTATCTGGGCATAACACAGTATTTTATACTAAAGCTTCATACCTTGGGAATCCAGAGATGATGTGAGAAGCTCAACTTGTATCAAAAAAGCAGCCTCTGTCCCTGCAGAGAAAAACACGATTATGAGAATCAGAAGGCAAACAGAAGGAAATATTATTAAGTAACGTGTAAAAATGTCATTAAGTTTTTTTTTAAGTTTCATTTATAAATATTCAATATCTGTTAATGTTGGAAGCTGACCTTAAAGTCTCAGTAGTTTGGATGATCACAATGAAAACTTGGAAGATTATTTGAAAAAGAAACAAAGCTAAATTGTCTCAGAATTCTTCTCAAGATGTTAAATAGTTCTCAATGTTACTTTGGCAGTTTGACTTGCCAAAACAAGGAACCGGCAATCCTTCTCCTCAGACTTGTTCTCATATTTCCATTTAGGCTTAATTCTTTGGCTCTCAGGCAAAAAAAAAGAAAGTAACAAGGCACATTTGGTTGAAATTGCATGAGACATTACAATGTAAACCCTACTTTCTACAGAAGAGGAAATGATTATTTTGTATTGCCAACAAACGCATACTCGGAGTTTCACACAGTATGTAAGACATGGATGAAGTGCTGTTTCATAGCACTAACTAACCTTACCATGTTGACTCCTGTTTCAGGCCAGGAAGCTTATCAGTGACTTTGCCATTATCTTATCCATTTTGATTTTCTGTGGAATAGATGCCCTGGTAGGTGTGGACACACCAAAACTAATTGTGCCAAGTGAATTCAAGGTATGTAGTTGTCAACTCATTTTATGGCTTTTGGAATAGGTTCCCTTTTACCCCCAACTACCCTGTGTAAAATCAGTTGCCCTCAAAACAGGAAAGTAATTAGCTCACTAGAAATGACCATTTTACTTCACTGTTATCCTTTTAATGAGCATTGTTTTGGTTGGCTGATCTCCTAAATCCTAGCTTGTCCTACCTCCTTTGGGTATAGTTTCTCATATCCAGGACTCAAGAGCTGGTGTTATATGCTCAGCCACCTCGGAGACATTCCCTTACTCAGATTCCTGGAGCCGTTTCAGAGAAACTGATCAGAGCAGCTGGCACATTACTGGCACATTCCTCATAGCTCCTCTTGTAACCTTGCTGCTAATCAGCTTGCAAAAGCTGGCCATCAATAAGCAGTTTCATTTTCAAGAACTTTTTGTTGCTTTTGATTGGGAGAATTAAATTATCACAAACTTTAAGTGTCTCTAGTCGTTCATTGGAAGGAAAAGCCCTGTGCATTTATAGCATAATGATATCTGTGCTATATTGTGGCTCTAACACATGCTTTCCTTTTCTTTCCCTTTAAAGCCAACCAGTCCTGAGAGGGGCTGGTTTATCCCACCTTTTGGAGGGAACCCATGGTGGGTGTACCTGGCAGCAGCCATCCCTGCACTGCTGGTGACTATCCTCATCTTCATGGATCAGCAAATCACAGCTGTCATTGTCAACAGGAAGGAACACAAGCTCAAGGTGGGTGTGCTTTGTGACTTGCATGTATGCAAAGAGCTATCCCATGATTTTTCTTTGCTAGAGATAGAGGAGGGCCTGTGGCAGTGCTTAGCACACAGTGTGGTTTAGCATGCAAGGAAAAAGAAGGTGGGCACAGTAGATCAACCAGGTAAATATCTCACTCAAACGACAGCCTAATTGAGGGAGCATGGTATAGCGTGAGCCATAAATGGAAGAGGCAGAAATAGCTGGACAGGTGGGCTCTCCTGCCTTGCTTATACCCTTGAATATTCCCTTATGTCACCAATTACCTGGAAAGAGGACAAAAGTTAACTGTAGGATAAATACATTGGTGTGCATAGATCTACAGAGAGCATCTGTCATAGGCAGCTCAGGCTTGTTACTGGGAGAGCCTGTGTGCCTCTGCTCCAACCTGAGCAATGACCTGATTTTTCTTTGGACAGCACTGCATTATTGTCTCCAGGCCAAAACTTCTCTGATCTAATCAAAATAGGCAAACCTTCCCAAGATCTGATAAGCCCTTGTTACTGTTCTTATTGTAAGGCAATTGCAGGTCAGTGTTGCCAGCAGTCAGCAGAACAAAGTCTCTGTCGTGGCCTTTCCTGGGCACAGCACATCAGTGTGGCTGTCAGCCACTCCAAAGGAGAGCTTTGAGTGCCAGGGTGACTGCAGGAACCCACCTTTGATGGATATGGCAAAGGGTGGCCCACGTTTGGCAGCTGTTATGTTGGTGTTATGGTACAGTAAAATACAAGAAATAAGCTGAAGAGATCGTAGGTATGCCAAAGGCACAACCACAATTGGAGTTATTTAAAGCTTTATATCCGCTGACATGTAGCAGCTCAGGATGTAGTAATGTTTTTGAAATAAACTTTCCAGACCAGCGCTATACAGGTTTTCATGCCTGTAGGGTTTTTCCCTTCCCTGCATGGTCAGTTCTGTTGAAACACATTAAACTCCTGTAAAAGAAATCTCTCCCTTTTTTGCTAACAGCAGACATTTCAAGTGGCTTAACCCATGACAGCAAAGGCTCACTCCAAACGCAGGTAGTTCTGGGTCATAGTTTTGATCGCCACTTCAACATTTATACTGAGAGCTGATGGAAATATAGTTCTTCTGTGCATTGGGCTCCTACTTGAAAAAGAGGAGGAAGTTGCATATGGTCACTTTGTAGGCATTAGGCAATCAGTGTGATTTAACACTGACTTGAAAGACCAGAAGGGCACAGGAACGGTTTGTTGTGCAGAAAAAGGAATAGTAGCTGGCTATTGTCTCATGCCATCTGGAGTTGGACAGGTAAAGTTAATGCTGCGCCCACATCTTCCTCATGGGAAGGCTAATCTTTACCCTGTCCTTGAAGCACACTATTAAGTGAAGGCACGTATGGAGGCAAGGTTCAATACAGGTGTCTGCCTGCCTGTCAGACAGGGCAGTTGGCACAGACTTGCTTTCTGCTGGTGTCTGATTTCCTCCTGTGATGGTGGCTTTTTCTTATTGACATGGCCTCAGTTTTTGGTATGCTTTAGCTGTCATGATTTGGTCTTCTTGCTGCTTGCTTTGTCCCAGCAAAGCCGGGAAAGGCCACAAAAATCGAAGTCCCCAGGTAATGCTTTCTGAGGAAGAGGCACCCAGCCTTTTTGTTGTGAGCTTCTGACTATCTGAACATAGAATCATGGAATTGTTCAGGTTGGAAAAGACCTTAAAGACTATCAAGCCCAACCACAACCTAACCATACTACCCAATTCTAACAACCCTCCACTAAATCATGTTCCTGAGCATCACATCCAAAGGGTTTTTAAACACATCCAGAGATGGTGACTCAACCATGGGGAGGCATGGGGAACCTATTCCAGTGCTTAACTACCCTTTCTGTAAAGAAGTTTTTCCTGATTTCCAACCTAAACTTACCCTGGTGCAACTTGAGGCCATTTCCCCTCATCCTGTCACCAGTGAGAAGAGATCAACCCCACTCTCACTGTGAGCACCTTTCAGATATTGCAAGAGAACAATGAGGTCTCTCCTCAGCTGTCTTTTCCCCAGACTAAACAGCCCCAGATCCTTCAGTCTCTCCTTGTAGGGCCTGTTCTCCAAGCCCTTCACAAGCCTTGTTGCCCTTCTTTGGACCTGCTCCAGCACCTCAATGTCCTTTCTGTACTGAGGTGCCCAAAACTGAACACAGTACTCGAGGTGGGGCCTCACCAATGCTGAGTACGGGGGCAGGATTACCTCCCTACTCCTGCTCATGCTATCATCAGCACTGAGTGTACTTTTTTAGTCAGAAAGTATAAACATTCCCACAAGGTACTGTTTAATATAAAAAATTGTTTCCTGCTTCCTTTCTTACAGTTGTGAGAACATGCTTTTGTTTAAATGGGGGTTCTCCAGTCCTCTCCTGCTGCTCTGCATCAAAATGTGCATTGGTACACATCTACTGCAGGACCAAAGGAGGACTTTTTTTTCCTGCTGCTGCCCTGTTAAAGTATTGGCAAGGTGGCACTGAGTAACCGTCTGGGTGCTGCTGGCCAGCCAAAGCAAGCAGTGAATGTATTAGGAAAACAATGACTACTATTCAAGAGGAGCTGGGTTGCTTTCCCTCTTAGGTCACCACATAGGACTGGTTCATTTGTTCTTTCCAATAAAATCAAATTGAACAAGTTTAAAAAAAGGTTAATCTTTAAAACATCAAACTGTAAAGAATTCTTTGGTGTTTTTCTGAAGATCCTATTCTTTGATGTCTTGTTTGGTTTTTTTGCTTCTTCTCTTGGCATTTGTGACTGGTGAATTTTCTGTTCGTCCCCTAATGTATTTTTAAAAAAAAGATTAATAATAGGAGTGCACTGGATTTGGAGTAAGCTTTTTAGGGGTGAATTCACCCAGTGTTTTGCTAGCAGGCGCTGCTGTCTGCCTCTGACAGAAACTTCTGTACAATATCAGTTTCCACTGGAGTTTCTCTTCAGATCAGTCTGAAGAACAAAGGTTTCTAAAAAGAATCAAAAAATGAGGGCAGCTTTCTCATTTTGATGGGTTATGAGTCCTATGAGCTGCTCTTGTCAGTATGCCCGAGAAAGCATAGTTGGGCTTTCAGGAAAGTACCTTCAGTACCCAGCAAAATCAGCATTGCTCAGACTGACCATGAAATCCTGACCGAGTTTCTGCAGTTGCTTTGTATCCTAAATATAGGAGTTGAGATCTTGCTCTGAGATAGGAGATGGTAAATGCTACCTTTTTGGCAGGCACCATATATCTCTAAGCTTGCTTTCAGGTAAGCTTAATTAAGTCATTGCATTGAGTTATTTTACAACAGCTGCCTCATAAAATAAGGCTTCTGTCTGGTTTTATGAAAAGTTGGTTTGGGTGTTAAAAGCTCTGTGCATATCCATGCTGTCACACAAGTGTGAGATGACTTGGCACACAAAAGTGCTGTTGTAGTTCCCGATGCCAAATGAAATAGCCCTTGAAGTGGAAGGAGCTGTTGTACTTGGAAGAAAACATGAGGCCTGGGAAAGGGATTGTGAACAACTTCATTCTCCATTATACAGAAGAATTTCTGACTTTCAGAAGAGTACCTCAAGTCCAACTAAAGATAACAAACACTGTTTGTGTGCCATGTCTTTGCAAATCAGGATATGGGAGAAGAGAGAAACCAAGTGAAGTGAGCAAAGCAAAAGCAGCTGGATGGGGATTTCACACCTTGCACAGTCCAGAATGACACGTCCCTTTCCTCGCACCAGCACCTGGGTCAGCATTTCTCCCCCTCCATCATCAGTGGTTGTTGACTCCACTCTGACAGTGATGTTTGTGTGGAGAGCTAGACTCATATGAACACACAGTTGGTGAAAATTCTGGCTTCCCACAATGTCAAAAGAAGTCCTGTGCACTTGTAGCAGATCAGCAGGATAACTGCTCACACCATGTAAACTGCTCCCTTGTTTACAGACTGCCCTTCTGCGTTCTTGCCCTGTCCAAACTCTTGTTTCTCTATCCGTCTGATGCTCTGAAAATGTGTTCTAGTTCTGGTTTTGCACACACTGTGGAGTCAGCAGGGAGTTGGAATAGTGTTGGGTATTTGGTTTCTTGTCACTGTGTCATTTCATGTAAAAAAAAAAAAATCTGGGAAAGTTTAACTTGTAAAAATAGCATATATCTTGTGTGTTTCCAGTTTTTGGTGGCTTTTCTTTTGTTAGAGGCAATATAGAGCTCCTCCAGGTTACTGTAAACACATTGTAATCAAGATATACATATATTTTGAGAACTGGCTTATACTGTTTACAAGGTAAGACGTGTAACTCACCTAATACTTCCCAGTGAACACAACCTCTCTACAGTCATATTTAACTCGTAGTCTGCTGTGTAAAGAGTAGCACTGTACTGAACTACTTGACTGGCTGCAGGGCTTATCTTGCACCAACCCAACCTCCAAACACTGCACACTGCTTGGTCTTTTGCCGGACTGCTTGCATGTCTGCTACTTTCTTATACTTACTGCTTAACCCCATTATATTGTTTTCAAAACTTGCCAGAATAGTATCATATACCTGCTTCCCCTGCTGAAGCAGGAGTTGATCCTTTATGTAGCAGTGTGACCTACTCTGCAAATTGCTTGTGAAAACTTCTGTCTCTTAGAGCAGCCAAGCAGTTCACTAAAGATACAGCTGAAGGAAATGCTGCTTGGTTGGTGTGCCTCTGCCCCGTGCCAGAACCTTGGCTAGTCCTTATGCATTTAGAATAATTAAAGCTAAGGCTGTCTGTCTCCCTTCACAGAAAGGTGCTGGATATCATTTGGATTTGTTCTGGGTGGCCATTCTGATGATTATCTGCTCCTTTATGGGTCTGCCCTGGTACGTTGCTGCGACTGTGATCTCCATTGCTCATATTGACAGCTTGAAGATGGAGACTGAAACTTCAGCCCCTGGAGAACAGCCCAAGTTTTTGGGAGTGAGGTATGTCAAACCAAATAGACCTTTATTACCTTGTTTGCCTGCAGAGATCAGTTTGTACTATAAATGGTCGTGCGTTGAACAGAGCATGTGTAGAAGTTCAGGGGGAAATAGCTCTTAGATTTGCAGTAAATCTTCAGATCAGCTGTGCTTCCTTACAGCTTTTTTTTTTCCTGCCTTCAGAGGATATATCCTCTTAGTTAGATGCTTATCTGGCATAATCCTTCTGCAGATACTCTTTCTTGAAAAGGAAGAAAACCATTCTACCATGTGTGTGTCTGTGTACAGAACGAGGGCAAGTGAAGGGAGGAAGAAAAGGGAACTTAATTTCAGAGTTGAGATAATTTTTGTCTACTTTGGGCATGCACACTGAAGCCACCTCTAACTACACAACGCTTTACGGTCTGGTGTCATCGAGGCTCTGCAGTGTTTTCATGAAGAATCTCCTACATCCTTCTTTGTGTTTCCCAACCTGACTATGAGATTCAGCAGTTTTCCAGTGTCTGAGAAAGAAGACGTATTTACTTCAGATGTCTTTATCCATGGAAACTAGACAGGAGTTTGCTAGCAAATGTAGTGGTAAAAGACTTAAACTTGTTGTGGCTAAAGCAATCTATTCTATTAATTCAAACCATTTGTTCTGTATTTGGATGCCCTTAATTAAGTGGCCTGAAGTGCTTTCAACAGGAGCAGCAGCACTCCTGGAAATCACTTAGTTAGGCAAATAATAGAAACTTAATGGCCTAACTTTAAGTACTCAGAAATACTATTTGCAAAAGCATTTTCAGATGCAGGGAGCAGTTGTGGGTGCCTCTTAAGTCAAATGTCCAGCACCCCATGAAGTCCTGGACCAGGGGATTGTGAACTCCCTTTGTACGTGGTGTGCAGAGCAGTGTACAGTACGGTGAGAAACAGCATTTATCTGTCGGAATACTGTGACCAAGCTTTGAAATATGTTGCTAATTTAAGAGTGGAGAGCTAATGATTTATTACCTATTTGCATGTTGTGAAAGCTGCCGTGCAGAGAATCTGGTTTGCTGGTTAACAGTTTCTAATGTTTAACATTTAAACACACTCCTCATTATTTGGTAGCAGCACTCTGCTGATCCACAAACAATGGAGCTAGGGAAACAAGCAAACATACAAAAACTGATTTGGTGCTTGAAAAAAGATCTGTATGAGGCTTGGTCATGATAAAGATGCCTGCCTGAAGGTGTTGGCTTGTTATTGTCAGTCAGCTTTGAAAACGTGGCTGCAAAAAATGAGTTGCCAGAATTTACATAGGTTTTGAATGCTCTAAGAAGGGAACAAAACTAGAAATAAAGCTGAAAACATACTGCTAACCTAATGCTTTTCTTCCAGGGAGCAGAGAGTCACTGGAGTCATTGTTTTCATTCTGACTGGTGTGTCTGTCTTTATGGCTCCTATCTTGAAGGTAAGCACGTAATCTTTTCTGCTTCCTTCTGCTCACAGAAGTGCAAGCAAGTGGCCAGGACCACAACTGTCACACCATTTCTGTGCTTCTAAAAAGGCTCATAGCTGAAGAATGGAAAAGTATTGAGAATCACTGATGCAACTCTTCAATTTAATGAAAGCTTAAACGTAAATTTTTGGAAGGAAAAAAAATAATGTATTTGTGGTGGTGTGCTATAAATATATAGAATAGTACCAAGGTTCACGGCTGTTGGTTTTGAGGGCTGTGATTTTAATTTAGGATTTTTCGTCTGTGTGCATGGTAAAGTTTTCTTTTATGATGTTATTCTCCTGCTGTGCTTGTGTTGTTAGGAAAGCATATTGCAGATAAACTTTGAGACCGTACTGATGACATCATGGAAGGTTGGTTGGCAGTGAAGCAAAGTTGCTGTGTGAAAGACAGATTAACAGATGAATATGTAATCCAGAAAAGTACATTTGCATGTACACGTGTGTGCACATAGTAAAATATACACACAGGCACAAACCCAGGCGTTTATGTACTGGCTTTGTTCCTTTGCACAGAGCTCTGTATGCTGAGCTGCTGCGAGGTGCAGGAATGCAACTTCACAGCACCTTCTTTCAGAACACATTTACTCCCAGGAGGCCTCCAGGAGCCTTAAAACAGTTTTGTTTTATAGCTCCAGAAGAAGCTGTCAAGTGCAGAATTAAGAGTGCTTCTACAACATGTGTCAGAGGGAGGGACTGGGCTGAAGTTCCTACTTTTGGAGGGAGTAATGCAGCCTGCAGATATCTCTCACTTTCTCATTCACCCTGAAGCTGTTTCTAGAGGAGGAAGTAAGTTCTGTGGTATGAGTTGTCAGAACCAGATTTTCAGGATCTTCTACACGTGGATGATGAAAATCTTCATCTGGTATTTTACTCATGGGGCATGTGTGTGCCCACTGGAAGGAAGTAACTTTGATGAGAGAGAATATGCATAACTGATGGCAATGAACACAGCCTACAGCAGATAGTATTACTCCATAGATAAAGTTCTGGCCAAAAATCTTTGGGACTGTTGCCACTGCCTTCGTAGAGCAGAAATTTTGCCCTGCCTATTAGGGCTGCCAAGGCATGCACCTCAGCAGTGTATAGCTCCTGCAGCTTGCCCTGCTTTTAAAAAGAGCCAGCACAACAATCAAATTTCCATTCTTTTAGGCTGAATCCTCCTAAAAGAGCACTCCTCTTCTTGCTCAAAAGCAATGCCCAGCTTGGCAGCACAGAAAATATGTTTCTGTAGAAAGCAGTGCAATAAAATGTGATTTCTTAATTTCCTGATCTTTTCTTACTGTGATTTTACTGAAGTGTGCGGATACTTGTGCTGCTCACGTACCATTTAATCTAGATAGGCAGCTATTTTCCAAGAGCTGAGATTTACTGGCACAGAACCACAAAGAAATGCGTCCTCGGTGCATCAAATCACAGGATGAAACTAGAAAACGTGCTTATCTGTTCCTTGTGCAGGATACTGCCTGTTCCTGGGATGGCTTAAGTGGTGCTGCGTGCAGGCACACTGTTAGTTCGTGTGACCTTTCCTTGCAAGATCTCTCTTCCTCTATTCTGCAGGCTCTGTTATTTCCCCTGCTCTCGCTTCCCTCGTTGTTCTTCTCAGCTTTTCCAAAGAATGTGTATGGGCAAGATCCTCACAGGAGGATGTCTGAGGATAAATTGGCGTGCTCCTTGCCCACGTGCCAATAGGAATTAGCTGGCAGTGTTTCAGGACCTTCAACAAACTCCAGTGGTAGGGTCTCCTGCAACTGCTTTGCAGAATGTATTGCAGAACATTTGACCCTTCTCACGCCAGCAGCAAATTGAACACTAATGCTCCCAGACCCAATAAAACAGGGAATTCGCAGAATAATCCCATCCTTGTTTTTTGAGGGTGTTTTGTTTGTGCTGTTTTTGAATGTCACTCATCTTTCCAGCTCAGCTATGACAGACCTCATCCAAAACATCCTCTACCCTGCTAGGAGAATGACAGGCACTTTCCTATAAATACATTCTTAATTCTGTTGGCTAGCAGCAGGTTTGTTCCGAGTGCCCATGCCAGTAACCCCATAGCCAGTGAATACTTTGCCAAAACATAATCTTCCAAAATGAAAGCACTGCTTGCTACTCTGGAGGATAATGTGCTGAAGTTTCTCTTACAAATGATTTACAGGATTAATTATAATGGAATGGTGAAATAATATTTAGACTTTTTTTAAAAAAAAAAAAGAAAGAGAGGGAGAAAGAATGGGAGAAAAGATAGCAAGGTAAGTGAACTAGAAAGCCAAACTCATAAAGCCTCCTGCTCAACCTGCTGGAGGAGATACTGACTTATCTAATCCCTCAGATCTAGTGAGGATATTGAATCCCTTGGGTACTCATAACTCTGTGAACCACTCACTGACTCCTCGTCCTTCCCTAGTAGGAGGGACAAACAGTACGGCAATAGAAAGATAAAGCAGCAGTCAAGGAGCTTGAAGGAGATGAGAGGGAGTGAGACAAGGAAGGAACACAGGCAGTGATGCTTTGATCTTTGAGGACGTGGTACACATGGCACTGGCGTCTTTAGTGAAGTGAAATGCATGCATTCAGGATCAAGGACTCCACAGAAATTTGCACGGTGCTGTGTTTATTACCTAGTAAACGATTAATGATGTAGTGGAGAACGCAATAAACAGACAATATTCGCCACTTTAATGAGTTACATAAACAGGCTGAAAAACAAACATTCCTACTATTAGTCCAGGTGACGCTCTGAGCAGGGAGACTTTGGTTGTGCTGCACTTGCCATTCTGTGGCAGCTGCCTGTCAGTACATGAAGGCTTCCCCTCACTGAGCAGACAGCTGCAGAGCCCCTTCTGCTCTTTTTGGGTTGAAATAAGTGTGGCACAACGGCTTTTATTCAGATCTTGTTTGATTCGTGCCCAAGTATTTCCATTCACGTGCCACACTCATTGCACACAATTTTGTTAGTCAAAAAGAGCACTCTCCCTTTTTAGCTACTGTGCAATTGTTTTTGCCTTTGCAGAAGGCTCTGTGCTTTGGGTTGGAAGACCAGCTATTTTTTTCGGGGAAGCGTGTGTGTTGCTAGCATATGCAGGAATCTGCTGTAGACAAAGGGTTTCTCCTCTGCAGCTGCCTGGATTAATGCAGACACTGGCTGATGTAGCTGGGTTGGTCCTGTGGCACAGGAGGGGAAGTTTAAAGTCGCATTTGCTGAAGTGGGCAGGAAGGTGGAGTTACCAATGGCTGCTCTTGCATTAAACCTTGCAAGGCACCTAGAGATGGGGCTGCACCCCTGCATATCCACTGCTTTTGAGCCTTCTTTATTTCCAAAGGATGCTGTTTCCACCTGCATGTGACCAGTGCGTAACACTTGAAGGAGTAGAAATCGTTGTTTGAAAAACCAATTTCTGGAAGAATGTAACTTATTGTCCATTATTTATTAATTGTAGCAGATTAGTGTGATTTAAAGATTGAGCAGTTAGAGATTCACTTTGCATGACTATAATTGCTCATCTGGGATTCAAGGGATCAGCCCTTCTGGAAATACTTCCACTGTGTATGACATTGGATGTGTAATAGGATCCATGATGCGTTTTCTTCCTCTGTTTTTCTACCTTCTGCTTTCAGTCTCATTAGAAACTATGAGGTGAAAAGTAGTTTGGAATTTACTGCAATGTTTTATCCCACCTCTTCTTAAATTTGATGGCTAACTGTGGCACTATCTGTCCTTGTTTCTTTTGTTTCTTGGGAAGACTTCCAAGTTGCACTGAAATGGAAGAGAACAGGGCTCACTCAGCCTCTGCCCTGCTATCCAGATGTTCTTTCTACTCTCAAAATACAGCAGAAAGATTGTGCCTGTTACTGTACATTACCCATTCAAAAGTACAGTTCAGATCTGTCATGAGTCGGGGATTATGCCTCCCTGAGCACTAACATTGTGTCACATATGGAGGCGACTAACTTTGTTTCTCCTGCTCTTTTCCCCTGCAGTTCATTCCTATGCCTGTGCTCTATGGTGTCTTCCTGTACATGGGTGTTGCGTCCCTCAATGGCGTGCAGGTAAGCTTCCGCAGCGCCCAAGGCTGCTCTGGCATCTGTGAGCAGACTTGCCACAGGACCTTGCCCAGAAGATGGTAATCATTAATTATTACAAGGCTTCTCTTAGGACTTTCTGGCCTTCCTCTTCTCCTCCGTCACCTCATTTGTTTCCAAAGAAACCCAAGCAGGGCAGGAACTATTTACAAATATTGCCACACACTGGCTGTTCTTGAGAATGACACTAAAGGAAAGAAATTTGCTCAGCAGGAGAGCAGCCAACTCTTGGCCCCATAAGCAATGATGGGGGCCTATGTGAAGACCTGGGATCCTTCTTCACCCCCAGTATGCTGATACAGAGGACAGGGTGTGCTTACAAAGGCTCTAGGCTCACTTCTGAGATAGTTTGGGTCCTTTACTGGGGTATCTGTTACAGAGTGAAGAAAAACAAGAGAACATGATTTATGATGGTGGCATTATTCCGCAATCTTAACAAGTGGGAACATTGCTGTTTGCTATGGAAGGGAAGCCAAGCCCCCTTTCTTTGTCACTGGGGAAATATTACGTAAGGAGCCTTTCTCACAGTGCACTATCTTTAATTGGCGCTAGGAAGCTGGAAGTGTTTTTGTTGCTTTCTGGCACCCTATTAATTGTAGCCTTTCTTTCTAGTGTTTAGTTGTGCTCTAATGGGGAAAGACTCTGTGTTCTGTGAGTACCATGAGAGTTTATTTGGGTATTCTTTAAAATGGCCCAGGCTTTCATTCACTGGTTTGAGATAAATCTGGTCTCAGAAATGGGCAACAAGCCCAAGTTCTGGTAAGAGACAACGGGGGGATTGTAATATTCGCCCTTGGGCTGGTTCTCCTGGAGGGGATTTCCCCTGCTTTCTGGCACAGGTGGTCACTGAACTGTGTGCTTACTTATTTTCCCCGATCAAGGATGTTTTTCACTTAGTGAGAACTCTCCATTTTGGTTTAACTCCAAGTCCACCAGTCCAGCATGGGCAAGGGACACTGTCGGAAAAGCTGCCCATCTTCTTCAGTTGGGTGCATTCTATTCTCTGTTAACATGACGTCTGCCCTCACCTCTGCTGACCTCTGCTTGCAGTTAATTTGACAAAGGCACTACTTTTAAATACCAAATGTCTTTATAGCATTCCTGGCAGGAACAGGGAAGTTAAAAGAAGTAACCCAAGCATTAATGCTGACCGTAGTCAGGACATTCAACAGAAAATTTCCTCTGTCTCCAGCTACAGCAGATCAGTCTAGTTCTTTTGAAGCCAGCAGAGCTATTTCCACTGACACCTAAGTTTTTTCGTTTAAATATTAATCATCAGATTACGTGGAGTCCTGCTCCCTAAAATAAAAGCACCTTAAGGCCTTGCTTTGAGAAATGCTTCATTTCTGTTTCTGTGTAGGTGCCAAATGTGGGTGTGGAAGCTTAACTTCAGCTTAACTTCAATTGCCCACTGCATTAAGCAATAATTGCTCAATATAGAGGAACCATGCTGCCTTCTATGCTGTGCTATGTGTATGGAAGGAAAGCAAGTCGATTCAAGATCTCACTTAATAGTTTATTTATGCAATTGTCTCACTTCCTTGTTTATCCTGTGTTTCATTTATATGTATGTTGCTTTTCCATTTTCCATCCAGTTCATGGATCGTCTGAAGCTGCTCTTGATGCCTCTAAAGCACCAGCCTGATTTTATCTATCTGCGTCACGTGCCGCTGCGCAGAGTCCATCTGTTCACATTTCTGCAGGTGGTTTGCTTAGCCCTACTCTGGATTCTCAAGTCAACTGTGGCTGCTATCATATTCCCTGTCATGGTAGGTGATATTCTCCTTTGCCTTTTCCAGTCACTCCTCTGTTCCGTAGCCTGGGCCTTCCACGCATGGGCATACTCTCCCACAAACCATGCAAATCAAATCCTCTCACTGTAAAAGCCCTACCTTAGAACTCCACTTAGAGCTTCATTGTGCTGATGTAAGATTACACAGGGTGAATGTTCTCCACATTCTCTCAGGTGCTGTGGCTGCCTTTACATAAATGCTCTGGAGGGGAAAGCAAGCTTCAAAAGTTAATTTTTTGCCAGATAGGTGCAGTTAGTTTTGACCACTCCTGGCTGCCAAGGTTAGATTTGCTGTGTTTTCTCCTTGACCTGCATGAATGAATGAGTGCAGAGTTTTCCTATTTCAGTCCACACTAAGTACTGTACAGAAAACGTCTCCCATACTTTTCAGTAACACAAACTGAGAAAGGCAAATGAAGTGGTAAGGCTGATCTCACTGCTCAGAGAAACGCCAAGAGAAGGATTCGCATAATCAAGAGTGAGGAAGGGATTCTCTTTTTCTTGGAAATTGAGTAAAAGGGCAAGGATGTTGATTCACGTTTCACATCTGAGATTGCTAAAAATATCTATAGGATGCATGTTATCTTTCTAACGATGCGTGTCAGAATCATGTTAAAAACATTTTTTGGATCCTGAATTATAAATAATTCATCACACAATTATTTCATAAAGACACACTGTGCAGTCAGTCTGATACGGTATTTCTACATCAAGGAAGGGGAACGGTGAAACAGCTATCTGTGCAATTAGATGATTACTACTCCTAGAGACACAGTTAGGTGCACATGTCAAATAAGAAATAACAAGTGGTAAGGGGAATTAGCACATGCACTTGGCACGAGGCTCCAAACCAGGCCAAGTTCCAAAACATGCAGCCATTTACATTGATCACTGGAGTAGTTTATGTATGTAGTATGGGAGCACAGAGCAGACCCTTCTCTGCCTCCATACCCCTCCTGTGACTCAGCTAATGTAGTAATTTTGTGTAATTTTACAGACAAATGGATCCAGTGTGGCCATAGCAGCATGCCAAGAGACAGTCTCTCTTGGAAATGGGTCAGAATGCTGTAAAGTCAACGCTGTATGAAACTTGCTTATTACATATTGGCCCAATCTCCCCTAGTTTCAGGTTTATTAATGAGTAAAATCTCAGTTGTGGGTGCAGTTACAAAACTCCAGTGCTTATTTAAGAAAGCAAAATGAAGGAAAGCAGGAAACAAAACAAAGGCATTTATTCTCTGATGCTAGTGAAATGAGAAAGGCTGATTCAAGTGAAAAAAGTAAAACATACAAATATTTTTGCTAGGACATATACAAATATACAAAGATATTAAAAGCAGTTTCCAGTGGCATGCTCATTTTCCATTGCATTCTCATGGCTGTATCGTATTGTTGAATGCTGAATTTAAGATCTGAAGATTTCCTCTTTGTCCATAAGAGAATCTTCACGTTTGCTGAAGTTTGTTATACTTACAGATGTGACTGGATCTAATGATAAAACCTCAGTTTTTACACTTGAGAACAGGAAGACTATTAGCTTACAACCTGACTGTGAAGACCTAACCAACAGCCAGCCCCCTGCTTATTTGTAGAGAAAGTTCTTTTAATAAAGAGGGAATTTATAGTGAAATAATGATGGGTGCTTCCATGGCATCTTTCCACTCCCTGAGTAATTTTTCTCTTCTGAACCCCACTTAAATTATAGTCAAAGTTTGAGATCCATTTTGAGGGATAATTTCTGCCATTGATCTTCATCAGTTGGAGCAAACTGTTCTGTCTTAAAATCTGTCTCCTGTTGCTAGGAATGGATGACATCTTTTTATAACCAAGTTGAGCTTTCATTCTGCATTGCACCCTTTAGTAGAGTGTATGTGTAATCTTGGTATGCTTCTGTTGGTGATGCTAAATTTCAGCATAGATGTAGACACCCATTTCAGACATGTCCCTTACTTTTTTCCCCAGTGCTTTAGAGTGCAGCCTTACCCAGAAAAAAGCTTTTCCTTTAGTTTCTTGCAAACACAATCCTAGCAAATTTAATACTGTAAAACTGAAAGCACACCTACACCACTGTATAATTTTTAAAGAATTGTTCTATCTGGAGAAATGGTGAGAGGAAAAAAAAAGTAAAGAAAATTACTCAGGATGCCCTTGTGAACATGCATATGTAAGCTGAATCCCTCAAATGGATGAAAATACTCATTTTGGGCCTCTCTAGTTAATTATTTTGTCTGATACTTGTCAGCAGGACATTAAAGCTGACTTCTGCCTTTACAAAAGCAGTAAGTGATTACATTACTGTTCCTGTATGTTGCTTCTGTTTAATCTGATATGAAATACTGCTGCTTGAGGCCTGACCCAGTTCCATTCGTTAGATTTTCAAGGTGAACAACTGAAATATCTCAATAACTTTGTTCTCTATATGTTCTGTTACAACCAAAATTCAAGTGTTAGGAATTAAAAAGTAGCATGAACAGGTATGCACAGAATGCTTCCAGTCAAAAATGTGTCCAAGTGAAAAGTCTCTCCCTGCCTTTTCAGATCTTGGCACTTGTAGCAGTCAGAAAAGCCATGGACTACCTCTTCTCCCAGCATGACTTAAGTTTTCTTGATGACGTCATTCCAGAAAAGGATAAGAAAAAGAAAGAGGATGAGAAGAAGAAGAAAAAGAAGAAGGGCAGTCTGGACAGTGACAATGAGGATGTAAGGAACTTCTCTTTTTTTTTTAAAAAAAAAAGTACTCTGGGGATGGTGGTTTCCCCATCCTCTTTTGAAGCAAACCAGCACAGTCCCTACCTGGTGCAGCAAATGAGCCCCAAACAAAACCTTTTCAACACTGCCTTCCCTTTTCCAGGCATCCGCAGCCTGTGGTAGCTGGAACTTGCATTACCAAAAATGTGATCACACTTTCCACAAGTGAGCCCAAGATATCTGCGGACTGTTATGTTCTTTACTAGAATACCCTGTATCATCCTGTCTAGTTCATCTTCCCCTCCTTCCTCTGCCTTTCTCCCCTCATTGTCTCTTATGTTTTAGGAGGAGAAAGGTTTTCTCTAGCAGCTCTGATGCTTCTGAAAACAGCCTGCTTTGTTCTCTTTTCTAATTATTCTTTTTAAAAGCACAAAAAGTTAAGTCTTGTCATGTTTCAGGAGAGGCTTTGTTGTCTGTTTTTAATACATTTAAATAGCATACGTGCCCTTTTGCAGTGTATTTTACTCTTTGCTTCTATCTCAGGTTGCAGCATGTATATACCTACAGAAACTGTAGTAGTTTAACTTACCTTGCTAATTCAGTACTAAGTGTGGTGACCTGATTAGACCATGTGCCTTAGAAAATGATACTTTTTATTGTAGATGTAGTAAGATGAAATGTGGTACTTGTGCCTTCAAACATTTTCCTACTCAGACCTCGTGGGAACTCAAATTCTATAAACTTAAATGAAAGTGGTGAACACACTGATTACAGAGCACTTCATATAGAAATGTGAACTTCCTTCGGAAAGCTGGTTGCCTCAGTCTGCATCATTTTTTGCTGGATGACTGTGTACCAAGGGAGCTAAGCTTCATTAATTATGAGCTACATGGAGAACACTGACATAGCATCAGAAGTTCTGCTTGTGTAATTTCCAGAGTTAATGAAGAAAGACTTTTCATGTGATTTAGACAAAGATCACCTGGAGCTGGAAAATACCACATCAATACAGAGCTGGAGAAATAAAATGAGAAGGCATTATGCCTTGGGAGGAAAAGCCAGCTGACCCATTCTTGTACATTCACACCTAGCTCACTAACCTGCAGCCAGGAATACCCAAGTTCTGAAGTCTTGTGTGGTACGACAGAGGAACAGCAACCTCAGTTGTTTGCCTGCTTGCCCCCTGGCCTTTTTGGTTGATGCAAAGTGGGTAACAGCGACCTCAGGAAAAGGAAATTCCTGAAGAAGGAGCTACTGGGTCAGTGTTATTTCCCAGAAGCATTTTTTGCAGTGAAGCCTTAGGAAAGTGCAAGCAAGCCATGGTTAGCTGTGGGAAGCACTGCTGCCACCACACTGTGAGGTGACAGTACAGCAGAGCAGTCCTGCAGCACTTCTGCTTTTTCTACTGTGTATCATCTGCATCTTTCCTGTACTGAGCAGAATTGCCACAGTAGCCCTATTTATGCAATCAGATGAGTGAGATAATGTGTCTTCTAGTGTAATATGGCAGCTCCAAGAGTTCCTCCAGATCATTCTGATGCCTGGCCTTACGCAAGGTAGGCAGGACAGAAAACACAACCACGACCCAGATGGAGAACACACTGGAGCTCAAGTCCCTTACGTGACAGCTGTGTTAGAGGCAACAAAGTCCAGCTATTCCAGTGAAAAAATATACAGTGGCTTTTCTTCAGAGAATGTATGCTCTATAATGCAGGAAATATACACAAGAATCAAAACTAGGAATTTTGTAGTGAGGGTGCGGTGACATAGGAGGTAGCTTGGATCCACTCCTCATTAAATCAGGCTGAATCCCAGCTCTGAAGATTACTCCTTATTTCAGACAGCAAACTCCCCTTTCCCTTCCTTCCTAGCAGGCACTGGCCACTAGACTACTCTGTTCCTGCACTCTTCTATCAAGAAATCTTGAGGACGCATTTCTTAGCAGTACAGGTCCTGCTGAGACTTTCAGCTCATGCCTGTATGACTAATAGGGAAAGTAGAAGCTTCAAGCATCAGGAAAGCTCTCACCTAAGAACATGCTGATGAGATCCAAGACTTCTACGTTATTGGTATCACATCAACAGAAAACCACATGTGCACATTCCCACGTTGTCCCTCTCAGCTGTGGGAGACAACTTAAGAAATGCTTTTTCTCTTCTATTACTCCAATGAAACAGGATGTAAAAATTCTGACACTGATGTTTCAATAGTGTGCTATCATCTGCAAGCTACCTCGCCCCAGGATACGCACATTTATGTACTACTGTGTGTAGAAAGGTGTTCCTTGCACAGGCCTCCCTTTTCATTTCAATGGCTCCAGCATGTGGAAAGCCAAGGTCAAGGGTTTCCTTCAGTAGATTTGTATGACTGAAAGTGAAAGAAGATGTCCTGCTGTACATACTGAAAAGTCAACAAAGGTTTGACTAATTTCCTTCATTATGATTGACCCATGTCTACTGTATCTGGTGTATTTTAAACCTCATAGACTTTCAGGTACAGTACTCAATCACGTGGGTAACAGAATTTAAGCAAAATGTTCTCACTCAACTTGTTCTTGTTTTTTTTTTCCAGCACTTGCTTTTGCCAGCTTCCTGAACATAAAGCACTTGGTGTTATTGGTTTGATTGTTGTCACCCTTTCCATTCCAGAAATATGCCTCTTTAAAATTAAAATTAGTACTGTGGGGTTTTGCAGGCATTCTACTGATAAGAGTTGAGAGAAGAATTGCTGGACGTTGTGAATTCAAGTGGTGTTATGTAAACAAGCACAGCAAAACCTGGCATTAACAGAGACCACTCTTTAGCACGAGTTAGGATTTACTATTAGTTCTCACTGGGGGTTTGCTGGCAGTTAGGGACAGCAAGAAAGGAGCTGCAAAGAAAGTTTTTCAGTAACTTGGTGAAAATTACAGCCACTAATTGCTGGATTTACCTAAGCTTGTGTGTAGTGGAAAGTTGAATTTTGTCTCAGATTTCATGTCCAAAATGCATGATCCAGGAAGCACCAGCCAATTTTTAAAAAAGACACTGGGACGTTATATTTAGGTTAAGAATCAGAAGTGATGTGTTAGCCTCTTTTCCCCTTTAGAGTACTTTCGCCAACCATAGGCATTTTCTCTATCTCTTTTTTTCTTTTTACATGGTCAAGTTTAAAGCAGCTCGAGTATGAGCACTCCTATTCCACAGATCTTTTATTTATTAGCAGCAAAACAGTAATATGTTGGACGGATTAGCTTGCTTACAACATAGCTCCAAATGGATGGGAATTCTGGTATGGCTTTATTGCCTCCATGTCTTTTTAGAATTTATTTGAGCTATGCTTATATATAGCTTTGTTAAAAATAAGTAACGTGAATATATATGCACGCATCTGAGGAAACATTTTGCTAGTGGAGTACACACAGCACTGCACTGGATGTCTGTAACATTAAAAACAAACAAACAAAACAAACTAAAAAGAAGACCCAGGAAGAGAGATTTTCTGGTTTCTGTAATGTTTTCCTACTCTGACTTTTAGGTCAGATTCCCCCCAGTGCAGTGTTATACTTCATACTTTGTCTCATTCTCTCTAGGAATAAAGCTAGGTTAACATTTCTGGCACATATCACTTGGCATGTATCACCTTAATTTCTTTGCCAAGTCAAACAGTATCAGCCCTTCTCTGCTTACAATAAACTGTTTTATAAAAATTAATTAATTAATTAATTAAAAGCCAAGTAATTCAGCACCTTCTAAGCACAAGCAAGTGGGTTATTATTGGAACCAGTGGGACACAGTGGGGACTCAGTGGTCACAGAGTGCTGATAATTTGAGCAAAAGCTCGCTGACTTCAGCAGAAAGCTATCTTGGAGTAAGGCTTGCTAACAAGTACAGCTTTTCTCTGCGCTTGTAATTCTTCTTGAACAGTCTGCCATATCTCCTGTGTGGTGGGATTACATGAATTCTGGATTTGATGAAATATCTTATTGTAAGCAGGGGTATAATTGGGACTAGGTCTGACTTTATTTAAGTAACAAATAGAAAGAGGAAAACTCTTTCTTTGTACAATAGAAGTTAAAGATTGTCTGCCTGATACTTCCTTGTAGAACAGTTTGGAGGGAGAAAAAAAATATAGAGATTGTCCTGCTATAATTCATAGGAATCACAATAAGAATAGAAACTTTTTGGTGAGATTTCTCAGAAGCCAGTGCCCTATCATTTCTGCCAACAAATGCATGTTTAATCCATTATTTCCTGTAGTCAACCCCAAGCTGACTCAGATTGTGTCTTATAAACTGGTAGCATAGGAACTGGTGAGGTGGAGAGAGGAAAAGATAACGCTTACTTAGATAAGATTATTCTTTCAGTCTGCTTTACTTCCATAGTGTGAAGAGGGAAAGTAAGGTGCAAGAGGGATCCAGTTTAAAATGAAGAGGCCATCAGCTGGTCTACAGAATTCCTTCTTTTTCTTTTACTTTTCTCCTGATTTCTACAGAAATTATGTGAAGGATGATATTAATTTGTGGGTGACAGTAAGAGAGCAGTGGAAATTTTCTAAGAACTTTTACACGTTTCTTTCACAGTCTGACTGCCCCTACTCAGAAAAAGTCCCAAGTATTAAAATACCAATGGACATCATGGAGCAGGAACCTTTCCTAAGTGATAGCAAACCTGCCGACAGTGAGTAGAACTAACCTCTTGCATGCCTGCGTGACTCTGACGTGCAGTACAAAATATATATATAAATTAATTTTTTTAAAAGCTTTTCTATTGTTTCAGAAGTGTGGGGTTTTTGTTTGTTTTTAATTTCCAGGTCTCTGAGTTATGACAGTATTTGCCTTTGTTTTTATGTATTCTTTTTTCTTTCCAAAATCTGTGTTATTTCTTTTGGTGCCTCCAGCTTAAACTGCTTTTGTCCAGCTATGTTTCGTGATAACTTCCTTTCTCCTCCTCTCTGTAACTCCCCCATCCACTCAGTCCATTTCTGACCTTTGCCATTTTATGTTAAATTTGCTGATGGTTTGCATTTATTTTTCCTGAGTCTATTGCTCTGGATTTGCAGCATGTCTGAACTGCATTTCTGTCCTGTTACTGTTTATTTCCTTAGGTTCCAAGCAGTTGCAAAACTCAGCACTTTGAAAGAATAATTAAGCATGTCATTGATTGACATTATTCATTACACTGACAAGGCAGTGATCATTTGACCTTTAACACATTTCCCTTCTTAGGTGACTTGCTTTTGTGCTATTGTGTCTTTCTATTTCTTAGGTTAATATCCTGGAATCAAGGAATGGTAGGGGTTGGAAGGGACCGCTAGAGATCATCCAGTCTAAACTCCCTGCAATAGCATGTTCCCTTATAGTAGGTTGTACAAGAAAGCTTCCAGGAGGGTTTTGAATATCTCCAAAGAAGGAACCACAGCCTCTCTGGGCAGCCTGTTCCAGTGCTATGTCATACTCAAAGTAAAGAATTTCTTTCTCATGTTTCAGTGGAAATTCCTGTATTCTGGTTTTTGTCTGTTGCCCCTAGTCTTGTCACTGGGCACCACCAAAAATAGCTTGGCCCCATTCTCTTGACACCTGCCCTTCAGAGATTTCTAAGCATTGATAAGATCTTCCTCTTAGTCTCCTCCAGACTGAAAAGTCCCAGGTCTTTCAGCCTTTTCTCATAGGGGAGATGCTCCAGGCCCCCAGTCATTTTTGTGGCCCTCCACTGGACTCTCTCTAGGAGTTCCCTGTCTTTCTTGAACTGGGGAGCCCAGAACTGGACACAGTACTCCAGATGAGGCTTTACCAAGGCAGAGTAGAGGGGGAGGAGAACCTCTGTTGACATGCTGGCCATGATCTGTTTAATGCACCCCAGGGTCCCACTGGCCTTCTTGGCCACAAGGGCACACTCCTGGTTCATGGTCAACCTGTAATCCACCAGGACACCTTGGGTGTCCTCTGCATAGCTCCTTTCCATCAGTTCAGCCCCTAACCTGCACTGGTGCATATGGTTATTCCTCTCCATGCATAGGACTGTACGCTTGCCTTTGTTGAACCCTCATCAGGTTCATCTCTACCCAACTCCCCAGCCCACCCAGGTCTCTCTGAAATCACAGGTATCACAGACGTTTCATCTGTCAGCCACTCCTCCCAGTATTGCATCATCAACAAACTTGCTGAGGGTGGACTGTATCCCTTCTTCCAAGTCATTGATGAAGATGTTGAACAATACCGGATGCTGTACTGGTGCTTGGGGAACACTGCTAGCTACAGGTCTCCAACTCAACTACGCCTTAATTTTCAGTCACTTTAACTTCTCATAGACTTTTAAGAGATGAATAAGAAGTAACAACTGACATGAGCTTTTTTGCCTTTGCAGCGACTTCTGACAATATTATGAGCAGTGAGTTCAGTCTTGAGATAATATGCTGTTTTGTCACGAGATGGGAACAAATGATAACAGTAAATCAGTACTGCTGCATTACTGGTGATAAGATTTCTAGGAATAAGACCTGGAAACACTGATCTTTAGATTCCTTAAGTAGGATTTGTGTTTAGGAGCTGGTCTTTAACTATCTTGGCTTTTGGTGGTAGCATTTGGCAACCCTAAGCATTGCATTGTGTTTTTAGATAAATGAACACTTAAGAGATTAACATTCTAAAACAAAGCCAAAGAGAAAGACAACTACTTTACTAATTGCATACTCTCAGTGTAACAACCTTGAACCTAACAGACCATCTTCACTTTTCTGTGAAAATGCCCTGATATGCTTAAACCAAATTCATCTTACATGTTGCACAGGATCTTACAATTGGGTACACTGTTCATCAGGGTTGAAATAATTAGGGAAATGGTAATACTTCTACCACAAACCTGTTTGTTGGATTGCCCTTTCAGACAACATGGGATGAGACGTCCATGGGCCAAGCAGCAGTTTGTTTGTTTGTGTATGTGTGCAGTATTATGAATCAGAAATTGATTTGTCAGCTTTTATTTAGTAACAAGGCAAAAAAAAAAAAAAAAAAAAATCAGGCTCTTGTATTAGCAAAAGTAGCTGGAATCCATCCACATCATGGTCTTACCCTACTCACCCAGTGCTCCAAGACTCAAAGTATATTAATAATAATAATACTAATAGCATTCAGTACTTGAGCATATTTTGCATCTTCAGAGTGCTTGACAAATTATTTACCCTTCAATTACTAAGGCAGAGAAGTGAATTCCAGCTGTTTCTCTGTTCAAACACAAAATTCATTTTTTACTCTTTAGCTTCCCTTCAGCAATAGCAAGAATAGAATTATTATTAAAAAAGAGTACATTTCACCATGCTGGTCAGGAAATGAATGTGATTACAGGCAACAAGCCACCTGTTTTCATGCAAGGAGTTTGGATGCTACAGTGGGGGAACACAGGGTAACTTAAGTTGTAGATGAAAGGTAAGTATCAAGATGTAAACGTGCTGAAAAGAGGCCAAGAAACAGAGTAATTTTTCTGAGATGGAATTTGGGAATTTCCCATCTAGGCTTTGTGTGCCCAAGCCCTGATTGAGGGATTCCCAACTCCTTTTTGTCAGGCAACTCTAAGCACAAAACAGACACATAAATGCTCGCGCCTCACGCTGGGCTGAGACCAGCGTTGCAGTCAGTGTCTTGTGGCTTCCCCCGGGAAGCATACATGAAGTGGACACCCTTTGCTATGCTGCAGTGCAGGCCTGGTGAATACAAAGTGAGTTTTCCCATGGGCTGTTTACTTGGAGCAGCTTAGCAGCCTCTTCTGTGGCAGCTAAGTGACTGCTCCTGGCTGTACAACTGCATACGCATGCATTCAGCATGCAGCTGAATGCAGCTCACAGGGCAGTCCCTGCAAATCAATCACCATTGTTTTGGCAGTTCAGATTCTGTATGTTGGAGGAGAGACTTAACTTTATCATGTTCATTTACCAGCTGTGAAATTAATATAGAAGGAAGTCAGCAGTTAAAAGCACTGCTAAATACATGTGAGAGTTTGCTGGGTTTAAGAAACCATCAGTGCTGCATGCAATGACAAAAAAGATCTTTTCTCTCCTCCCTGACAGAAGAAAAATCACCAACATTCCTTGAACGCCATACGTCGTGCTGATAAAATTCCTTTTCTTCAGTCACACACTATGCCAAGGTAAGTATTTGTAAAATGCAATTTGTATGTGCCACAGTGCACCGAAATTCCACAAGGCGAAGTCCCTGTCTGTCTACAGGAAACTCTTAGAAAACACTTGGAGAGAATTTCTAATGTGCAGTTGTTACATCCTAACTTAATTCCCAGCATGGCCTTATAGTGTGGAGAGAGTGACTAGCTTACATAAGTACTCTGCTGTCCTTATGTTAGACCCCAGCCGCAGTACTCATGTAGGTCTTGGGGTCCAAATCAGCAAAAAGTTGTGGAACAACTGGGAAAAGTCTAGAAAAACATGTCCACATGGGAAAAAATTAAATGACTTAAAAATATATAAACTTATACAGGCAGTTAGTTGTGTGAAGCACAAGTTCTGGGTATGTGGAGCTCCTCTGTTAACAAAATCAGTAGGCTTAGTCCCTGACATGAGCAGTGTTTGGACCAATTCATTTAAATAATATTACGTGATGCACAGGCCTATCAGTAAGTTCTGGTACCAAAGAGAGCTTTCTATTACCAGTTCCCATCTGAGTTATTTATTTGGTGTCTGTAAGCTGCCAGTTTCAGAAAGCTGTGTTGCACTGGTCTGTGCTGATACACTTGGTATTGGGAGTTGAGCATTTTTTCCATTTCTAGATGTGACAGCGTGCTGTGCCCAGTAAGTACTAGGATCTGCAGTTTTTGAGGTGTGAACCAGCTGCCACTCTGTTTTGTTTATAAATATATCTTTTCTTCTTGGAGTTGCACAGTTTTTCAGGAACTGATCCCTCAGAAAATGCACTCTTCAGAATTCAGCTGAGCGCTGCAGAGCGCATCAAGCATCACTAAAATAGTCCATACACTTACCTACCTTGTCTTCTTTTTCTTCGCAGCCCTCCACGAACTCCAGTAAAAGTTGTGCCTCAAATTAGAATAGAACTTGAGCCTGAAGACAATGGTTATTTCTGGAGGAGCAAGGGAACAGAAACTACTTTGTAATTTGTCTGTTAAGTCTTATATGGAATTTATTTTGTCACTAGCCAAATATTACAATGCTCTCTGCTCCCCACCTGCGTAAGTAAATGAGACATTCTGTGCTCCCCGCTCCACCCTTTTCCCCCTCCAGAATTCTTCTTATTTATCCTCACCCAATTTTTCCACTTTGACCAAGACTCATTTTTGCCTTCTCCGTTGCTTAGACATGCACACATCTCATTTTCAAGCAGAGGGCAGAAGTATTAAGGATATAATATAATACTTTTGTGAAATGTCAGGGGAACTGGCATTATTTTAGTTGTGAATCAGTGTTTGTTTGTTTGTTTGTTGTCTGGCAGAACAAAACTGACCTCCAGGCTAATTCAATGTCTTTATTACACTGCTCTAAGATGCTGGAAAGTGCTGCTAATACTAACTTGCTCTTAAAGCCTGTACTCGTAGTAACACAGGAAAGAAAACTAAAAGGTACTTCACTCCCAGCACAGACAAATTATTGCCATCACTGTAGCATGTGTTTTGAAATGTCCCTTTCCTATGCAATTTTTTTTTAAAAAACACTTTAATGGACTTAATCTGTCAGGTACATTGAAGAGTGTTATTTTCCTAGATTATTTTGTTTAAATTATGGGGGCCTAACCTATGACTTTTTTTTTGTCAATTTTTTTAACCTTTTTTTAATTACTGTAAAGAAAAATGAATTTTTCCTGCAGCAGGAAACGTATAGTTTTGAGTAGTTCTACCTCTTATTTCTAGATGCCAGGCTTTCTGTAAAAATGTATTGTACCATATATAATGTGATTTTTACAAAAAAAGAAAAAAAAATACACAATCTCCAGGACATGGCATAGGGCTGGATCAGTTTTATCAACACCTTCTACTCTGAAGCTTCTGTACTACTTAGGGTCATTTTGTTTTTTATGAATAATCTAACTTCACTATGAAGGAGATGGGATATAACTTAAATCTCTCATGATCTAGGATGATGAGTCTTAAGTGTACTGCTGGTAAGTGAAATACTGACTGGTTAACAGTGTCAGTGGACGATGCTGATTGTATTCATTTTGTTGATTTCCTATGCAGTATTGTTAGAATTCTTTCATGTGAAACATCCGTGTGTGCACGTGTGTGTATGTGTGCAAGTGGAAACACCCTGCATGCAGTTGAGATGCATGTTCTAGATCCTCCTCGAGAACTGACAGAGCCCAGGCACTGCTTTCTATCACATACAGAATTTATTCTTACACCTTGACTGCTCGGCCCTCTGCCCAGTCAACCAAAACCTTCCATACACGATGACATATCGGTAGCAAATCAGCTAGGCACAGTGACACAGTGACAGGTTTTTGGTTTTAAACCCAGCAAGCATCGCCTTGTGACAGATCATTTTTTCTGCTGTGGGTATACAGTGAACTTGAGTATGCACATATAAAATAGCATTTGGGAAACTGGCCTTCCAGCACATTTATTTCAAGTGCGAGGATTTCATATGACACACTGCAAACGCTTCGTTGTAAAAATGAAGCTCCCTGCAGTGAAGCATACCAGGGAAGCAGCAGTGAGAGTGGCTGCCCAGCAGCAGCAGCAGAGGGGGGGACAGTCCCTAATAGCCCCCAGTGCTGGGCATTAAAAAACGCACTTGCAGAAACTATTTTGTAATGCCTAACACATGGCTTTGTTTCATTTTTTTTTCCTAATGAATAAAAAAGTAGAGCTTAGTGGCTTCCACACCTGTTGTGAAGGAACCAAAGTCCATGTTGATTAAGGAAATAGCATTTCATCACGGTGCTGAGAGACATTATATGCCAAATTTTAGCATCCACAAGCTAGTAACAACCACAACAACAATCAGAGCTGCAAACTAGGACTCTTTTTTTCCCAGATACTAGTTCTGGTTAAAAGATGCAATTATATGCACTGTAATAATATTATTGTTTTTATATTATTTTTGTACTATTTGCACAGTCTTGTGCAAGTGCTCGTTGCTGCACAAATAGGATTGAGTTGCAGAGGAATTGGCACAGCACACACACATGCACACACACGTACATTCCCCAGCTTGTTACCAAGGAATCTAAAATTCTGCTTTCCTAACATTTTTGTTTACTGTGAGAAAGCAGCGCAAGAAGAAGGGAGAGCAGCTGTTCCTCTTTGCTGCCCCTGAGATATCAGCATCCCATAAATGCAGCCCAAACCTGCTTCAAAAAGGGTGAGGAGCTATCTGAAGCAGCCAGAAAAGCAGCCACTGTGTGATCCCTTCTGCTGCCTGCTAGGACTAGTTGGAGGACGGAGAACCTGGGAAGTGCAATGCTAACATGTAGAAAACTGTTTTAATTCCTTGGTGAAAGTAAGTCGCAGACTACCAAAGGGGAAACAGGCTCAAGTGTCATCATGTACACAGTACATGTGAGCTTTTATGTTTTGCCCAGACACTTTATTTGTAGAAATCCAAATAAGGAAAGATCAGCACAGATTAATATAGGGAAAAAGATTTCCTTAAAAGAGCACTGACAAAAGAACCCTCCCCCCAGCTACAGTATGCTCAGAATGCAGCATACTGCACACATGCATATACGCACACACACATCATACATCCTTTCATCTGCTATTACCTGGTGATTTGTCTTCACAAAAATGAGGTCTTCCACTTTTGAACCATGTTAAATGTACTTGAAATGTATTGACTGCTGATCTAGATCTTTCTCTCTCTTTTTTATTTTGTACGTTAACAGACGAGCTGTTGTACAGAGGGTAGCATTGTTTAAGGGATGGGACAAAGATTGCTGTAGTTTTCCATGTCAAAAACAACTCTGGATGGAGACAGAAGCTGGAAAATTTTTATTTCCTGCTTCCTGACAACAGCATTTTGTTGAAGGCTGTGTGTCCTTTCTATTTTTTTTCTTTAAAAAAAATTAATCAACCACAAGGACAGCACGCAAGAGCTCTGCTGGCACCAAGAGGTGGAAGGCAGTGAAAAGCAGCTGCCTAATAGCATTTGATAGGCTGATGTCACCACAAGGTGAGTTTCACTGCACTTTGTAGGCCTTGTAACAATAAAACTAAAACTAATTTTGGTTCAGAACTGGACAGTTGGTGAGAAAACCTGGATAAGCACTTCTGGCTTCTGGGAAGGCTCTTCTGAAATCAGAAGAGTCCATTAAAAACAAAACAAAAAAAAACCCAAAAAACTCCCCCAAACAGTTTATCTTAGAAGTCCTACAAAAACAGGTACCAACTGAGGGCACAAATCCTGCCATCACCCAGTGAAAACAAACGAACTGCAGATAGCTTTGTCCCAGGCCCATGAAAATGGTGACTGCCTGCCTCTGTAGCCACTAATTATTTGTTGTCAAGGTTGACATATATTTGTATGCATTACTTTTTTTTTTTTTCCTTGGAATCAATACGCACTTTCAGATACTTTTATTAGTTTTAATTCTCTTAAGTCTGTATTTGCTTTGGAGGAAAGAATAAAGAATTAATGTAAAATGAAGTGGATCAAGATGGTGGAACAAAAACAAAAAAAGCAGAAAACATTTCAATATATTAAATTTTTTTCCACTAATATGAAACATGAAATTCCTTATAACATAGTATTTTACAGTTTTATGAAGCTTTCTATTGTGACTTTTATGGAATCAAAAGATGAAGATGATGAGATATTTTAGCATTTATATTTTTCAAAATTAAATGTATACTGAAAATAAAGTAACTTTATGCATTTACTGGAGAGTTGTATGTTTTTTGGTTTTAATTTTATGTATTCCGTTTGATTTGACTGAATGAAGATTCCTAGATCACCACTGTCATTGCTACCATTGCTAAGGCCAAATGTCTGGCAGGTCTCTGGCTGGAGAGAATATTCAAAATGCCCCACCAGTTCACGTAGAGAAATATGGGGCCAGCCTTTAGAAACACAAAGAGATTTGGGATATGTGGCTCTGTAAGAGTGAGTTAACGACAGATGTACTCCCTTGAAATAATTTACTGAAGCTTTTTGGGGAACAAAATATAACTTTGTTCAGAAATGACAGTTGAACAGACCCATCTCCATCTAAAACTGAGATTTTTGTCTTCTCCTGGGAGCAGCCTCACTTCTTAGAAGAGACTGCTGGTAGGGGATGGGAATTAGCAAACCAGGGCAGCTATCAATTTCACACACCCTTCACACATACTTCATAGAGCCTTAGCTTTTTTAAATTTGCACTTACCCAGATGACCATTCTCTGCAGAAGTCAGCATGTTCCTGTTATGAAAATGGGGAAAAATAGGTAAATGCACACTAGGTAGTAACAAAAAGGAAGACATCTACAAATCCCAGCCTAATACAAGTTGGTTTTTTTCCCCCTTGGGTTTTTTTTTTTTTTTTTTTGGTGCATGTGGGGTAGGTGTCCTTCCTTACTAAGAGGTAAGTGCAAACCATGGTCAGCAAGGTGCTGATGGAGGTAGGATCTCCCCAGGATCTCTCTAACAGAGCACAGGGAGCCCCTCTGACCCTGCTGAAGGCCAGTTAGGGATGCAGAAAATGCTCAATGGCACACGAAGCTGACTAAAAACTGGCATTAGGAAAGATTATTGTGAACGGGTCCAGTAACATGGATGCGCCCTCTCACATCCAAACCCAGTGATCGTAGTCACTGTGGTGGTGACAGGGGCTGGATCAGGTGCTGAGGCATCTCCTGTTTCTTCCCCTTGCCAAGCAACTCCATAAAGCCTGCTAAAAATACCACTTGTTCCTTTTATAGAAAACAGCTTGCACAGGTTAACTTACATAATCGCTTTGAGCTAAAGCAGCTTAGAGCGCACTGCTCGCATACTGCTGGGCCATGAGAAACATCCAATTTGGTCCCTTCCTTGTATGAGGAGACATCTGAATTAAGCAGCCGTCCCAGCGGTTTGAAACTGGAAAGCAGCATCGACTCCAATAGAAAAGTAATCTATTTCTGCCACAAAAAGAGGTGTTGCCCTTAGAACACAAATACATGCG